CACAAGGCTGGTATCACAATAAAAAGGAGCTTTATTAAATATGGCTCTACATACAAACACACGTCAGCCCCTATGAGAACAATTGATTGCTGCGAGGAAAGAGAGGTTATGTAGTCAATCAGTATACATAGCACCAAATGGACCTAACAGTCAAGGTAATGTCAGTCTGTATGAGGCATGAAGGGCTATTTAAATGAGTCAAATAAAGCATGTTGGGTGGCCAGGTGGCCAAATAGGTATATACAATATAGGCAAATAGAAAAAGATGAAAAATGCTTTTACCAGTAAAAGACTGGCAAAAAAGTTAATCAAAGCCTCTCTCCCTGTTAAGCTTGCTAGACAGACGTAGGATGAAAGATCAGGAGTAAAAATCAAAGTAAGTGAACCATCAAAGCAACATGCTAACCATTAGTGAAAAATAAAGTGCCCAGTGATAAAACAAAAAGCAAGAACGCCCGACGCGCGTTTCGGTGCAGAACTACATGCATCTTTTTACTTGATGAAGGTGCAGAATCTCTGAGGACATGTACTTCGCTACAGGTTAATTACTTTATATTTATATTTAGCAATACTACTATCTATATCTCCAGGAAGCATTGTATGTTCCCCTGTGGTGAACCTGCATGCTCTGTTTTGTCTCAGTATTTTCCTACACTTCTGACAACTGAAAAATTACTTTTTCTATGGAGGATTCTCCATAGACCTCAATGTTGTACTGTTGTGCATGCGTGAGGCTAAAGAGGTGCAGACGGAAGAAGATGGGTGCACCAGCTAAAAATAAGATCAGGTAAGTAAATCTCAACTTTCCCTGCCCACCTTGGCCACCAGATTCCCAGCAGCGATGTCAGAGGTATTTGCAAATTATGGAAAGACCCCAGAAGGTGACAGAGGCACTTTAGAATTGTATATGTATTTGTGATTCAGGTTTTGCAGAGATTCCATGCATTTGTGACCTTTGCTGTTTTGGCACTTTTGCTATGTGCTTGTTTCACTATAAGTTTCTACTCCCTCAGTAAGTGCACCTAGGCTAAATATTGTAAGTAACAAGCTAGGGAATCATTTGCAATTTGTCATATTTAAATTATGCATTTGATAGTGGGCCAATTCAGAAATGCCCCCCCCCCCCCCGCCCCACTTACCATAACAACTTGTGAATAATGCAGCATATCAAGAGATATTTGCAGTTTTGCGCCAGGGGCTAGTTACACCCCAGACACACATAACAGAGTTCTGGGCTTCCTAATGTTAATTATGTGCAAAAAATAAGTCTGTTGTCCGCACACACTTGGAACTAGCGACAGACATCAGCTTATTCTCCTTGAATGCAGTGCTAAGAGTTTGCCTGCATGGGGTAGCTTAATCTCCCTTGCTATTTCATTTGAGCCCTCCCTGCCACCCCCCTCCTATGCTGCTCTATTTTGTCTATTGATTTTTTTTTTTTTATAAATCCCCAACCTTGTTGCATCAGTATTCTTTTGGCTTGCCCTGGCCAGGCTCACCAGCACCTGTGGCAAGAGAGAAAATAATAACACAGCAAAACAAACATAAAGGGAATAGAGGCAGGAATAAAAACAAAAACAAAAAAACTTGAAATGGTTATGGTGTTGTGGTCATGGTGCTTAGAGTGGTTCTTTAAGAGAATTTGCTGTACTGCCCTCCTGATCAACATCCTCCTGCTTGCAAGTGCTTGATACCACTATTATTGTCTCCCTATTTTGTTATAAACATTCCCTTTGCTCGCACCTATCAATATATTGCAACTACCATGCTTAGGCCACAGTCACAAACCCCTTGTGTCACTGGTCCAGGAGTTTTCTTTATGCCATATCACCTGCCTGCAGAATCCACTCTGCAATAAGTTAAAACTGTCAATGATGCATGTTCTATTACCACAGCATTTGAAATATGCCCTGATAGCCGAGCAAGGGACACAACAAGTGAAAATCCCCACAACATAAAGAATCACAGGGTTATTTACTAAAGTGAAAATTCAGAGTGAACTTCAAATTTAGGGTAAAAATAGCCAAATTAGACAAAAGCTCTGTCAGGGACACTATAGGCACCAAAAGTACTTTAGCGTAATAATATTAAAAATGTTGGTGAAAAGATCATGCCCCTGTAATTTCACTGCTCAATTATCTGCTATTTAGGAGTAAAATAAGGTTGTTTATACAGCCCTAGCTACACTTTCCTGCATGTGACTTATACAGCCTTTCTAAACACTTCCTGTAAAGACAAATCTAATGTTTAAAGGAACACAAACACCATCTAGCCTCCCTGCCATCCTCCCTTGACCTTGTAAATATAGTAAAATCTCACCTTTATTCCAGTCTGCTGCTGCTGGCTTTGCACCTGATCTGCCTCCTTGGCTGACATCATCAGAAGTGGTGGTCTGAGCCAATCACAATTCTTCCCCATAGGATTGGTTGAGACTGTCAAGTAGGCTGATCGGGGCAGAGCCAACACAAGCAAACACAACAATGGCCAAGCAGCATCTCCTCATAGAGAATCATTGAATCAATGCTTCTCTATGAGGAAAGTTCAGTGTCTCCATGCAGACGGTGGCGACGCTGAATTGTAGTCACAATGTGCAGCACTGCCACAGAAAGCACCTGTGGTAGCCATCTGAGAAGTGGCCAGTGAAGGTATCCCTAGGCTGTAAAGTCAACATGGTCTTGTCTCTGAAAAACAGTGTTTACTGCAAAAAGCCTGAAGGTAAATGATTATACTCACCAGACCAAATACAATAAGCTGTAGTTGTTCTGGTGACTATAGTGTCCTTTAACCCCTTAAGGACACATGACATGTGTGACATGTCATGATTCCGTTTTATTCCAGAAGTTTGGTCCTTAAGGGGTTAAACTTCCTTTATTGCACAGTTCAATTTAGAATGTATTATATCTGTTAATAGTCTTCTAGACCTTGCAGTAACCTCCTGTGGGGAATAATTTTTAATTTACAGAGTAGGAGATAAAAATGTCTAAAGCAAGGTAATATCTGATTGAAAATGAATCAATTTTTCATGCAGGCTGTGTCATTTACAGTCAGAGGAGGTGTGATTAGGACTGCATACATAAAAATAAAAGTGATTTAACTCTTAAACGGCAGAGAATTGAACAGTGAGACTGCAAGGGCATGATCTATACATCAAAACTGCCAAATTAAGCTTTTGATTTTTTTGATTGGGTAACTAAAATTATAGATCAGGGTGGTGCAGTAGACATTGCTTACCTAGATTTCAGTAAGGCTTTTGACACTGTTGCACATAGAAGGCTTATCAATAAACTGCAATCTTTAAGTTTGGATTCCAATATTGTTGAATGGGTAAGGCAGTGGCTGAGTGACAGGCAACAGAGGGTTGTAGTCAATGGAATATATTCGAAGCTTGGACTTGTCACCAGTGGGGTACCTCAGGGATCTGTACTTGGACCCATTCTCTTTAATATTTTTATTAGTGATATTGCAGAAGGTCTTGATGGTAAGGTATGTCTTTTGCTGATGATACTAAGATATGTAACAGGGTTGATGTTCCAGGAGGGATAAGCCAAATGACAAATGATTTAGGTAAACTAGAAAAATGGTCAGAATTGTGGCAACTGACATTTAATGTGGATAAGTGCAAGATAATGCATCTTGGACGTAAAAACCCAAGGGCAGAGTACAGAATATTTGATAGAGTCCTAACCTCAACATATGAGGAAAGGGATTTAGGGGTGATTATTTCTGATGACTTAAAGGTAGGCAGACAATGTAATAGAGCAGCAGGAAATGCTAGCAGAATGCTTGGTTGTATAGGGAGAGGTATTAGCAGTAGAAAGAGGGAAGTGCTCATGCCATTGTACAGAACACTGGTGAGACCTCACTTGGAGTATTGTACACAGTACTGGAGACCGTATCTTCAGAAGGATATTGATACCTTAGAGAGGGTTCAGAGAAGGGCTACTAAACTGGTTCATGGATTGCGGGATAAAACTTACCAGGAAAGGTTAAAGGATCTTAACATGTATAGCTTGGAGGAAAGACGAGACAGGGGGGATATGATAGAAACATTTAAATATATAAAGGGAATCAACACAGTAAAGGAGGAGACTATATTTAAAAGAAGAAAAACTACCACAACAAGAGGACATAGTCTTAAATTAGAGGGACAAAGGTTTAAAAATAATATCAGGAAGTATTACTTTACTGAGAGGGTAGTGGATGCATGGAATAGCCTTCCAGCTGAAGTGGTAGAGGTTAACACAGTAAAGGAGTTTAAGCATGCGTGGGATAGGCATAAGGCTATCCTAACTATAAGATAAGGCCAGGGACTAATGAAAGTATTTAGAAAATTGGGCAGACTAGATAGGCCGAATGGTTCTTATCTGCCGTCACATTCAATGTTTCTATGTTTCTATGTTTCTATGTTTCTATGTCCTGAAATGAGCATGTTCCTGGTAATTTCCCAATTTAGTAAACTGCCCTCCTAAATGCATTTTAATGGCTTATTTATTATCATTAAAGAACCATCCATGTGTTGTTTTTTTTAATACAAGAATTATATGGCCAACACAGTTCATTCATCATATCACAAAACAGTTATTTGTGCAATATTCTCGTGATTAACAGTTACATTTTCCATCACCATCTAACGTTTCATTTTTTTTTTCAATGATAAACACAGCTCTTATTTACGATTGGGAATACTAAAATCCCGAAACACGTGGAAATATTGCTTCGGGACGTTAGTGAGTTGAGTTTTTCCATTCTACTTTTCTTTTTTATGATTTGAAAAAAAAAAAACTTTACAGGATTAGTTTACTGGAAACTGTAGAAAGATAAACGTGCAATGATTGCGGATAAGTGGTTGTGTTAGTGTTACTTTTCTCTATTGCTTCTTTCACTCCATTGTGGGCTGGTTAGAATTTTCAAATGACAGATGACATCACGGAAAAGCCCTGTCTCTCAGCCATCGTGCTTAATATAAACCAGGGGAGATGAGAAAGCACAGCACAGAGAGAGAGGACTTGTTCCAACTATTCCATTCTGCATCAAACCCATATACTTTGCAGAGACTTAATCTGACTTTGGAGACTATTTAAATTTTTTTTTTTTCCTGTTAAGCAAACCTTAAGAAAGGTAAGTGTGCCAAAGTCTTTCTGATGTAAATTCATTAATAAAAAAATGTTAATGTTTTTTACCATTAAATGTCAAATGGTGATGAATTGAAAATATTTGCATTGAAAAAAAAACAACAAATCTTTAAATTAACTTTTATCAGCATGGCTGTTTTGGTCTATGTTTTGCAATTCTGTTTTTAATTTACAAAGCCACTGTTTAGTGAATAAATCTCATAGTGTATTTTAAACTGAAGTATGTTAGAGTGATGCGCATTGATCTGCAGAATATTTATCATGTAGTAGTAGTTTCCAGAGCTTATCTGATTGCGTTTATGGTGTTAATGCAAATTGGAAAATGCATTGGTTGACTTGTCGTTAAAGAGTTCAATGAAAAAGGGAATGTGGCACTGAAAGGATTAATGCAATTGTGAATATTTAATGTAAAATTAAAGTGAATAGCAGACTATTCATTTTGCCGTTAATGATGCTAAAGATTTATTGTGAATTCTGCACATTATGTATGCGTATACTTCTGAATGTGAGTATTACATTATCCACTTTTTAATGGTTATATGGTTTATTAAATTATGTTTTAACATGAATGTTGGGGTACTTTTCTGCAAGTAGAGGAAACAGCATGAGTATTGCGTTGGCTCCATGGTGATTGCTGAACTTTTAGAATTTAGTCCCGGAACTGCTTAACTTACATATGCAGTGTTTAATACAGGGACAGCCTAATGGTACCCCTCCATCCCCCTCACGGGTTCTTGTTGAACCATGATGCTTTGACAGACTCAAGGCTGGTAAAGCATCAAGGGAATTGTAGTCTTATAATGGCTACATTCTGGCTACTCTTTATTAAAAGACATTCGCAGCCTTTGTTTCGATCCTTAGCATCTCTGAACATAGCCAAGCAGACTATTCTAGTTGCCCTTGTTGGTATGAAGCCATTCAGGTAACCTTACTAAACATGGTAAAAGAAGTAGGTAATGCTAAACCCTGGTGAGGAGAGAATTACACATCCCAGATGCTGGGGCAAGCCATGTTTAGACAATGAGGACTAACCTGCCTGGCTACAATGATATGTTGATGTAAACATTTGGGATTTATGAGCTTTTAATTTACTGCGTGGAGCCTCTTGTGGCAAACCAAAGATGCTTCATTAGACATCCCTAGTGTTCAGCTCATTGGAAAACACAGGACAAATATAGGTTGGTGAAAAAATTGCATCTTCTCTAATGTGACTTAAATGTTAATAAATAGCAAGATAATCTCTCACCCTCCAGGTATAAGCTCACTGGTGTGCACTCAAATCTAAATAGCCCTGTTTAAGGCACCTTGAAAAAAAGGTTATTAATATTTCAAAACACACTTTATTATTGGCTGGTCAATCTTTAGTTTTTTGTTTTTATAGCAGTGAGTTACAGTGTGATGATAATCAGCTAACAGGATGTTGACCAAACTCTCTTGGTTGGAAAAAAGTAAATTTTCTGCATTTTCAGAATTGGATGGTTTTATTAGACGGGTTATTTTGGAGTTTATATTGTACAAAAATCGCTGCAGTTTATTGATTTGTAGAATAGATTCCTCCAATTTAACTGCTGGGAGACAGTTTAAAGACACCAAGGGAAAGAGTTTGTGAAATTAGATCAGTAATTTACACATTGAAACAATGTTTTGAATGGAACGATAAGGAAGACTGGTTACGGGTGATGTGGCATGGGATGTTAGGTTACTTTTAGGGATTTTCTGCCATAATATAGAAACATAGAATGTGACGGCAGATAAGAACCATTCGGCCCATCTAGTCTGCCCAATTTTCTAAATACTTTCATTAGTCCCTGGCCTTATCTTATAGTTAGGATAGCCTTATGCCTATCCCACGCATGCTTAAACTCCTTTACTGTGTTAACCTCTACCACTTCAGCTGGAAGGCTATTCCAGGCATCCACTACCCTCTCAGTAAAGTAATACTTCCTGATATTATTTTTAAACCTTTGTCCCTCTAATATAACATCTCTCTTAACACTCTTACTAAGACATTTTCCAAACATGCGTATTTATGCATTGAGTACACACAGATAATATAACTGGTATCTTGAGCGTCAAGTAGGAATTTACGGAACTATTCACATTAATATGTCCTTTATGACTACTTTGCTATATTAAGCAATTTGGATTTGTGCTGTTATTTAGCCGATGTGAATCACCTTGTTTATTCCTGTAGGCAGATGAACTCTTAGTACACTTTAGTAGTATGGACCTAATTGCTTTTTTAAAAAACAAAATTGTACAACATGCCTGTGTTAAACAAGTTGAAATCAATTATTTATTTATTTATTCATGTACTGCACCAATAATGTATTTTAACGTTTCTACAGGTTGGAACACCATGACTTTAAATGTGACAATGAGACGAAGTAGCACCACAGTGCAAACACAGCAACGTTGGAGTATTCCCGCCGATGGAAGGCAGTACTGTGTACAAAAGAACTCACATGCACAGCACAACCGCAAATACACCATCAACCCAGAGGAGTATTACCGGCGCAGCTGGTCATCGGACTCTTCAGACTCTGTCATTTCCTCCGAAAATGGGAATACATATTACCGCGTTGTACTAATAGGGGAACATAGTGTTGGAAAGTCTACCCTGGCGAGTATATTTGCTGGAGTCCCCGATTCTTTGGACAGTGACTGTGAAATGTTAAGAGGTACGTATAGAATACCTATCGCTGGTTGATCCTTATATATCATTATCACTATACATTTTTATGCTTTTTAAAATATATATATATACATAGTTAGCAATGGTAAGTAGACAACCAAGTTGCAAATTAATAATGCAGAACAAATTAATAATATATTTAGTAAACAACCACCACCCCAAAAAAGCAATACATACATAAAAAGAATGATGTGCATTTTCAAACAGAATACAGAGTTTTGGTATTATTTCCAATTACAAATAGTCCCTTTCATTTAATGTTATCCCTAACTCTACCCCATTTAATGTGTAAGTGGCTTGTGGGTTCCTTATTCCAAAATGCATGACTTTGCATTTATCTGTATTGAATCTCATCTGCCACTTGCCTGCCCCATCCCCCAATTTATCCAAATCCCTCTGTAGAGAAGTTACATCATGTCTTTTCTAACCTAATGTTGTATCATCTGCAAACACCAACAAATGCCTTTCAATGTCTACTTCAAGATCATTCAAATTATTTAGATGGAAGAGAAGAGGACACAGGACAGAACCATGAGGCACTTCGCTTACCACTTTTGTCCAATTTGTAAAAAAAAAAAGTGTTAACTAATGTCAGTGCTCCTATATTAGTTTATCTTCTTGTGTAAGAATCAGTTTCATATTTGTAGATATCAGCATTGACTTTGAAATGAGTAGAGGATGTAGAGTTGCCCCTTTGTGGGTATGTCATTGTGATAGTATGCATGACTGTGAGGCCAGCATGTGGATGGAATATCTGTGATACAAGTATCACTGATGACTGTCAGTTCTGAATGCAAGCTAGGCTGGCTGCTGTGCTGGATAGCCCCCTTGAGCTACCCCAAAGTGCAGTCCACTAAGGGGAGTTGGAGAAAGGGGGTGTCGTCCAGGATGTAAATATTCACATTTACATTACCCATTGCTCAATGCATGCTGTAGTGATAGGAAACAGCTGTATATTGGGGGTTTACAAGCATGAGCGAGGGGCTGTCACTTATATTAGGTCCTGTTGAATCTTTCACAATCACATACAGAGAATATGACAGTAACACAGGCAGTGACGTAACTCCTGGCAAATGGGAGTGCCAGGAGCTTCAGTGGGAAGATGACACTGCCAATGGAGATGATAACAGCAATACGTTTTACTTGAAGTTATCATTTCATTGTTCAGAGCTTTCTAATTATGACCAAAGATGTCACCTGTGTGTTTTTTGCATAAAGCATGTATATATTTACATGTACTTCAGGAGAAGTCGTGATGTTTATCAGTCGTATATATTTATATATTTTGCATATTCCATTTTTTTAAACAAATAAAATTATCTTTCCAGTAGCCCAATACACTGTTCAACTTCTTAAAGGGTCACTCTAAGCAGATCTACTAGTCCATACCTGTTAAGGTCCATTTATTCTACATCAGCAAATGTAGGATTTTCCTTCTTAGTCACCTAGCAGGAAGACATATCAGTTTGTAAATATTTGCAGTGCCATCACTTGTGTGTTTGCTGGTGAATCACGTTCACTTTCTTTTAGTTTCTTCCTGGAAGGCACCCTACTGGCTTTCTATTAAACATAATTTTAAAGGAAAGCACTATAATTAAAAAAAAAAAAAAAAAATACAACAAAATTCCATTGCTGCTTGTTTGTTTTTTTTTGTTTTTTTTACATAAAAATGCTGATTGCCAATAAATGAATTACAATGTGTGTTGATCATTTTACAGCCTGTATTTTTGTGTAACAAATAAAAGTGAATAAATGTCTTTCATCTCTGACCAATCAACGGGAAGGAACACTATAGGGTTAGGAATACAAAATGGCCAATGTTCAGTTCAACTACTGGCAACATTCTCACTAATTGTCATTAAAATATTGCTGCATTGCTGTGTCTGAAGCAACCACACAGCTGTCTGTGATGCTGGGAATGCCGTCACTAAATAGACCACCAAACTGTCATCCAAAATAGCTGGAATGGAAAAATAACTGAGCCAAAATATTATGACCTAAATTTGGCAAGTAAAAAATCAACTATTCATACATTCACTATTTAGTGAGAAAACCCTTAGGCATAGAGTAGCTAGCTTTGTTTTAAGGTTACTATACCGTTAACCACTTAACCAAAGGGTTCAAAAAGTATGAATGTCCATATATTCGGTGCACTTCAATATCGCTACTTGTTTGTTCATAAATGTTCCCACCTGGGCCCTGAATTGTAACATTTTTGTCATCCAACATCATGTAAAATCAACACCTAAATTATACATCCAATTGATACACAGTTCTGGAAGCTGGCTACTGGTGCCACTATGCCAGGGCCGTCTGCAAGGGACTGCTGAAAAATAACTTTTTTTTGGTCCTTATCTTAATTTTGCTTTCCATTACTACTTAGCTGAAGTGTCTTTGAAACCTAGAGACAGGATTAGCACCCTACACGCAGTACGTACACACTGAGCACTGCAGTCACATACTGTACCCAGCTTTCACATTCTGGCCACAACTTTTTACATATTTGTTGCCAGGGGCAAGAGATGGCTGAAAGTTCTGTGCCCACTGGCACCTGAAATGTAAATCCAGCCCTGTATATATACACTGATCAGCCATGACTTTAAAACCACTGACTGGTGAAGTCAATAACATTGATTATATTGTTACAATGTCAGGAAATATCAGGCAGCAAGTAAACAGTCAGTTCTTGAATTTCATGTGTTGTAAGTAGGAAAAATGGGCAAGTGAAAAGATCTGAGTGCCTTTGACAAGGACAAAATAATGATAGATAGACAGATGACTAGGACAGAGCATCTCCAAAAAGTCTTATGGGGTGTAATTGGTGGACAGAGACTCTGGTGTGGGGGTTGGGTGGTTAAAGTTTGTAATGTAGGTTAGGGGCTATAATGTGGGATAGAGGCTGTAGTGGGGTATAGTGGCTGATGAATCACATTTTTCTTTAGATCAGGTTGCAGTCTGGGTGTGTTTGCATAATTTACCTGGGGAAGAAATGTCAGCAGGATGCACTATGGTAAGAAAGCAGGCCAGTTTCTGGGGGTACTTGTCAAAGAAACAACTACATGAATGCCAGGACCCAAGGGTTTCCCAGCAGTGTTTTGCTCTGGACAATGTTATGCTGAGACATGTGGATGTTACTTTGACAAGTACCTCCTACCTAGAGATTGTTGCCAACCACGTACACCCCTTCATGGGAGTGATGTTCCATGATGGCAGTGGCCTCTTTTAGCAGGATAATGCCCTATTACACTGCAAGAATTGTCCAGGAATGGATTGATGAACATAAGAAAGAGTTCAAGGTGTTGTCTTGGCCTCATAATTCCCCAGATCTCCAACTGAGCATCTGTAGGATGTAATGGAACAACAAATCCGATCCATGCAACCTGCAAGATCTTAAAGGATCTTCTGCTAATGTCTTGGTGCCAGATACCTTAGGACACTTTCAGACGCATTAGAGATGTTTTGGCAGCACGAGGGAGACCTACATGATATTAGGCAGGCACTTTTAATGTTGTGGCTGATCAGTGTATAACCCTCCAGTAAAATGACATTATTTTTTAAAAGATTATATATTATTTTTTTGGGGGGGGGATGCACAATTAAATACAAAATATATTTGTCTATTTGAATGTTAGATTAATTTTATTTACTATCTGTGATTTTTTTTATTTAATTTTTTTTTTACAAAGGTATCTGTCTGTCTTTCTCTCTGTGTATTTGTCACACTCCGTCTGTCATCGTATCTACCATCTATCTTAATGCATTTTAGTGCATAGAGAGAAAGCAGTGCTGGGAATCTGACAACAAAGGACTAAAAAAATAAGAGCAATGGAAACTTAAACCAAAACCTCCTCCTCGGGAATAAATAGGGTTAACAGTTGTTGCTGCTTTGTGAAGAAATATTTTCCATTACCAAACAAAGTTGGAGTTTATCATGATCCACATTAGGGCCGCTGCTGTATTCCATTCAAATGAATAATCTTTAGAACATGCGTAAAATATACTCTAATATGCGGTCTTGGGGTAGATAGAAAATCATACGTCTCCCAGGAGATGCAGAATTAAATCCCCAATCGCAAAGGGGAATGGGGGAGAATAGGAATTCCTTATATAATTGTATATATAATGATGGATATGTTACAGTTAGCAGGGGAATTAAACCATGTATAGGGGATAAATGATACCACTATCGGACATAAATGACCCCCTATTTTGTTAATTCTAATAGTAGTATCTGTTCACTAAACCAGGGACTGTGGGAAATGTACAATATAAATTACTTTTTCAGGCCTAAATGGGCAAACTGGAAATAAAACGTTCTCCAACTTTTATTTTTTCATTTATAAACATTTTTTTTGTTATTTAAAAATTGGCTCTGTTTTATAAAATTATTTTGATATACAGTGTGTAAATATGGCATGCCTGTAATTTAACGGAAAAACCTAAATATACCTGCTTTGCTTTACACCTGAAAATTAGATCTGTTTTTGTATGCTATTAAGAAACAAAAAACAGAATTGTAAAACATTTTATTTTTTTCCCTTTACAGAAAGTACGTATGAAAGAACTTTGATGGTAGACGGAGAAAGTGCAACTTTAATACTTATCGATATGTGGGAAAACAAGGTATGTTTTCTTACTTTTTTATTTTAAAGAGTCAAGTTTTAATTTTCCAAAACATTGAAGGATTATTTTGTTCTTTACTGGTCAAACAAGCCAGACAAAATAAAACGCTGTTCCAAACTAATCATGCTCCGAGTACAGTTTTTATTTCATGGTCCCAAATTAGCCAGAGGAAAATGCATCCAAATATTTCTCATGCTTGATTGTTTGTTCAGAAAAGCTTTTATTTTTTAGACTGTGAATAAAACCTTTCAGGGCAAAAAATATTTCATGTGTTACTCTATGCGGACAACTTAAAATGGTTTCCAAACACAGGTCTATATTTAAGCAATAAAGGGTTTATTCACAAATCAAACAAATAAAAATTGAGGGTCACCAGATAACTCACAACAAATAGCCAACAACTTATTTCTAGATTTGTAATTGTATCTTGAAGTGCATTGTTTACTACGTGCTGGCAAGGTCTCCTCCTCTGCGACATGACGTAGATGGAGAAACCTAGTGGGCATACGCAACGAGCACTGACGAGCACTGAGCACGCATTAAAGCTTCCTCTTTGGAAAACATTGGCTCAATGCTTTCCTATAAGGAAACTGAAGACGTTAAATGTACTCATGCAAAGCGTGAGAAAGTCCAGTGTTGTTTCATCAAGCTAAACTCCTTTTGGGAGCAGGAAGCACCTCTAGTGGCTGTCTGGAGAATATCTGGAGACAGCCACTAGAGGTGGATTTAAAACTGCAATGTAAACATTGCAGTTTCTCCGAAACAGCAATGTTTTCAATTACAGGATTAAGGGGACAGGGACAGTGAACCCAGACAACTTCAAGTGAAGTGGTCTGGGTGCCTGCAGTGTCCCTTTAATAATATTTGTTTAGTCAAAATAGTTGGAAGAATCTTCCATCACAGCTATATTCATAGCTTGGCTGTTTAGTCTAAACATTTTAGTTTTGTTTTTTTCAGTGAGTGTTACAGGATTTTTGATGCCATTTATTTAATCTATTGTACATTTTGTTCCTAAGCAAATAAAAAATAAACAGCATAAATATTCTGCAGAAAAATGAACCCATAAAAAGGTGCTAAAACCAAAATAAAAATGTAAATGTCTATAAAATGTCCAAAAGTGTCTCAATAATGATGATCTACTCGATAGAATAAAAGCCAAAGGTTATAAGATCCGCTGATAAAAACAGGATGTAGTGCTTTTCATAAAACCAAGAGGTTTATTTAACACAAAAACGAACACTTACAAAATCCTAAATGGGTACAGGCATCTCAGGAGTACAACACTCCTTAAGTATAATCCAGATGACAGCAGATCAGCAGTCTGGTAACTAACATGTAGAGTGCTTGCTTAAAGGAATACGATAGACATCAATATACTATAGGCAACAGCTTTAGCTTAATGAAGCAGTTTTGGTGTATAGATCAGGCCCCGTTAGTCTTAGTGCTCACTTCTCAGTCATTTAGGAGTTAAATCACTTCTGCTTCTGTCTGTGCAGGCTTAGACTCACTTCCCTTGGCTGTGATTTTCAATCAGATGTTAACTTGTTTTATAAATTTTTACCTCCTGCTCTGTAAATTGAACTTTAGTCACACACAGTTGGCTCCTGTAGGGTCTAGAATGCCTGTAACAGAGCAGGAGATTATACATTCTAAATTAAACAGAATGTGCAATAAAGGATGTTTAAACATTACACATCTCTTTACAGAAGTGTTTAGAAAAGCTGTATAACTAGTTGTGCATAAACAAAGTGATTTAACTCCTAAATTGCAGAGAATTAAGCAGTGAGACTGCAGGAGCATGATCTATACACCAAAAAAATAAAAAAATAAATTAAGCTAAAGTTATTTTGGTGCCTATAGTGTCTCTTTAACGCTGTCTCTGCCTGGGCGTACGTTTCAACAGTGACCACCAAGGATCTGTTGCGTGTCAAAGGAAACACTCATTGATTCTGCCTAATGTGCTTCTTGTAGTAACTTTACAAAATAGAGTGAATTAAATAGCGTTTAAATGTGAAATCATTGATAACTTATTAGCTGAAAATACTCTGTGGGCACTCCAAATATCCCACAATAATATGTTTCTTGAATATCTCTACTTTATCAGAGGGAGATATCACTACAGTCAAACTAAAGCATAATATGTAATATTAAAGAGAATTCATAGCATAACATGAACTCTAGTTAAGTTGTACATTTGTTTTTTAACATGGTCAATGCTAAATGTTCCAAGTCCAGTAGGACCACCGATATACCCCATAAAAAAAAAAAAGACTCAGTTGAGGTGCAAGTAATACTTCTTATTTTATATTTAAAAAATGGCAACATTTCAGCCACATTTAGTTGCGACTGCAAAGGTGACACTTAAATCCTTAAATCGACTTGTTAAATGTTTACAAGTCAATTTGGCATTAACACACCTCTCTTGATTAAATGAATAGATCCTTTAACAACTGTTAAAATGATCTCTTGAAGTCAATATAACTTATCCAGCATTTGATAAATTGAGGTGGTTTACGCTGGTGGCATTGAATGTGAATTAGGAATCTTACACATATTTAATGCACTTCTCTCATGTAGCATTTTATTTCTTATTAACAGGATCAGGATAACTGGATTCGTGACCACTGTATGCAAATCGGGGATGCTTATCTAATAGTTTATTCCATCACCGATAGAGCAAGTTTTGAGAAAGCTTCTGAACTCCGCATTCAGCTCAGAAGAGCACGCCAGACTGAAGACATTCCGATCATACTTGTGGGAAACAAAAGTGACTTGGTCCGGTGCCGAGAAGTCTCTGTATCAGGTATGTAGACTGCAAGTATAAAATACATTGTTTCTAAAAAGCACACCAATTGTTTTAGAAAACCTCAGCATGTTAATGGTTGAATAAAAATAAAAACGTGCATTGATTTGTGCTAGATAGAAATGCATTTTCTATCTATAGTTTCATATATTTTCGTAGGGTGAATTTTTTTCCCAACTCTACCTCACCTACTGAAGAATAGGGCAAGGCCATTAGGTTTTGGGTTAGAATAGCAGAAATGCAATATTTTTTTTTAATATTTTGCTTACAGAAGTCAGAATGTCTTAATCCAAAAACATTTTATTATTTTAAAAATGTCTTAAACAGTGATTCTTAAATAGTTTTTAAATGAACTTTAAGTCATTATTACTGCAGATACGTGGTCCCCAATCCAGTCCTCAATGACCACCAACAGTCCAGGATTGATGTATTTACCATTTTTATTCAAATGGAGATACTAACGAGACCTTGACTCTTGGCAGTCCATGAGGAATGGGTTGGGGACCATGGCCTATATCATTAAATATACCAGAGTCCAATTGCCCAAACTAGCATGCCCTTCACCAATATTCCTGAACGGTATATGTACTATGGATCCAATACTGATTATCTTTTTTATTGTGAACACTAAGGGGGTGTTATGACCCATCAATAATGCAGATTTTGCTTTCTTATTCTAGAAGGGAGAGCATGTGCTGTGGTGTTTGACTGCAAGTTCATTGAGACATCAGCAGCCGTCCAACACAATGTGAAGGAACTATTTGAGGGAATTGTACGGCAGGTACGTTTAAGGAGGGACAGCAAGGAGAAGAATGAAAAGAGGCAGGCATTCCAGAAAAGAAGAGAAAGCATCCCAAAGAAAGCCAGAAGATTCTGGGGGAAAATTGTAGCCAAGAAGAACAAAAACATGGCTTTCAAGCTAAAGTCCAAGTCTTGCCATGACCTTTCCGTACTATAAATATCCTGGATTTGCAAAAACCCACAAAATGTGTTCTTTTGATGGACATCATTTGGCTATTATTTTGGACAATAAGCAATCTATATTAGATTGGATAATGCTACAATTTACTTGTGTCTTCCACAGCAATGATGAAGATTTACCATCACAGTTAGTTAAAATGGACATAAAACCTATTTGACATTGATATTTATATCCATGAACAAGTCTACTGGTCTTTTGCACCAGTGTGCCTAATTTTCACTACGTTTTTATTATTTTTTTTTATTACCTTGTTTTTCATTGAATTGTTTGTTTATTTGAAAGCTTAGATTGTGATAAAACAAATGGTGACCAGCATATTGCGTCCACTGTGTTTGCCGATGTGTACACAAATTGTAGCTCTCTAATTCAATATGTTTTCTTCCTGCTTGGAAGACAATGTTTTTATTGCCATATTGGTGCAAAAGAAAACAGGGGGAACACTACCGCCATTTAGTCCCCTCCCCCCCCTTTTATAAGGCCTATGTATTCATGGAGGAAATTGTAGAATATTCTATCAAAGGTCTTGTTCAATCTAAAGAATGTATTGCAAGTCAAAAAGGAACAGTTTGTTGAATTCTAAGTTACCTAAGGTTTTGAAAGAAGGTGCTATCTAAATTCTAAATCTTCCAGTTGCTAAAGATACTGTTTTGAGTTCCAAAAATAAATACACTGCTATATAATAATATTTATATAGAACTATCTTTGGCATTATTGAATTACTACCAACAAGTATTATTTTCTTATACTACTAGGGCACTTTAATTTCCCAAATGTTCCTGAATATGATGCAAGATCATAAGAATCAGACATGATTTACTGCTAACCATAGACCTGTACCGGACCATGGTTATACCGACTACAGTGCTTGTAGTAGAACAATTTGTGGTGATCTTGCATCATGAGCTAGTGATATGTATCCTAAGTGTATGTGGGGGTCTAGGATGGATAATATGGAGAGTTTCTGCCCTAATTGCCCTTACGTTTATTGTCATGGACAAAATAGATGTATATTACACAAGTGCCTTATTACATTGGTTTAACTTTTTTTTTAGTGAGGGATGGCCAATGCATTGCTTTGCCACTGTCAGAAGAATATGAGAAACTGAAAAGTGTGAGAAAAATCTAAATTTGTAGAATTAAATAGTAGAATGGACCATCTGGGTTTATTGACTACTGAACAACCAAATTGTAACTTTCTGGCACTCGAGAAATTAAATGGGGACTTGAATGGTTTTAAGTTGTCTAATCGATTGCAGAGGTACGATTCTAGTTTGGATTGTTACAAAGCATTTCTAGCTACAAATGTAACCATTCACCAATAAGAGTAGCGTTTCCAATTTACAGGTTTTAGAGGTTTTTATCTATCAATATCAGTAACTATTATTTTTAACATCTTAAACATGGCAGCTTGGATTTTTTAAAAAATTGGATTGTTTTATTAATCAAAATATACTGAAAACTAAATGAAGTAATTGCTAAAGGTTTTATCAATGGTAATCAGCCTCTGCAACTTAAAGGAATTGAGAGTCATTTGGTTTATATGTTAAGAACAGTTTAGGAGCTACCCTAAAGACAGCGCAATCACCATGGAAATTACTACATTATTCCTGCTGATTGGTCAACTGTTGATAATTGCTCAGGGCTACTATTTATATATAAACCCCGCAGACCACGATAGATTGACTCTTATGAGTTACGTGTACCTGCTAATTACTAAGTGTACTCCTTTGTAACTCATTTAAAGTTCCTGTGATGGATGTTATCTTCCAGTGAATATGTAGAATACCGCAGTCTTTTCTCTTATATGTCAAGGCATTTATAGTATTGCTATGATGATTATAAAAGCATATGCATTGGGATAGTTTGAACATTTAATAGGAAAGAGTATCACAAAGACATTCTGTCATGCTGAGGGTCTCTTAGTAGATTAACTTTGTCGATGTGTACCCTGTACCCATGTATAGGGTTAGGATATCTTAAATTGCACAGATTTAAAAAAAGAAAAATTAGATTACATTACTAAGAAATATGTTTTGGTCTCATGTATGTATCTTGTCTGGGGAACTGTCAATGGTCTTCCATAATAGAGATGGACAACCTTTGTTTCATCTTGAAATATTACTCATTGTCGTGTTTAATTTAATCAATGGTAAAATAATCAGGAAAAAAACAACAAGAAATCCAAAAAATAAAAGAAAGGTGGGGGAAGTTCAGATTATTTTGGTGCATTATAGAAAAGAAGTGAAATAATTGGTGGTGCAGCACCTGCAGTCTCATTGCTTAATTTCCCACCAATTAGAAGTTAAATGACTTTGTTTATGCAGCCCTAGTCACACCTCCCTGCATGTGACTTACACAGCCTTCCTAAACACTTCCTGTAAAGTGAGATATAATGTTTACACTTCCTTTATTGTGCAGTCTGTTAAATTTAAAATGTATTTTATCCTGCTTTTGTAATAGCCTTCTAGACCCTGCAGGACCCTCCTGTGTGTGACTAAAGCTAAATTTACAGGGCAGGAGATAAACATTTCTAAAGCAAATTAACAGCGGATTGAAAATTAAACAATTTTTTAATGCAGGTTGTGTGAGTCACATCCAGGGGAGGTGTGGCTAGTACTGCATAAACAGAAACAAAAGTGATTTAATTCCTAAATGGCAGAGAATTAGGCAGTAAAACTGCAGTGGCATAATCTATACACTAAAATAGCTTCAATAAAATAAAGTTGTTTTAGTGCATATAGTGTATCTCTAAAGGACCACTATAGTGCCAGGAAAACATACTAGTTGTGCTGGATGGAGAGGAAGGGGTTAAACACTTACCTTTCTCCAGCGCCAGGCTCCCTCGGTGCTGGGGACTCTCCTCCTCCTTTCCCCGTCATTGGCTGAATGTGCATGCGCGGCAAGAGTCGCGCGCGCATTCAGCCAGTCTCATAGGAAAGCATTCTTAATGAAACATCAATGAAACAGCCGCTAGAGGCTGGATTAACCCATTTGTAAACATAGCAGTTTCTCTGAAACTACTATGTTTACAGCAGAAAGGGTTAATCCTAGAGGGACCTGGCACCCAGACCACTTCATTAAGATGAAGTGGTCTGGGTGCCTATAGTGGTCCTTTAATGACAAGGGTTATGGTTAACAGTAGGCCCTTTAAAAATGGCTTGTTGAGCAACATAGGAAATACAACCCAAACAAGTAGCAGTGAGAAGTTAACCATGGCTCTTAGAAATATAAAAGTCTACAATAAATATTTAGTGCTTGGATATGTCTGCCCATTTGAAGAAAAAAAAGAGGAACATATGCTTTTTGCTATAATGCTTGTCATTGGAGAGTACATGATATATGTATTTATTGTTATATAGTTATCTATGAAATTTTGTTAATTTTTAACTTCTTTAAAAACTTTTTTCTTTTTTACTTTGTATATTTGAATTTCAAAAAATAAAAACAAACAATCTAATGTATGTTTCCTGTAGTATTTTACAGAAAAAAATTTTTTTTATGCACATTCAGATTTTCATTTATGCACTTGCTATTTTAAAACGAGCCTCTAATGCCCAAGAAGAGGTTGCAGTTTACTAACCATCCGGCTTGGTTTGTGTTGTACAATGAATGCTTCCTAAGTTCATTTTTGTTAAGGTTATTGTTGTCCAAGGTTTCATGTGTTCGACTTGCTAAATTAGCAGCATTATTTAAAGGGACACTATAGTCACCAGAACCACTACAGCTTAATGTAGTTGTTCTGGTGTTTATTGCCTGTCCCGGCAGCCTTTTCAATGTAGACACTGCCTTTTCAGAGAAAAGGCAGTATTTACATTACAGCCTTGGAACACCTCTAGTGGCCACTCCTCAGACAGCCACTAGAGGCATTTCCTGGGTGTACAGTACCCATGTTCAGCAACTCCAAGCTCTGCATTGAGATGCTGAATGTTCTCCATAGAGATGTACTGATTCAATACATCTCTATGAGGAGATGCTAATTGGCTCAGCATGGTGATTTGCTGAGCATGCACAATAGCTTTTCAATGCTTTCCTATGGGAAAGCATTGGATTGGCCGAAATCATCAAGATTGATGATCTTAGCCATGGAAGCAGAGCCAGCCGCCGCGAGACCGGCCACTTCAGGACTATAGTGTCAGGAATACATGTACACTATAATGCTCCTTTAATCATTGTTAGTGTTGTCTATGGGGAGTTGTGGATGCTAGGGACTCCCCAGTTTAGGTTAGGCTTCTGAAAAATAGCTTTAAAAAAAACACAATTAAAAAATAGCAACAAACAAAAAACTAAATGGGTAACCGAGGCCAAAGACTCAGAACACTGTAACTACTAAACGTAATAAACTACAGCACATTTAAACAGATCCAGAACAGGAATTGCTTTGCAAGAAGCAGATTTGACATTCTAAATGTTGAAACACTATCCAGTTCAAAAGCTTGAAGGTTCTTATGTAGGAGAAATCGAAGTGCCACAACGCAAATCATTTTGCTGTGCTCCTTACATATCCCTCAGCCTACATACAACATATAAACATATGACAGGGTAATAAAATGGATTTGTTTTCACTTGGCTTGATGCAAACACAGGATGTTAGAATGTGGATGATGATCAAAGCACCACTGTACTCAGGCATGCTCAGTGTGCACCAAGATGTCAATTTTGAATTCCCTCTTTTAATCTTCTGTAGGGTGTCTGAAATCAGTGTATAATAGTTAAAAATAGTTAAAATCTCTGTGAAACTTTTCACCAATGTAATGACCTCTGTATCTGTAATGCAGAGTTTTTGGAGGCAATTCCCATAAAGGAACTTTTTGTTTTTTTGTTTTTACTCATTCTCTTCCCATCAGAATGGGGAGATTGGGTTTTCAATCCCTACAGTTTAATGCTTTTATTTTTTCTTCTGATTCATATTGTTTCGCAAATGTATATTATCTTAATATATTTAGTGTATGCCCTTGAATTGAGACAAACTACATTAATGAGTGAACATGCAAGAGTGAATAGGTTTTCTTTTTTATGTATTGGTCCATATAAAAATATTTTTACTGCATTTGTCACATCTTAAAGAATATTAGATCTGATCTGATTTAGCAAAAATCATGATTAAATTTTTCTTAATGCCCATAAAATATTTAAACCATGGCTGACAGACTAAAGACACACCTCTTGATCACCTCATCTCAGCACCATGTGCGCTTGTTGAAAATTTGTTTCACAAACCTCAGCACTATGTGCTTACTGGAAATGCTTCCCCAAGTCCCTGTAGTGTGTGTTTGTCTGTAGAAGCATGCCGCCAGACTACCCCAGGTTTCCACTTACAGTCCCATTATTTTCTTGCATGTAACTCCATGTCTTAATTTTTAAATTAGAGTTTACTGTGCTAACAATTGTAGTAATTTCATATATTACCATAAATTATAGATTCAGAGCAGGATAGTGTAACTCATTTACCTAAGCTGTTTCCTGCATACTGAGTAATAAAAAAAGTATGTTTAAAATCCTTTCCGAGCCAGAAGTGTGCTACTCAAATTGCTTTCCTTTGCAATGTGCTGGTAATGTCTCTGGGTCTCAAAAGGTAAAAATAAAATAAAGATTATTTATATTCTAATATCTCATATGAGACCAATAGATCAGCAGGTGGGAAGGTGAGGTTTTTAGAAAGAATGTGTGTGTGTTCTTATGGAATGTAGTGTATAGTAATACCAGTTTGTGTTTATAGTTGATGCAGTGTGTTTGTGTGTAAGGGATAGAAAACACTGTGTGTTTGTGTGTAAGGAATGCATTGTGTGTTTCTTTGTGTGTGTGTGTGTGTGTGTGTGTAAGGGATGCATTGTGTGTGTGTGTGTGTGTGTGTGTGTGTGTGTGTAAGGGATGCATTGTGTGAATCTGTGTTTGTATGTGTAAGGGATGCAAGGTGTGTTTCTGTGTATGTAAGGGGTGCATTGAGTGTGTGTAAGATGCATTGTGTTTCTGTGTGTGTAAGAGAAGCAGTGTGTGTTTGTGTGTGTGCGTAAGGGATGCATTGTGTATGTTTGTATATAAGGGATGCATTGTGTGTGCAAGGGCTGCATTGTGTGTGTGTGTGTGTGTGTGTGAGGGATGCATTGTGTGTAAGGCTGACTGTGTAAGGGAAGCATGGTGTGTTTCTGTGTGTGTGTAGGATTCACTGTATGTTTCAGTGTGTGAGTAGGGATGCATTGTATGTTTATGTGTGTGTGTAAGTATGCATTGTGAGTATCTATGTATGTGTAAGGATGCATTGTGTATGTGTGTAGTGTGAAAGAGAGGGTTTGTGGTCCCTCTGTGTGTCTTTCCCTTTCCAATCCCAGGTCCCTCTGTGCGTCTTCCTCCTGAGCCCCTCTGTGTGTCCCTTAGTAAACTTCCCTCCCCTCCTGTCCCTTAGTGCTCCCCCCCCACTTCCCTGTTCCTTAGTGATCTCCCATTCTCCACTGTCCCCCTTTCCCTTAGAGTTCTCCCCCACCTCCCCTGGTGGTCTCTCTCACCCCTCCTTCCCCTGGTGGTAACTCCCCTCTCCCCCCCTCCCCTGGTGGTAACTCCCTTCCCCCCACCTCCCCTGGTTGAATCTCCTCTCTCTCCCTTCCCCGGGTGGTATCTCCCCTCTCCCCATGGTGGTATCTTCCTTCTCCACCTGGTGGTATCTCCCCTCTCTCCCCCTCTCCCCTCTTGGTATCTCCCCTCCCCACCCTCTCCCCTGGTGGTATATCTCATCTCCACCCCCCCCTCCCCTGGTGATATCTCTCCTCTACCCCCTTCTCCCCTGGTGGTATCTCCCCTCTCCCACCCCCCTGCATTTCTGGTTTCAGTGGCAACAGCACCAGGGTGTGCATCATGGGGGAATGACCCCAGGGACAGCTCCTCTTTTAGGGCGTACCGGCTCTGGGGGCACAGAATACTAGTGACCAGGCAGGAGGGAAGCGCACAGCACTCCCTCCTGCCAGTCACTCTGTGTAGCGTGCTCAGACCGCGGTACAGGAGCTTCTGTTTCCTGCACCTGGCCGGACTGACTGGAAGTGCTGAGAGAGCACTTCCTGTAAATCTGGCCGGGTACAGGAAGCTCTTGTACCGCGGTCCGCGTTGCCTGGCCACGCTACTCACAGTGACTGGCAGGAGGGCGCGCAGTGTGCGTCTCTCCTGCCAGGCCACTCGTATCCAGCACCCCAGAGCCGGTGCACCATAAAAGACGCGCCGGCCCTGGTGTCACCCACCCCTTCACCCCCCGTGATGCACACCCTGGTGCGACCCCCCCGCACTACCCTTGTGACGCCACTGAAATCAGAAATGCTAATTTCCTCTTCTTAACCTGCTTAATGAACTAGAGCAAGCGTGTCAAACTCGCGGCCCACAAGGACCATCCTTGCGGCCCGGCGAGCTGAGAGTACATGCTCAGTGTTATAGCAGAGTAGGCACCTGCTTTCCCCATATTGCAGGTGCCTACTTTGCTAACATTTACCCGAGGGAGCTCAGTTTTCCTGCTCCTCACTGCTCCCTCACGGGCGCCGACAGAAGTGAAGCCGGGCGCCGGAATATGACGTCATATTCCGACACCCGGCATCACTAAACAGCGCGCGGGAGCAGTGAGGAGCAGGAAAGACCACACGGAGATGCCCCCCATCGGCTCCATAAGATAAGAGCAATAACGAAAAGTATCTGTGTGTAAGTGTGTGTCTGTCTGTGTCAGTGTGTGTGTATCTGTCAGCAAGTATGTGTGTCTGTCTGTCAGTGAGTATGTGTGTGTGTCTGTCAGTGTGTGTGTCAGTCAGTCAGTGAGTGTGTGTGTCTGTCAGCAAGTATGTGTGTGTCTGTCAGTGAGTGTGTGTGTGTGTCTGTGTGTGTCTGTCAGCAAGTATGCGTGTGTCTGTCAGTGAGTATGTGTGTGTCTGTCAGCAAGTATATGTGTGTCTGTCAGTGTGTGTGTCTGTCAGTGTGTGTCTGTCTGTCAGTGAATATATGTGTCTGTCAGCAAGTGTGTGTGTGTCTATCTGTGAGTATGTGTGTGTGTGTCTGTATATGTGTGTATGTATGTGTCTGTGAGTATGTGTCTGAGTATGTGTGTGTGTTTGTCAGCAAGCATGTGTGTGTCTGTCAGCGAGTATGTGTGTGTCTGTCTGTCAGTGAGTATGTGTGTGTGTGTCTGTCAGTGTGTCTGTCTGTATGTGTGTCTGTCAGTGTGTCTGTATGTGTCTGTGAGTATGTGTGTGTCTGTCTGTGAGTATGTGTCTGTCTGAGTATGTGTGTGTGTCTGTATGAGTATGTGTGTGTGTTTGTCAGTGAGTGTGTGTGTCTGTCTGTCAGTGAGTATGTGTGTGTGTCTGTCAGTGAGTATGTGTGTGTGTGTGTGTGCGGCCCACATAAACTTAAACCTTGTTTATGTGGCCCGTGCCACACTTTGAGTTTGACATGCTTGGACTAGAGGAAGCCCATTGATAATACTGCCATGGATAATAAACAGGAAAAGAAAATTATGATAAATATGTCTATGGCTAGCTATAGCTGCTCCATATTCCTGGCCAAATTCCTTTCTTACATAAAATTATTCCTACCAGTTTAAACATAAGTTCTCTGCTAGTCTACCCCAATCTATTTCTATGGTTGATCACAGAATGCTGGAATTCACGTGTTTTTCTGTGGTGGCTTTGCAGTGATGTGAAAGTGCGACTCTGTAGACCAATGCCACAATTTTTAACCTCATTCCGAACTCTCAAACTTTTCACCTCTCAGTAAATCAACCTCATGGGTTACTACGTAACCTAATCAACAAGTCAGGTTTTTATTTAGTTTTCAAATTCCATTTATCAAATATTTCATTGTGCAGAGTCTTACCACGTGTGCCATTTTGCTATTATGATTGTTTTTTTAAATAATTCATCAAATAAAGATACTACCAAAAACTAAAGTCATGGGTTATCATTGCTATCCTTACTTGATCCTTGTAATGTTGAGCTTTCCTTAAAAAACAACGCTACTAAAGTAAGAGTTGTGATTTCGGCAAGCGCCAGTTTAGGGTGGAGGTTGTGATCGAGTTTAATGGGTCTTTTAGCTTTGGAGTAGTTCATGTTAGGGTTTGGAGGCCTAAGGTTTATGTTCCAAATGTGTTTTAAAAAAATGTGGTTTAGTGTTTAGGGTTTAGGGGAAATTTCCTGCTGTGGTCGCTATTTTCCTAGTCATGTGAGTTAATCCAGGGGAATACTTCTAAAATAATAAGTCTACAATTTAAACTTTTATGCAATTTAAACTTTATTGAAGGTTTTCAAAATAACAGAACAAAACAGAAAATGCTAAGCATGAGATTGGACTAGACTGAGAATATAAACAATACAATATAGCTACGTAATGATCCTACCAGGCGCAGATTGTCACAGCGACAAAGCATATCATTGGCCTTTGAGGGGTTAAAATGGAAACTCTAGAAAAGGCTACTGAAACTTTTGTTCCTGCTTTTGTAAGTTCTAGCAACAGCATTTACAAGGGACACGTTTGACCACGGAATCACACAACAGGAAACCACTTTAATGAATTAGTATTATTATTTTTTTCACTACCATTCACACTGACGTTGTATAACAGAACCTAAGAAGTGATATTGAAAAAAGGGATGGGCTGTACTTTGTATAAAAGCAAAGTATCAGACTGATCTATAGTAGAAGTTAGTAGTTGCCATTGGATTTTTGTTATATTTTATGCACCTCCCCAGTTTCTACGTCTGGTAAATGATTTGCATGAGATAATAGGTGGAGAACGATAAAGAGATTTACAGCCAGCAAAGTACATCGACTCATCTGGGAGACACCTATCAGGCAAATGTTCTTGAAGATTTGAAATACCTATTTTTTTCTAAGGCCAGGTAAGCACTCAAACTAAGGAAAAATATAGAAAGAACACGTCTAGATTCACAAAATAAACGTATTTAATGTGAATTGAAGATCAAAATATTATCATCTGTACCTGCCAAGCATTGTATGTAGTGGGAGCAATGTAACCTTTCATTTTACACAATGGTATCAAGTGAAGATTTTTAGAATTTTTGCATTCATTTAAAAGATTGAAAATGTCATAGAAATTCATATATATTTTTTAAAAACTTTTTTATTAATTTGTTCACTAGTTGTGTGGATAGTAAGAATGTATTGCTTTTATTGCATATTCGGTCTTGTCTTTTTACATTTAAGGAACATGCTTTACATTTTAAATTATTCTTGCAGGTGTTTAACCAGAATTGATATATTTTATTTAAAAAGTATAAAATTATGTGTATATTTATGCACCTAATTTTTAGCATTTTTTTTTTACTGTGTGTGAGTACTATAAGGTGTTGTTCTTAAACAATCAAATCATTAATTTTGAACATATATTTTCCATTTTCATACCTTAATTATTTTTATTCGTGCTAGTTAAATTTCAGTGTATTGATTTTTATATATTATTAGACTCTTTTCCTTTGCAATTAAATAACATTTGTGATAACCAAAAATGACGGTAAAATTATCAAATTTAAAATCTCCTGCACAATGAAAAGGCAGACGTTTTTAGTTTTCTCTACCTAGGCAATATAATTTACTGAATTCGTATATTTTTATCTTAATATATTGGGTAAAAACAAAAGTAATACTGTAAAGGTTGCGACATAATTAATGTCAAGTAATTTCTAAAAACAGCATTCAATTTGTTCCTCTGTAGAAATCCATATATTTCATATTTCAGATGAAATTTGTTATAAAATAATATATTTTGAATAAATTGTCCCAATCAAAGAACACCTTAGATATGTCCCATGTTAAAAAAATATATAGAATAATTATGTAATAATAATTATTGTTTTAAAAGAAGTTTACAATTGTTTAGCATTTCATTTGTTGTTGCCAAACTATAGAATTAAATTCTCTAAATTAATTTTAAAATAGTTGAATTTATTAGTCCCAATGTAACACACAGTTGTTGTGATTGGCAGAAAGTTGTGGGTGCCTTTTCATTTCTGTTAATTACAAGACATTGGAAGAAGAATGAGACAGTGAAGCTTACTTATATCCAGGTCTATGTCATTCATTCAGTCTTGAGTGCCCAAATAGTACTGCATTACACAGTGATAAAGCTGACAATTTATTTATCCTGTTAAGAGGATTGGGGGCAGGATGGTGTAGGTTAGGGGCAGTTATATTAGAAATTATATTCTGAAAAAATATACTGTACATTATATATTATATATCCAAGGCTCCCTCGTATTCATGATCACAGTGAGGGCGTGGATAGCTTAGGTTACTGATTAACGAGTTACTAGTTACCAAAAGGATATGTACTTTGTTATACTAAATGGAGATGGTATTAGGATCTTGTCATTGGGTGTAATATTCAAACTCGCGAACCAGTACATTAACACGTTGATTTCCTGTCCCTTCTAGGAAACCTCCCACTGAATATTGCAACAGCATTTTATCATTGTATAATTTAGGCCTAAATTTAATATTGTTGAATACGCTTATCAAGTTATTGAATATTTTTAGATAAACTTTTACAATTATTTTTACAAAATATCAAGAGATCGGAAATGTATCATATACAAACATATATCAGTATCTAAAAAAAAATATTAAAATATTACAAAATGTATATGTATTTCACAATATGAAATCATTTAAAAAAATGTATCCAGCAATATTTTAAATCATGGCCATAATTAGAATATTATGCCAACATACATAATAAGAGAAAATGAGAAGCAACAGGGCTAATGGAGAATGTTAAAATCTAGTTCGTTTCCACATTAACACTCATTGAAATTATTTAACCCCTTAATGACCCTAGGTGACTGGACGGTATTGTTTAAAGGTGTGTTTTTTTGCATAAATCAGCTAAATCAACTAATAAATTGCTCCTGAACACACAAAGGAGTTTATTATAAATGTCATTCCTTCCTTTGAATATTTACCTTCATTGACTTCTTAATATATCAGTTTTTATGAAGACATTAATGACAAGCTACTTGGCTCAACTTTTGAACTTTGCACATGTCTTAATTTGCCAATGTAGGCTCCGCCCTCTTTACAGACCAGTAAATGAGTCATTGTTCAGAGGAACTAATTTGTTAGTGGACTCTTTTTTTTTTTTTTCATGGGATTCATTTTTTTTTTAGGTGGTGTGAATGAGGCAGGTGAAGATGATCCGACACCTGGTGATTTTTCTATTTCTTATTCAGATACAGGTAAGAAATAGCTTTTTGTCGCTTTTTGCAACAATAAACCTTGTTATTATTTTTTCTCTTCGAATTATATTTGCTTTATTTTAACTGTGCCCATTTTAGTAATTTTTTAGTGCTGCTTATGTCAAGTTATTTTGTTAAGTGGGCTCTTCTTGAATATAGACGATGAACAGACCAACATTCTTAAACGCGTATAATAGTGTTTTAGATTTTCTCAGTATTCCAATATTGCAGTGACTGAAATAATGTAATTTTTTTGAATCATTGTGCTGTTGTCTTTGAGTTCTACACGATAGTGCGGACATTGTATGGTTTTCTGAGATATATTGTTGATGTCCATCTTGTATTTGAGGCATTTGCCTTTCCCACCGCAGTAATGCATGAAGGTGATTTTCACTCTTATGTCATAGACTTTCAAAAACAAGATCTCAGTATTTACAAGACGGATTTAACTTGCTTGATATCTAAGTGGCTTTTGTCATGAACATAGTAAGACATGACAAAATATCTGAGACATTTAGTGATGCTCCAATGATAACGGGGGACCCAAAGACACCTTGATCTAGATGTGCTTGATGTGTTTAAAACCCTTTCTCTACTTCTCAAACAAACCCCTACGTTAGCCATGCCTCTTCAACACACGCAATGGATTCCAAAGTAGTAACAACATATAATTTAGTTAGAATGATGCATTTCAATGTGATAAAATGAGCAGGAGCATCGGTTGAAAGGTCACGAAAACATATATAGATTACAATCAAAAGAATTTGGAGGCAAAGAAGATAGGTGCGGTAAAAAGAGAGCAGTATATGGGTGGGGCAGAGAAAACAACCAGAAACAGGGATCTAGGTCAGAGGCAGATAAAGGTAGAGCGATATGGAATGGTTAACACAAGTAAGAGCATAAGTGGTAGAAAACAAAGACAGTTTACTAACAAAATTAAACAATGATGACAGAAATGGGTTTGGAAGAAAGGGATCGGTGGAGTGTTTAGTGACCTAGCAGCAGAAGACACAGGAACATGATTCCATAACCAGAAAACAAAAGAAATGATAAAAGAATGTCATACACTAGACATTGAGTTGTAATGCCTCCATCATAACTAAGCTGTCTTTTTAATTTGGATCTATATGTACTTGTAAACTTGTAAAGATACCAATTACTATTGCAGTGTTTACTTTCCCTCCCGACTGTTATGCATTTTGTTGGTAATCTCTACCCCATCTTCCAGACTCAGCCTTATTACTTCCTATTTGCTCTTTATTTTTCCACCAGACCCCAACCCAGTCTTGCTTTTTGAACTAAAACTAATTTAATTAGGCCTCCACACCCAACCTTGTTTTGTCCCATACATTATCTGCCCAAGATATTTTCCACATAGAAACATAGAATGTGATGGCAGATAAGAACCATTCGGCCCATCTAGTCTGCCCAATTTTCGAAATACTTTCATTAGTCCCTGGCCTTATCTTATAGTTAGGATAGCCTTATGCCTATCCCACGCATGCTTAAACTCCTTTACTGTGTTAACCTCTACCACTTCAGCTGGAAGGCTATTCCATGCAACCCTCTCAGTAAAGTAATACTTCCTGATATTATTTTTAAACCTTTGTCCCTCTAATTTAAGATTATGTCCCCTTGTTGTGGTAGTTTTTCTTCTTTTAAATATAGTCTCCTCCTTTACTGTGTTAATTCCCTTTATATATTTAAATGTTTCTATCATATTATACAAGTTATACATGTTAAGTTCCTTTAACCTTTCCTGGTAAGTCATTGTGTTTCTTCCCTGAAAGCCTACTTTAATCTCCCTAATTCTTCTATCAAGGCTTATTTTAACAATACATTTTCTTACAAAGAGATATCTCCACTTCTTAAAATTTACTCCCACCACTCTCAATTTTCAATGTTCATATCTCATTTTATATCTAATTCCTCCCTAGACTTAATCCTTTCCCACCTGCCAATGGGAAAAACATAGTGAGTTCCTCTCCCACCTGGATAATTCTGTAACATTAATACTAATTGGTTGCTTGGTTGCTGCCTGTTTTGGGACAGCAGCTCTGGAGTTTTGGTACTGAGAATATTTTGGATCAAATAATCCTAAGAAATGAGCCAACAGGATCAATATCATAATTTAATTAGAAAACACTACAGGATCAGCACATTATAGTGCATAGGTTGGAGCATAAGTATCATCATTCCTTATGTTAATCTGGATTAAGGAAAACTCAGATGTTACTGAGCTACCATGACCAGTGTAAACTATTAAAATATTTTAAACAAAACCTATGGTCAATCCGGCCAATTTCCTTCCAGTTCAAATCCCCCATGTTCATCTTAGGTCTTCATCTTTAGTCCACACCTCCATCAGACCCTCCAACAAACTCTTAATGGCGTTGTTCTGACATTCATCCCATACTTTCCGTCTTACTTATGTTTTATCACTTCCTAAACATTATATTTTCTCACTTTTCATCCTCAAATCTATCAATTCATCCATCCTCTTTCTCCAATCTCAGTACCCTTCTTGTCCAGTAACATGTAGGTTGACTCTTTCCTGCCTATTCATTGGATCCCCACTGTGCCTCCTGTTAACTCAAATGGCCTGACCGAAAGTTAAGCATTAGATAGTTTGATGCTCACTGATCTAATTGTTCTTGGCTTGTCGTAAACGTACAGAAGATTCACGTGAAAAGCTGCTGCAATATTCTATTTAGGCAAAACTATATCAGTGCCTTTCTTTCATCAGGGTTTAAAGAACATCCGTCATTAAATGTTCACTTCTTGATTTTTTATAAAGTTTATTATGTTTAGTGAATAATGCTATTTTTTAAATGATGTACATTGATTTAAAAAAATTTTTTATTGACTTTTTTATCTGGCTGAAGGGCCGTGTTGGGTCAGACTCTACTGTTATCTGATCAACTGCTGCTCCACCTAACTTGCTAGCTGCTCCGATTCCTCTGTATGAAACAGGCAAGTTAGGATGAGCAGCAGATGGCCAGATAAGAGTAGAGTCTGGCCAACACGCTGTTCAGTCCCAAGACAAAGTCAAATTTTGTCAAACAAATGAATATGCATCATTTAAAAGAAAAAAATCATTATTTTATTTAATGTAATAAACTTTTAAAATAAGGGAAATTAAAATGTGACGACAGTTTTCTTTTAAGGACTTGTTTTTCGTAACACTGTCACATATTGCACTGACAACTAGAACAATGAATACTATTACTATAATTTTTTTTACCTCCACACTGTATGGGTAATTGCATCACTTCAATCAATACTAAGTTATCCATTGAACTGTGATTGATATGTTCAAACATCACTGCCCATTCTCTTTCCTGTTAAAATGTTTCATCTCTTTTTCAAGGTTATAGATTGCAAACCAGATATTATAGACCAAGGATTCACAAGTTCATTGTAATAATAATTTTCTTGTAATATGTGGATAGATAATTAACTTTTGCACTATGAAAGCAAATTGTATTGGTACATTTTCTTGAAAACCTCTGCCTAAAGGGACATCCTGGGGGGGCGGAGCCAGGACCCATGCAAGATGGTCGCATCCTCAGCAAGCTCCGAGCTGCCAGCTGATTAAACGGCATTTATACCGACCCACTGGGCACATACAAAGCCAAAGCTGTCCACTTGGTCCAGGCAACATGGGGCACCGCTCCAAGAAGCAGCGAGCGGATACCGGGATCGGCTGCCGAGATATTGGAAGCTTATTCAGACAGCCGCAGCACCCCGCGCAGCCCAAGATGGCGCCGACCGTGGCCTACTCCACAGCTTCGTCGGAAGCTGAGAGCACACCAGAGGATGATTTCCCTGTCACAATACTGGCCACGCAGCCCACACAATCATGGTATGTGGAACTTGGGGATGCTGCTCCCTCGACTAAGGCAGATATTAAAGCCTTATTGCAAGACCTTAGGGCCATGTTCCATTTCACCAGATGAACTGCCTCACTATATAAGGCGATTGCTTGCCACACTGCTAACACCTAAGCAAGCGTAACAAGCTTCAACTGAACGATGCCAACGATTGCCCAAGGCAGCCAAGGCACCCCCAGAGGCCCCTAGGGACGTGCTCCTGCAATTTCAGAGGGACTCTGACAAGTCCGCAGTCCTGGGAACCACGAGAGTATCTCCCTTGCTGTCTTTTGAGGGCTCGCAGCTGTCCTTCTACAAGGACCTTTCAAGAGCAACCATGCAATGGAGGTAATCACTCCGCTCCACTACAAAGCTTCTGAGAGAGGCTGAAATCCCGTACAGATGGGGCCCACATCCCCTAGTGGCAGAGAAAAGAGGCAAGAAGTTTCCACTCTCGCAACTCCAAGATTCACCTGCCTTCCTCCAAGCACTGGGAGTCTCAGCGGAAACCCTATCACCACGGGACAGAAGAACACGGGCAGTAGAGGAAATCCTTCCATTTGTCCCAAGGCGTGCACTGGCTGAGTCGGTGGACCCCCCAGCTTGACACCGTCTGAACCAACTGTTTCCTTCATGTCATAATTGACAGTTATAGAATTTCTTACTCCTGAAGTTTTATATGTTATTAAGTTCTGTTATTATTTCTCTGGCTCCGTAGGCAAACTTACTAAGCTGTAGCACCACCAAAAGTACCCCCCACACACACTCCTACCCCTATTAATGCCACAAATGCTACGCTTATACCAGCCTTTTCTTAAGCGCTTGGCACAAACATAGCGCTGAGACTCCCAGTGCAATGGAGTAAAGCACTGGGAGTCTCAGCGGAAACCCTATCATCACGGGACAGAAGAAAACGGGCAGTAGAGGAAATACCCCCATTTGTCCCAAGGCGTGTACTGGCTGAGTCGGTGGACCCCCCAGCTTGACACCAACCTGTTGTTAGGCGGCTACGCATTAATGGCTGCTGATGTAACCTATATCCTGCTTAAACTCTGTTTCAACTGCTTATGGCAATGTAATGCAATCTAAACAACATACATATGCGATGTGAACAAAAATAAAGAATAAAAAAAAAAAAGGGACATCCCGGACCTCTAAAGTACTTTAGCTTGCTGAAGTGCTTCATGTCTGAAGAGTGTGTCCTCTTCTTTTAACTTTACAAAAAGTGCAGATTTAAATTAGAAATTGTCTCTTCTATAAAATAACCTTGCAAAGTGTGAAGATGTTTGGCTGTTTGTAGCTATCATTTGTCATTTATCCATATTTTTTCCCAGAGCTGTGCAAACTCTGCACTTATGCTGGAAACAAAATACAGGTAGTCCTCATTTTGCGACCTACTTTTTTTACGACAGCTCGCACTTACAACCAGGCGTAAGTGCGATCCATCATGGGGAGGCGTAATTGTGAGCCATTCGGGGAAACTTCCCCGAACATAGACGAACACACGAGAGCAGGGAATGCCTCTTATGTATGTTCGGTGAATTTCCCCGAGCATAGATTAGGGGGATTCCCTGCTCTGGTGCCTTCGTCTATGTTTCCGGGGAAGTTTCCCTGAACATAGATTAGAGGGATTCTCTGCTCTGGTGCGTTCGTCTATGTTCGGGGAAGTTTTCCCGAACGTAGATTAGAGTGATTCCCTGCTCTGTTGCGTTCGTCTATGTGCAGGGACATATCCCTGAACACAGACAAGCACACCATAGCAGGGCTCCTCACTTACTGACCAATTCATTCTATGACCAGGTCGTAGGAATGGAACCCAGTCGGTAAGTGAGTAGTGTCTGTATACATAGTGCAAATGGTGAGTTAAAGAGAATCTAAAAATCTGTATTCCTAACACTATAGTGTCCTCTGGCCCCCTCATCCCTTGTACTCCAAATCACATTGCACATAAAGGGTTAGAAACCCTTTAATAACTCACCCTATTCAAGCATTGATGTCCCTCCACCTCTTCCAATGTCATCCGATGGGGGACCTAATACGAATTCTCTCAATGCTTTCCTGTAGGGATTTCACTGATGCTGGATGTCCTCATGCAGAGTGTGAGGATGTCCAGTGTCATTTAGGGGACCCAGAGTCTGGTAAACTCCCAGGAAGCGCCTCTAGTGGCTGACTGGTAGACAGCCACTAGAGGCCATCTTTGTTCAGCAATGTAAACAGTACCTGTCTCTGTAGTAATCACAGAATTGGTGTATATTCTTGGTCTGATAAACTTTGATCTGGTAGATTGCATTGAGAATTCTTATCTTGTTAAATATAAAGATCACAAACTATTATGCAATAACCCCTTCATGACTATGCTTCTAACAAAATTACTTGTCATGTTGGTTTTCTTATCAAAGTCTCATAAATTATATTATATAAGTACTAGTTAAAGACATGGTTACTAAATTTTAGCACAATGCTGGGTGTACTTGGGAATAGCAATGGGTAAAAAAGAGTTAAAGATATGAAAGACATTTGAGATCATGAGAGTAGGTGGCAACGAGAGAGTTAAAATGCTCTTGCTTGGCATGGGAGAGGGAGGGAGTTTAGGAATGTAGCATGAAGTTGTCATGTAGGAAGGCAGGTGTGCAGTAGGGCTTGCTCCAACAATGTAGTAAAGTCCTGGGACATTGTTGGAGATATCAGATGAGCTTGCTGTGCCAGGGTTCAAGGTGTGGCTGGTGCTCAGAGTGAGCTTTAATTAGTGCAGCCATATGGTATACAGTACAGTATTGTAGTAAAAGGTAGCTGGAGAGGCACAATAGAAAGTTGAGAGAGTAAAAAAGTGGAGACAAGAGGGAGGAAGAGAATGGGAGCTCAGATGAGGTGTATTTAATACATTGAGTGAGAGGCACATTGTCAGTGCAGGTGAGAAGTTGGTGTCGCAGAAGTTAGAAACAGAACGCAGGTTGGAAAAGACAAGGTCAAGGGTATTGCTGGATATGTTTGTAGAGTAGTTAGTCCATTGGAATAAGGCCAAAGGAGGAAGTGACAGCTAGAAAGCACTCTAAATGCTATTGAATTGTTAGGTTGGTTAATAGAGATGTTGATGTTACCAAAAATGAGAGAAGGAATTGCAGAGGAGAGAACGAAGGAAGCAAAGCAGAAAAATTATCAAGACAGGCTAGAGAAGAGCCTGGGGGAAGGTAGACAATGGCAACATGGGGTGATTTGAACAGTAGGATGGAGTGGACTTCAAAAAATGAAAAGAAGAGAAGAGAACATGTGGGTAAAAGTTGGAAGCAATAATGAGAGGATTGCAAAAACCCAACCCCCCTCTAGCATTGCATGACCCGGGAGAGTGGGAATGCAATAAGCAGGGCCTCCATCAGGGCATGACAACCATAACAGTTGTCATGGGCCCGGCCATCCTGGGGGGCCCGGACTGCTCAGGTCGTCCCGGGCCCCACATTCAGTGGCGTACATGCTGGGGTTGCAGGGGGCCCGGCCGCCCTGCGACCTGGTATGTACCCAGTGTGGCCAGTCTCTTCTCCTGGAGGGCCCAGCACCCGGCAGGCGGGCACAAGGGTGCGCGAGGGAGCACTCTCCCCTGTGTGTGTTAGTGTGTGTGTGGGTTCGTGTGTGTGTGAGTTAGTGTGTATGTGTCTATTAGTGTTAGAGTGTGTGTGTGTTAGTGTTAGAGTGTGTGTTAGTGTTAGAGTGTGTGTTAGTGTGTGTTTTATTATGTGTGAGAGAGAGTGTGTTAGTGTGTGTGTTAGTGTGTGTCAGTGTGTGTTTTAGTATGTGTGTGAGAGAGTGTGTGTTAGTGTGTGTGTGTTAGTGTGTGTCAGTGTGTGTGTTAGAGAGTGTGTGTGTGTGTGTGTGTGTAGTGTGTGTGTGAGTTAGTGTGTGTGTGAGTTAGTGTGTGTGTCTGTTAGTGTTAGAGTGTGTGTTAGTGTTAGAGTGTGTGTTAGTGTGTGTGTGTGTTAGTGTGTGTGTGAGAGTGTGTGAGAGTGTGTGTGTGTGTTAGTATTAGTGTGTGTCAGTGTTAGTGTGTGTCAGTGTTAGAGAGTGTGTGTGTGGTAGAGAGTGTGTGTGTGTTAGTGTGTGTGTGTGTGTGTTAGAGTGTGTCAGTGAGTGTGTTACTGTGTGTGTCTGTTACTGAGTGTGTTAGTTTGTGTGCATCTGTTAGTGAGTGTGTGTTTTGTGAGTGAGTGTGTGTATGTCTGTCACTGAGTGTGTGTCTGTCAGTAAATATGTGTATCTGTTAGCTAGTGTGTATGGGTCTGTTCGTGAGAGTGTGTGTGTCTTAAGCACTTACCTTTCTCCAGTGCCGGACTCCCTTGGGGCTGGGGATCTCTCCGCCCTGATCCGCCTCTCAGCTCCGAATGCGCATGCGTGGCAAGAGCCGCGCGCATTCAAACCGCCCATAGGAAAGCATTACTCATGCTTTCCTATGGACGTTCACGGTCTTCTCACTGTGATTTTCACAGTGAGAATCGTGGAAGCTCCTCTAGTGGCTGTCAATGAGACAACCACTAGAGGCTGGATTAACCCTCAGTGAAACATAGCAGTTTTTTGAAACTGCTATGTTTTCAGCTGCAGGGTTAAAACTAGAGGGACCTGGCACCCAGACCACTTCATTGAGCTGATGTGATCTGGGTGTCTGTAGTGGTCCTTTAAGTGTATCTGCATGCACTGGTGTACATACCGCAGTCGCAGAGGTCGCAACCCTGCGACCCCTGCGACCAGGTGCCCGCCGCCATGTGTTGCGGCCCCAGCCCGCGCAGAGTAAACCCGCGCAGACCTTGAGCTGTGTCAGGGGCCCCAAAATTTCTGATGGCAGCCATGGCAATAAGCCATATGCTAGGGAGATAGTGCTAGCAGTGTCAGATGGAGAGAGACAGGTTAACATAGAAACATAGAAACATAGAATGTGACGGCAGATAAGAACCATTCAGCCCATCTAGTCTGCCCAATTTTCTAAATACTTTCATTACTCCCTAGCCTTATCTTATAGTTAGGATAGCCTTATGCCTATCCCACGCATGCTTAAACTCCTTTACTGTGTTAACCTCTACCACTTCAGCTGGAAGGCTATTCCATGCATCCACTACCTTCTTAGTAAAGTAATACTTCCTGAAATTATTTTTAAACCTTTGCCCCTCTAATTTAAAACAATGTCCTCTTATTGTGGTAGTTTTTCTTCTTTTAAATATAGTCTCCTCCTTTACCGTGTTGATTCCCTTTATGTATTTAAATGTTTCTATCATATCCCCCCTGTCTCGTCTTTCCTCCAAGCTTTTAGTCAATGCCAAGAAGTTAAATCAAGAAATGAGGTGTTAGTGAATGGCAGAAGTTTTTGTGTTGTTGCAGACTTAGAATGCATTCTAAAAAGCACAACCTAAAGAATAGAAAAAGAAAAGAGGATCTAATGAACAAGCACCCCTTTATCCTCTTCCCCCCAACCCACCCCCTCACAGAAGTCTGGTATACTCAGGGTTTGTAGTGAAAGAAGTTCTTATGTTTCCTTTTTCTGTTAGCTTGAGTAAGGATTACAATTCTCAGCAGTGGCAACCTGGAATGTATGATTCATAATATTTTTCTATTTGTTGGGATTTAGGGTTAGCAATAGTTAAATTGACCATTAAAAGTTTTACAACTCTGACAACACAAGGATTGAGGAGTAGAGGAGATGTGTTGCCTTGATACCAATTCTAGACTTTGGACCCTATAAAAGTCCCACAGTGTCAGGTGTATTTAGTCAGACTTTGTGTAAGAGAGTACAAGGCACTAGCAATAAAAAGGCCGTTAGAGAGAGAATAGCATGTTCAACATTTTCAAAAATAATATTTTGCTATGTTGCTATGATAAGCTCATATTGTCCCTCCCATATTTGGAATCTCTCCAATAATGAATAATAATAATGAATTGTACTGTTTCTGTAAAAAAGAAGCAATAAAGTACCTGAAATGTAGTTACACTGATTTAGTTGATTTAACTACATTAACAGATGTAGTGTTGCTACTCCCGTGTCTCCCTCCCTCCAAGTCAACGGCGCCACCATCACCTCTTCCTCACAGGCTCGCTGCCTATGTGTTCGCTTTGACTCTGACCTGTCCTTCATCCCTCATGTCCAGTTGATCACCAAATCCTGACGCTTCCATCTCAAAAACATTTTGCGCATCCGCCCCTATTTAACGCTGCATGCGGCTAAGGTGCTGGTCCATGCCGTTGTTCTCTCTTGCCTTGACTACTGCAATCCTCTTCTCAGTGGTCATATGTGTTCCCTGCTTGCACCATTGCAATCTATAATGAATGCGGCGGCAAGGCTTGTCTTCCTGTTCGCCCGCACCTCCTACCCCTCCATCTCCAGTCAGTCCCTACATTGGCTACTAGTAAGATATAGGGCTTAATTTAAGATTCTGATGCTTGCTTACAAGTCTCTACATAATGCTGCTCCAACATACCTATCCTCCCTAATACACAAATATGTCCCGTTTAGGCCCCTATGCTCTGCCGAAGACCTACATCTATCCTCTGTCCTTACTCCCACATCTGATGCTCGCCTCCATGACTTTTCCAGGGCTGCATCTTTTCTGTGGAACCCTTCTCTTCTCCTTAAGACTTTCACCCAGTCTCCACTCCTTTAAAAATTCATTGAAAACTCCCTTCTTCAGGAAAGCATATCAATTAAACTGTTAGCAGGTTTTCAGCCCCCCCCCCTCCCCACCCATGACTCCTCTCCTGAAACTGCCAAAAATAAGTTATTTTCAGCAAACTTCTTCATTACCCCTACTTATACCCTTTGTGTCACTATATCCCACTCCCTCTAGCATGTAAGCTCATTGAGCAGGGCCCTCAACCCCTCTGTTCCTGTGCGTCCAACTTGTCTGGTTACAAATATGTGTCTGTTAGTTCACCAATTGTACAGCGCTGTGGAATTATTTTTTCAGAATTATCTACAAAAGTGAGAATTTTGGGGAAATCAAAGTAAAACTCAAATGGTAGACCAAAATAGAAAATCTAGAGGCATAGCTGACTTTTAGAATTTCTCCAATTCATCTGTTTTGACCTTAAATTTGAAATACCCCCAAATTCTCACTTAATAAATAACCCAGTATGTGTTCGCTTGCTTCACTGTTCCCAGGGATTCAACCACCACCCTAGAGTTGAATGACAATATAATCCAAAAATGTAAAAATAAAAATTGCACTCATTAAAAGGTTTTCTTATTCGTGTGTAAATCTATCTAAACAGTCTCTGTTATAACCCTTTCACTACAACACTCCTCCCTTTCCTGAGATACTGAAAAGACAGTCACACACAAATTCGGAAAATAATATATCTATGAATAGCCAAGACAACAGTGTTCCTACTTTTTTATTCTATTTCATAACTGGATAAGTGAATAATATTAAAAAAATATGTCCAAAGTGCTTCACTCTGAGAATTCACTAGGTTCATTAGGTCTCATCCTGCACTTTTCCTATACGATATGGCATCTTAAAGCCATCCCCAGTTTGAATAGTTGATTTGACTTTATTGCAAGCAGTCTCCCTACTCTGTGATAGCTGGGTGCAATGTGTAGGTTCGATGTACAGTTAGTTATGTTAAGTAGGAGTTTTCTTTAAAGGAACACTATCGCGTTAGGAATAATATGTTCGTAACCCTACACAGTTAGCCTACCTGTTTAGATTCAGATCCCCCCCACCAATTAATTAAGAAGATAATTTTACCTACCCATACTACCTCACCATGTAGGACTTGCCTTTCCAGCTGAGATAATTAGTCATAATGAACTCAGCCAAGTCAATGCTTCCCCTTAGGGTAATATTGGGGGGCTAGTGCACATGTGTGGCAGCTCGTAGTGCGGTGAAAATCTGCATCTCTAGTCAATGCATCTGTCTGACGAGCCTTTGAAGTCTCCATGCAATATGACACCACCTGTGTTATGACGGAGTATAAACATTGCCTTTTCTCAGACACTGCTCAGCCTGCAAGGACAGGCAATATGCCCGAGAACCACTACATGAAGTTGTAGTGGTTTCGGTGACTATAGTGCTCTTTTAATTAATATCAGGCATGTAGACACCATTAAGTCTGATTTTTGATTATATTTTGTATGATTGGCAACATCAAAACGCAGCATTTTTTTCTCATTTGCTATTTGCTTCTTCTCAACCATTTCTTCCAAAATTTCCTGGATGCACAATTAGAAATGAATGGGTGACCCTCCATGGATATGTCTAACAAATATCTTTCCAAAAGGCCTTTATTAAACTAATAATGACTATAACATGTTGATCTGCAATATAGTACAAAGGAAAATGTTGCATTGGTCAAATTCAGGGCCGGCCCAAGACATTGTGCTGTCCGGGTCCCAGTATGAAATGCTGCCCCCCGCCCCGCCCTCCCTTTTCCCTAAAAAAACATATATGCTTCTGCAGTGGTAGTGTCTCTATGTGGGTGTGCTGGGGATGAAGTGTGTGTCTGTGTGTTCTGGGAGTGAAGTGTTTGCCTATGTGTACTGGGGATGTAGTGTGTGTCTGTGCGCTGGGGATGTAGTGTGTCTGTTTTTGAGCTGTGGATGTAGTATATGTCTGTGTGTTCTGGGGATGTAGCGTGTGTTTGTGTGTATGCTGGGGATGTAGCTTGTGTCTGTGTGTGCACTGTAGCCAACCCTTACCTATACACTGTCTGTGTGTATGCACGTGTTTGTATCTGTGTGTCTGTATCTGTATGTGTGTCAGTGATTGTATCAGTTTGTCTATGTATCTGCATGTGTGGCAGTGTTTGTGTCTGTGTGTCTGTATATCTGCATGTGTATCATTATGTCTGTGCAATTGCATGTGTGTCTGTATACCTGCATGTGTATCAGTGTGTCTTTGCAACTGTGTGTGTGTCTGTGTTTCTGCATGTGTGCCAGTATATGTATCAAATAATACATGAAGACTATGTAGGTTGAAACATTGTGATTTGGATGTGGGTTAATAAATTGCCTTTTGTTGAATTCAGGAGTGCCTGGACCTTTCTACATCTTTTACATTAAGCATTTGGTTTTTGGTACTAAGACCTGGTTTGGTTGCACCAAGCTTCAGATTTAACAGGGATTGAGTGCAGTTTTATCTGTTGACTTTGGCAAGTATATGTATCAAAAACTGACACACATGCAGATACTGACACACATACAAATGTAGAGACACACTGATACGTCTGCAGATACACCGACATACACACAGACACATACAGATGCACACACTGCCACATATGCAGATACGCAGCCATACAGATACACATTACACACATACAGTATACACCAACTACACACATATACACACACCACACATACAGATACACACACCACACATACACAGATACACACACCACACACACAGATACACACTCCACACACACAGATACACACTCCACACACACAGATACACACTCTACACACACAGATACACACATACAAACACACAGATACACACTACACACACAGAGAGACACACATACAAACACACAGATATACACACTACATACAGATACACACACAGATACACATATTACACACTTCACATACCCAGATACACACACTACACATACCCAGATACACACACTACACATACCCAGATACACAAATTACACACATACAAACACACATATATACCTACACTACATACAGATACGCACACTACACACACAAATGCACACACATGAAAGAAGCCCTGCTATACCTCCTGTGGACCGGCAGGGGATATCCCGGTCCTCGTGGGGGAAGAATACCCCCAAAGCAAGACAGGACCAAGCGACAACACTAACAGGAAAACGAGGCTGTCGAGGCCCAAGCAAGATGGCGCCACAAGCACAACCCGTGACTAAAAGCCTCCCTGTTAAACCACCTGACTGCACGCTGGAATTCTATGACCGGCTCTGCACCGGTCTATGGACCAAGTTCTGCACCAGGGGATGGCTCTACAAGCAGGCGACAAAAGAAGCGGCTGTGTGGATTCGCCCTGCCACTCGGCGCCAAATGAGCAGAGACCCACCCCGAGCCCCCAGAGAGGCCGTCAGACGGAGACGAGGTGTAAGATCAGGGCGGCAGGAAACGAAGACATACCTGTCGGACGCCAACACTAGCCCTCGTGCAAGCCAACACGGGACTCTAAAGTACGCCCGACCCACTCACCGCTCAGCGACACCCAAAGCCCTCAACCAACGGAGTACATCCCCGCTTCTACAGACTTCCGATGAAAGCAGCGAGGACAAACGGCATTCAGGGCGGGTGCGTACAGGGGACAGAACCGTATGGAGAGCCTCCCTGGGAGACGGAACCCCATCAAACCACCCACCCTACCACCGTCCCCAACCCACATGCCAAATTCTCCGAGCCGGCATCGGCTGACTGAGATGGATCTACCCAGAGATAGACTGTGTCCCTGCAGGCCCAAATGTAGAGACACTGCAAGATTCCCTCACACAGTCTATGTCAAAGTGCGATTATTAGTAGATCCTGGGACTGCAGCTATAAGGACTCTCTTCACCGCAGCTGAGCACGGTTCCTAATTAATACATATGTTTTGCATGCCCTGCTTTGTTGTTCCACGGAGCTCTGTTTTGACTAACCGCTGTCCCATTTCGGCAGTCTTATACATGCATTGCCAGTTTCTTAGAGAGGGGAAAGTACTTTATCGTTATTACTAATTCGACACTCCAGTGTACTACCCCACTCACACTTAACTCCTTTATCAGCTTGTCCCCATCTCAAATGTGTTTAATTTTGTTATTCTTCCTTGTATCTTGATAACTAGCATGTACAGCATCTAATAAGCCGCAGCTCAGATAGCTTGTTACTCACTAATCTCATAACGACATACCAGCCAGCCGAACAACCTACTTGTTTATTGTTTATTGTAAACGCGCAAGTCACACCAGCAAGTTTTAAACCACACACTCATGTCTATACAACCCACATCAACCATGTCTTAAGTTTCGCTATATACCCTAGACATCTTTGAATACCATGTTACTGCTACTACAAAAAGAAAAATGTGTGCAGTGACCTACTATGCCCTATATGTGTTCATTTATGTATTTGCCAATCTTGTACTTGCTGTTGGGGCAACGCAAGCGCCTGTATCATTTGTTTGCACCACAAAAATAAAGAATTAAAAAAACAAAAAAAAACAAATGCACACACATTACACACATACAAACAGATACACACACACAAACACACAGCTACACACACATACAAACACACATTAAAAAATTAAGCCACCCATTAGGTTCTTACCTTCTGCTGGCTGTGGCTGGTGGGAGTTGGGGGCCTGCTCTCCTGATCCGGCCCCATGCTCACAGCTCCCTCCTCCCGCGCTGCTGTGTGAATGAGCTGGGAGAAAGTGATACACTGTTACTTCCTCCCAGTTCCCTGTGCAGGATAGAAGGGGCCCAGTCGCGCTGTTAAAGCGCCACAGCGCACGACCGGGCATATGCCAATCGGGTGGCCCTAAAAAGCCCAAAAAAGGGAGCATGTCAGTGTGGTATGAATGCGTGCCATCCTGACTAAACACCTCCCACTCAGGGCAGACCACGCACAGAACTCTACTGACTTTCTTTCCAGAGAACTACAGCATAATTTACTATGTATGTGCTTTCACTGCAATAATGTCACAATTATTTTTTGTGACTGCCAGTTAACCACTGCATATATTTTTATTTAGTCTGTTAACAGTGTATTAAAATATATTTTTATATTTGTTACATTTATTCATTTACACTCTTCCTATAAATGTGCACATTTCATTTCATTAGCAATGCTTTTTTTTATACAAGGAGAACATTTATTCATTACTAAAACTTCAAGAATGTGCATTTGAATTAATGAAACAAACTAAATAAAAGCGTTGGAAGAATTACTAGTTCAGCTATTTTGGTCTAAAATATTAGATTCCCTGGTCAATAACTCAATCAATGTTCATGTTCTTTGCCTTTTATAAAATAATATGCAAAATATTATATTAAATTAAAATTTGTGGGAAGAGATCGAGAAGGACTTATGTGCCCTCTGCTAATGTGTTTCTGGGCATAACTGGAATTTTCCTGTGATTTTTTTTTTTTGCATTGACTATTCCTTTTAGGATATTTTTAGTGGTACAGAAAGTAGCATGCATCCGCTTGGAAAAGAACCCAGTATGAGTTCAGAAAGCAGGGATATTGATCAGAATTAAGAGATAATAAAACGAAATACACTAGATAGTTTAATAATCTGTAAAATAAAATCTATAAATGTTCATTGTAATATAGTATTGGATTACATACTAATATCTTTGTATTTAAATGCAGGAGTTAGTAAATGGACAGCCCAATGGACCCCTTATGGACAGCGTGATCAGAACTCTTGAAGGTCCAGCAACAACTCTATATCAGGTAAAGTTTGTTTTCTAAAGTATCATTCATTCAATTAATGAATCCAGTTGTTATCATCATCATCAACACTTTATCTGCAGAACACACTAAATATCATAATGTATTTTTTTTACAAATCTTATTATTCTTACGATGCTACTTGCACTAATTATTGTCACCGCACAAAATGAATATATACAATGTGCAATCCATCTGTAATCTATTTTGCTGGTGTCCTGATTATGTTAATATCTGAATATCCATGTGTAAATGTTAGAGAGGGATGTATGTATGAACACATTTCTCTTTTTAATTGCTGTATACTGGAGTCTTTCTTCTCAAAGTTCATTATCTTTTTAGATAAAGAGATCGAATTGGAGCATTTAGTTCCACTCTATGACTGATCTGGTTAGGAATCACAATTTTGTTCTCGTTTTGTGTGCACTACATATACTGTACATTGCTTAGAATGTGTGCTATCGTCTCCCAGAAGAGAGAGAAAAACCAAGGACTCCACATGTGAGGACAAAAGTTCTACCTATAATTTTACCTAATAAAGTTAATTTAGCAGTGAATGAGTTGATTGTAAACTGTTCGAAGTCACAGCATGGCTGTTCCAATTTTAGAGAGCAGTTCCACTCACCCTGTGTGATGACTGGAACCATTTTTGGGGGATTGCACATTCCTTATTTTCCAAATATATATATTCAAATGGTAAATATATTTTTATTTTTTAGGTTCTATCTTTTTTCTTTGTATTACTTATATAAAACCTGTTTGTACTTTATTCTAAGGGATTTCTGGAAATAATGCTGTATTGCCGCAGTATATAAACCGTCTAGTTATGATATATTTCATGTGATGACTTTTGTTACACAGTGGAAATGGAGATGACATTCTCTGTCAGCCACAAGCACTGAAAGAGTAATATTGCAGATAATAGGTAATTAAAGGGTGTTCTATATCCGTTAAGTGTCACGGCTCCCGGTCGGCGACACCATGTGACCGCACCCGATCGATGCGGTCACTTAAAAAAATAAAATAGACTTACCTAAGTTGCGGTGAATCACAGTCAGATCCGCCGGTGCGTCCATCCCCAGCGAGCGTGGCGTTCCTATGGACGCCGGCCGATGTAAAAGCAGCAACTTAGGCGTCTGAAACATTTACACAAAATAGAATAAAGTAAAGGATCACTATAGTGTTAGGAAAACAAACTTGTTTTCCTGACACTATATACTCCTTAGAACCCCCCACCCTTTAGGCCCCCCTCAGCGCTGATGACCTCTCCTCCCCCGCCGACATAAGCTCCCGAGTGAAGCGGAATGCGCATGTGCGGCAAGAGCCGCGTGCACATTCAAACAGTCAATAGGAAAGCATTTCTCAATGCTTTCTTATGGACGTTCTGCACGCCCGATGCAGAGGTACCTCTAGCTTCTGTTTCTCTGAAACTGATATGTTTACATCTGAAGGGTTAATACCTGGGGGACCTGGCACCCAGACCACTTCATAGAGCTGAAGTGGTCTGGATGACTATAGTGTCCCTTTAAGTGTTTCTCAATGCATAGAAGCAAAGAAGCAAATAGCCTGCCTTTTTATACATTACATAAATCCACAGACAGAAAGATATATATGTCCATTTTAATATCGACAATAATGTTTGGAGAATGTCACAAGATAGTGTGTAAAATTTGGGTGACTACTTAATATCAGTAATATGACTACTTTGGGTGACTACTTAGTATGTGGTCAGAGAGCAATATCCAATTTATGCAATCCTATGACCCGTAGTGATACTTTTAGGTCTATAAAAAGTATTAGTAAGCAGATACTTTAGTTTGTATAGCTCATTGATGCCAACCTTCCTTTTATTGGCCTCATAATGTGTAGGTGTGCCATAGTGCTGCTCCCTGGTAGAAATGAACAATGAAAAATGGCTTTGAACTGTGGGAAATGAGTAAACAGAAAGAATACGTGTTTGCTCAGCTGCCCACACCACCAGCCCATTTCCTTCCATGGCAAAGAAATTGCTTCATCAGATATAAAAATGAATAAAACTAACAGGTAGTTTTAATAACCTGCATGCAGCCATTAAATTTTATAATATATCTGTTAATGAGGCTTTAATCAAATAACTCAAATTTAAAAAAAAAAAGCGTCACCTTTAACTATATCTTGGTTTTCAAATATCCCTGTACAAATACACCACAGTAAAATAGAATAGAAGTGTGTAAAAATTAATCATTTAACTGCACTGGTAAAATGTGTAAAACTAAAGAGATATAAATTTGGAGGAAAATATATATAGAGGCAAATACCTATCAACCACACTTAGGTTGTGTTGGTGCCTGGAGTGACCTTAAAACATGACTAACAGACTCTAGAATGAGTAGCTTCTAATTCTTTGCAGAGCTCATGCTTACTATATGTAATAGGGATTTTCACAAATAGCAAAAACGTAAAAAATAAATAAAAATAATAATAAATGCATGTATCTAAATAAAAGTAAATAAATAAATAAGACAAAAAGTGTAGTATGCAAAAAAGGTGCTTCAATAATAAGACAGTGAATAGCAGCTTAACACGCTCATGTGGGGTTAACCTTACTCCCCTTACAAAATACTCAATATTAAAGGAACACTCTAGGGTCAGGAAACAACCATGTATTCCTGACCCTATAGTGTTTAAAAACACAATCTAGCTCACATGGCCCAGACTTAAATCTTACTTTGATTTAAGTCTGCAGCTGCTGGGACTGCCCCTGATCTGCCTGCTTTGCTGACATTATCAAAAGTGATTCTCTGAGCCACTCACAATGCTTTCCCATTGGATTGGATGAGGCTACCAATAAGGCAGATCAGGGGCAGAGCCAGCACAAGCCAAACACAGCCCTGGCCAATCAGATGAATCAATGCATCTCTATGAGGAACGTTCAGTGTCTGCATGCAGAGGGTTGAGACACTGAATGGTAGTACTGCACATTGTGCAGCATTGCCCCAGGAAGCATCTCTAGTAGCCATCTGGGGAGTGGTTAGTGGAGGTATCCCAGGGATTTCTCTGAAAATACAGTGTTTACTGCAAAAAGCCTGCAGGGACTGATTATACTCACCAGAACAAATACAATAAGCCGTAGTTGTTCTTGTGAATATTGTGTCCCTTTGACCAAATAAATGAAAGCACTCGTGTATATAGTGGAGTGCTTGAAATGGGGTATCTTAAACTTATCTTAAACTATCTTACCGAATATAATATTTCTCTGTAAGGAACATTGGAAGTGTTTGATAACATGTATGTGATGACAACTAACATGAAAACATCTGATATTCAAAGGCTGTAAAGAGGAAGTGTGGTTCTAGAGGCTGTCTGCCTGACTCTTTCACATTATGCAAGACAAACCATATGAACAGCACATCACGAAGAGGAGACTGCCTATTTAGCAATACTAGCAAATTAGCATTATTAGAGTTGTGCATTTGTTTCAAAAGAATCTAATTTCATCAAAATTTTGAGTGATCACTTATTTGCCCGAATTTCATAACCATGAATTTCATATGGCCGAATCACGAAACAAATAAAAAAAAGGAATGAACAAGCTATTTTGTTTGTTTATTATTCTGTGTTACATCCACGGTGCCAAAAAAAAAAGGTGATTGATTAAAAAATATTATTCAGACTCAACTTTATCACTGTACAATGTACATAAAAGGACAATGAAACATAGGTGGCCTCTGATCAGAAATGTAGCAGCAATTAATAAAAAATACTATATAAAAATGCACTCTCAAATTAAGCTTTTTACAGTCTATTTCAAGCCAAAGCTCCTCTAGTACTTAAGAATTACAATCCTTCTTCACTGATAACAAGTTTTCAACAACAACAACCTAGTAAGACATTAACATTAACATTACACAATAGTGCCACCACATACAAATTCAGCAATACAACCCATAGCCCTCAATCCAAGTAAGATATCTATCCCATAAAACAAACATATCTGTGCAATAAGTGTGCCAAACTACCATACAGTTAATACATCTAGTGCAAAAAAATTCCCAATCCGTAACAATATGAGAAAGAATATATATATATATATATATATATACACTATACTTTTAGTAAATATATATCGATTTACATTTGGTAAAAAAATTTCCACTTGACCTGTGAACAACAAAATGTGCCTAACAAAAAATGTATACATATTATTTGCTTTGCAGTTCTTCTTGGAGTGCAGGTGTTGGATTCATAGTATTCATATTACACTAATTGGCCAATGTTCGCTCTATTTTGGACCATTCAAATAATTTTTCTTTAAATGATTCCATGGACAGAATTAATCTGAACCAAAACGCTACATGTTGAAAACCTGACTTACTTGAAAGAGTTTATTTTTTCCAGATGAATCAATTCAGACTGACCAATATTTGTTCAATGCACACATGTCTATGTTTTGAGGGAAACAAATAAATCTTTTAATTTGTTTATAATATTTTACTAATCAAATAGCTAAAAATCACTGTATGGTTCCCAAGGCACCCAGACCACTTCAGCTTATTGAAGTGGTCTGGGTGCACTGTCCAAGGTCTTTTAACCCTGCAGCTTTTAAGAAACTGCAATAATTACCTACCAAGGTAACTCCTCCTCTAGTGACTGTCTACCAGACAGCCATTAGAGGGACTTCCGGGCTGTAAGGTGACTTTCCTTGCATGGGGACATCCAGGGTCATCCAAAACTCCATAGGAAAGTATTAAATAATAATAAAGGGGCCTTGGCGAAGGGGGAAGCTATAGTGCCAGGAAAACACTTTAGTTTCCCTTTAAATATTCAAGTTTATTCAAAGTGAACTTTTCATTCCCCCCAAGTAAATAACCCTGATCATTTTGTCAGAGTCCATACAGATGTTTAAACTGAAATTGGATAAATACTTGCAAAAACATAACATACAGGGATATAATTTCTAATTACTGGGGTAATAGCTGCTCGAACGAAGGAGCCATCTGACTGCTATTTTGGGGTCAAGAAGGAATTTTTTCCTAGTTTGTTGCAAAATTGGAAGCGGTTCAGACTGGGTTTTTTGCCTTCTTTTGGATCAACAGCAAAAACATATGTGAGGAAGGCTGAACTTGATGGATGCAAGTCTCTTTTCAGCTATGTAACTATGTAACTATGTTAGAAGGTTTAATCGCTTAACTATGAATTGGAGCAAATTAAAAATATGAAGTGTTAGAATTTTCAATATTATTTACATAATCTTATAGTGTAAAGTGATATTGATTAGGCAACTATTTCAAAGGGTGAAAAACTACTTTAATAATGTAAATAAAATAAAAACATAAAATAATGCTAATTTGAACGTGATTTTTTTTATTTCAGTATCAATATAAACTGTATAATAACTGAAAGAGACATTTTGTTGAACTTATGTTTTATTTTTTTTTATTTTTTTTGCATATTTTGTATTTTGTCACTAAATTCATCATGCCAGAAGTGACGTCTGTTAATACTTTAGACCAGGGGTGCCCAGAAGGTAGATCCCCAGATGTTATAGAACTACAAGTCCCATGATGCATTGCGTGTCTTTGCATGCTTTTAGAATGACAAGGTATCATGGAAGTTGTAGTTTTAAAACATGTGGGGATTTACCTTTTGGGCACCCTTGCTTTAGACAATGCATGTATAAGATATAAATGGGCACTTAAAAGAGAATCTTAATATATATATATATGTATCTTTTTACATCCAGTTTGACACAACCAACCCCAACTCAGTTTCGTTTGCTTTAGAAGGAGAAGTAGAAGGTATTTTTGAAATTCTAAATCAAGGATTACTCCGTTCTACAAAACCCCTTGACCGTGAAACCAAGGCATTGTACAAACTAAAGGTAACTTTCCCATAAAACAAAACATGAAAACCTCACACTGAATTAAGCAGTGAATGTGGTTTGTAAATACATGAATGTGGTTTTAGCATTATTGTTTAACACATTTTACCTTTGAGCAAACAAGACAACCAAAGCCATACACAAAAACAGTGCAAGGAATATAGACATTAATCAATATTTTCTTAATTTGAATGTTTAATCATATTGTGAGTTGTTGCTTAAAGAGGATCTGTCACTTCTATGGAATTCACGCCTATGAAGCGTGTTAACCTTTTTTCATGAGATGCACATATATTTTTTTAGATTATAAGTAAGATTTAGAAAATTACATAATTATCCAGTTGCAAAGCCAGGGAAGACATTCCTTATGAAGAAGAGACTTGGGTTGTTTAGGTCTAACGTTTACAATAACACTAAAATGAAAAATAGAGATATATAGCTCATATTCTTATGTCTGGGAGTCTCCATATTGGCTCATTATCAATCATTGTTATGTAATTAGCACCTGGCAGTCAGCATACACAATACAAGCGTAAACAGAAAGAGAGACATGCAACAACATTTCTATTTCTCATCTTCTTTTGCATGCCATGGCTTTGCCTTGTCTGAAGTGGATTATGATATAGTTTCCCAAATCTTTATAGAAATCTCTATATGAATTTAAAAGAAAACAAAGCATCTCACTAAATGAAGGTTCATTTAAGTTATTGGTGGTTTTCAATGTTTTATTTTTGATGGTGTAAATTCCATAGAAGTGACAGTACCCCTTTAAATAAATATTTACAGACAGGTACATTCTTGCACAAAATGTCAAAGTCATGTGCTTTAAGAGTATTCAATCAGCGAAGCTGGGGACTTGCAAAATGCTCCCTGTCCCTCCACAAGCTCGAGAATCTGGGACAAGTTACTCTTTTATACTGTTTTAAAATACCCAGCCCTTAACCTGCCTGTGCTTAAATATTCCCATACCTCCCAACATTGCTCCTCTTCAAATCGGGAGCGGAGTCCTAAGAGGGGCATCGCCAGTGATGTGAACAGTGCCACTGGTGAGGTCCACAATGGTTGGGCCATTCAGGAAAGAAGCAGCCTCATCCAAGATGGGGTGGGTCTACCCCAAAAATGGACATGCCTACCATCTGACGGGCAGCCTGCTGAAGCACTCCCTGCATTGTCTTTGTGCCTGCTGCACAGTGCGAGCGGGTCTAATGCCACTGTGCTCCCCTGGGGTACTGAAGTGCAGGACACCGTGGAACTAAAGCAGAACAGCAACTCAGCACCACATAATCGGGACTGTCCTGCAAAAAGCGGGACAGTTGGGAGGCATGTACTGCTCATAGGAAAAAGGGGGATGTGTCGGGTGCTCACTCCAAAACAGAAAATTAGTAGGCAGCAGTAACCAATACAAGGATTCCCAGCCTTGCAAAGAAACAGTATAGAAAAAAGGAAGGAGGAAACCGCGCCTTACATAAGTTGTATATACATACACTTGATGTTTCTTAATAGTTGTGGATGATTTATCCTCAAAAAGAGAACACAAAGAGAAAATATACAATAGTGTAGTATATTTAACAATATGGAAAAAAGGTGATAAGGAAAACGGAGATATTTTAAACTCACATTTGGTAGAGCTATTATGGAAGCTCTACCGTGATTAGCGTGGACGGTACAATCCCCGTTTTAGGATTAGAGGTCCAACGTCTTTGGCTCTCCGATGGTATAGTGTTGCAAATAAAAAATAGGAAAGAAGAAACTCCAATGGTGTAGTAGTTCCAGCTCCAAGTGTAAATTAATAAATGAAAGTAATTATACTCACATTTGCTAGAGCAGATAACTTGCTCTAGTATGTAGGGCTTGCAGTGGTATAATCCCCACTGTAGGATATGTAGGCCAGGAAGTAGATGATGAAAGTAAATTGTATAGTAAAATAAAGTATCACTTTAAAAATATATTTAATAGTAGTACAAACAAAATAAAATGCTATATAAAATAACACTTAACGCGTTTCGCCAATGGCTTCATCAGAAGTGTAAAACACTATACAATTTACTTTCATCATCTACTTCCTGGCCTACATATCCTACAGTGGGGATTATACCACTGCAAGACCTACATACTAGAGCAAGTTATCTGCTCTAGCAAATGTGAGTATAATTACTTTCATTTATTAATTTACACTTGGAGCTGGAACTACTACACCATTGGAGTTTCTTCTTTCCTATTATTTATTTGCAACACTATACCATCGGAGAGCCAAAGACGTTGGACCTCTAATCCTAAGACGGGGATTGTACCGTCCACGCTAATCACGGTAGAGCTTCCATAATAGCTCTACCAAATGTGAGTTTAAAATATCTCCGTTTTCCTTATCACCTTTTTTCCATATTGTTAAATATACTACACTATTGTATATTTTCTCTTTGTGTTCTCTTTTTGAGGATAAATCATCCACAACTATTAAGAAACATCAAGTGTATGTATATACAACTTATGTAAGGCGCGGTTTCCTCCTTCCTTTTTTCTATAATGTACTGCTCATAATATGAAGAGGTTAAGAAGGCCCACTTGATGAACTCCAGGTCCCCATAACTTTAGCTAATACATGTAACAATACTTACTCCTTCTTTCATTCCAATAACATGATTGGGATTTCAACATATAGAAAACTAAAATAAAAAAGCACCCATATCTTATTTTATATAGTATAGCTTACAAATAATTAAACAGAACCAAACAGATGCATATTTTCCTTCACACAATTAGAGTAATTTTTGGCCTAGGATGAGACTAGGTACTAAGGCAAAAAGCAGCTAAATTCAGTACTTGACATTTGCCCTAGATTGTTTATGAGAGCTATAGTTTATGTTTTATAGATCTGTGCTGACTTCCTGTTGCACTATTACACTGTAAGGCTGTTTAGATAACCTTGTCTCAAGTAAACCTAAATAATAAGGTAAGAATACAATTAACCTCGCCTTCAGTGTGGTTGCATTTTTTATTAAACCACAACTGATACCAAATTTCTATTTCATGATTTGTAAAAGTTTATTAAACTTTTTATGAAACGTAATGTTTTTTAAAATCGTGTATATTGTTTTTTTTTTTGGTTTTTTTTGTTAGGTAAGACTTTACTGTTAGCTGACCAATGTCTGCTCAACCTAACTTGCCTGTTGCTGCGGGTTCACACAGAGCAATTACAGCAGCAGGCAAGTAGGCTGAGTAGCAGTCAGTCAGATAACACTAAAACATGACCCAACATGGCTGCTTGGTCAGATATTATAAATTACATTTTATAATAAACAAAAATTCAGTATACATTTTAAAAAATGTTATGTTTTATCACATGTATTAAACTTTCAGACTACAGTGAGAACTGTAAATGTTGTCCTTTAAGTCAGAATTATGTAACAGACTGTGCGGATGTAACAGACGTTGCATTATTATCTTGCATTTTAGGTTAAAACACTAAATGCCGCAGGACATCTCGTTGAAGGGCCATTCTCTGTAGACATTATTGTTGAGGATATCAATGACAATCTGCCAGCATTCAACCAGACTGAATATACTGGTGAAATCCGGGAGCAATCAAGACCAGGTAATGTAGATAAGAAAGAACAATCAAACAAAAAGGTGTGAATAAGATGATTCAAATATCATTGAAAATGTGTGAACATCCACAGATCAATACTTGCAACAGTGTTCAGACATTCTGGTCACTCCCTCCCGGTTGCGCTGTTAAAGGGCCACAGCGCCTGACAGGGCCCCTGCGGAAACATGCCCACCAGGTAGCTTTAAGTGCATGGGCCACCCGGTGGGCCCCCTTAGTGTGTGGGCCAGTGCCCCCAACAATTTATTTTAGAATCGGCAATCCCAAAATAAATTGTTGTGTGTAGAGGGCAAAAGGGGCAGCTGCTTTGGGCCCCCCAGGAGTAACTAAGCCCGGGGCAGCTGCTCCGTTTGCCCTGTGTTAAAGAGAGCCCTGGTCTCAACTGTAATTGGCTCAGCTGTATTTTTGCCTAAATTTTGCTATTATTGTCAACTCATTGCTATTTAAGGTCTGTTAACTGCACTAGTTAGGAAGTCATGAAGGGATTGCAAATTTTAGACCAAAGTAGCTAAAGTGAGATAACGAGAGATAGTTGAACAATGTAACCATATAGCAAAAAGAAAGTAAATACACATAAATGTTTTATTACTACGCAGTCTTTTAATTATTTTGGTTCCGTCTCTCCAAAATAGGAAAACAAATTGTCACGGTTTATGCCACGGATGCTGATGACCCTGAGACGCCAAATGGGCAGCTAGTTTATAAAATCACGCACCAGATACCAGACCCATATAAAGTCATGCTTTTCCAGATTAACAACAAGACTGGGACAATCTCCACCACAATAAACGGTATGTATCAAGTAATCAATTAAACTAAAAGAAGCTCTTTACAGATTAACATGAGCTCAGCCAACAGCTGGCCCTATTGCTTAGGCTGCAAAAGGAAGCATTTCATTGATAAAAAAAACAAAAACCCAACAACACAAGACTGCACCACGTACATCCAGCACACATGTCACTCTTCCTCTTACTGTGTATAAACTGAAAAAACAATACTTTTTTTTGGGGGGGGGGGGGCAGAGGGGGTTGAAAATAGTAATAAGACAACAGTTTGAAAAAATTTAGCAATTAAAATATATTCTTCTAGTTATTTTTTTTTTTTTAAATGTTATTAAAGGGGTACTCCCCTTTTCACTAGTTTGCTTTCTGTACTTTATAATGCCCTATTGCACACTTGTCAATTGATTGAAACCCCTATGAAATAAAGTTAAAACTTACCTTGAATCCAGGGCTGGGCCAAGTTCTCCCTGATTGTTTCCACTCCCCATCTGTTATCCCATCTGCCATTACAATGTGTCACTGCTTCCCTCTCTGAGGGCCAATCAAATGCTTCTTATAGAGGAGTACCTCCTGCCATGGTGTACAATAAAAGACCTAATGGGGGAATGTGGGAGACGTGGTGAGAAAGTCTACATATTATACCTTACTGTGAGGATTTAGCACAAAAAAGCCCAATGCAGGATTTGTATAAGTGTTTATCCTTACAGCAGGCTTCCCCAAACTCTGGCCCTCCAGATGTTACTGAACGACAACTCCCATGATTCTATGAATGAAATAAATAGGCTGAGAATCATGGGAGTTGTAGTTCAGCAACATCTGGAGGGCCGGAGTTTGGGGAAGCCTGCCTTATATAATATTCCAAACTGACAGGGAAACAGTCAACAAAATTTTTTGGAAATCATATCTTGAATAAAATACCATTAAATTGGGTAATAGTAACAACCCCTGGATGTTGGGCAAAAGAAACCTCCCCAGAACGTACTTGGAAACCAGAGCAATCTGAATGTACCTTTCCTGGTTAAATACTTTGTTATTATTATTATTTGTTATTATTAAATCATTGATAACTTGGGTTAACATTTTTTTTTCAGCGATGCTCCTCCTTCTTTTTAATTTTTATTAAACATTTAGCAAATAGCAGGACAATCCTGTTCAGCCGAGGCACAGACAGGGCACAAATTGCAAATGAGGGATGAGAAATTGAAACATTGTATCATTTCTCTTCTTTGTAATATGGTTTCTTTATGCTAACTGACAAGAACAGTGATCTAAGGGAACTAAGATGGATTGTATCGGCTAGGAGGATAAAGAGATGAGGATTTCTGCATTTAATTTGCTTTTCACACAACATAAAGCTATATTTAACTGTAGGGGATAAGTAAGCAAAATATTAAAAACCATGGAAAATAATAGTTTCCCTTTTAGAAAGTGTGTAAAAGTACAAGAGTTTTTATCACATTAGCCATTATGCAATTGGACATATTCAATATAATGAGACAGCGACATATGAATTGTGTTTATTTATTTACTGATTTTCCATAAACTACATATCTTTTAATTGGTGTGATGCTACTTGCTTTATGTTTTGCAGCTATCATAGTTATTGCAAGAAGTAATTCTAATAGATGAGACACTATTTTTCCAGCTAGTATATTTTGTAAATTTAAATGGCCATAAAGAATGACCTGAACTTTAAACACTGTGATGTGAATGTTTTGAAATTACTGTAAAATAAAATGGTTAATCTTATGTCCCAGTCATTCAGTTTATTCAAGATAGCAGAATAATACACACGTACGTCAGATTTCTACGGGCTTAGCCTTTTTTTTCTGGGTTACATTAAATAAATTGGATGTTTGTGTAAACGGAAAAGATTAAGGTCAGGACAGGATAATGTCTGCATTTTGTTCACCAATTCTTTAATAGAAATGCTTTATGTGTGTCAGCGTGATCATTTTAACTCCATCACAAGTCATTGATGGACTGGTCTTCCTAAGTGGTTTTCAAACTTTGTATAAGTAACAATATTCAATTTGTATTTTTATTAGAAATAAAAATGATTAAAGGGACACTCCTGGCTGAAAGTGTCCAGATTGTTTATGTATTCTACAGGTAATGTAATAAATGTATTAAAAAAGCACAAATGCAAAACAAAAAAGACATTCACATTGAAAGGGACACTATAGTCACCCAGACCACTTCCGTTCAATGAAGTGGTCTGGGTGCCAGGTCCCCCAGTTTTTAACCCTTCAGATGTAAACATAGCAGTTTCAGAGAAACTGCTATGTTTACATTGCAGGGTTAAGCCAGCCTCTAGTGGCTGTCTTCCTGACAGCCGCTAGAAGCGTTTCTGCGACACTGGATGCTTAATTCGCATCCGTCGTGCAGAACGTCCATAGGAAAGCATTTAGAATTGCCACGCATACGCATTCCGCTCCACTCGGGAGCCGACGTCTGAGGGGGAGGAGTGGTCACCAGCGCAGAGGGAGCCCGGCGCTGGATTAAAGTAAGTAAATGAAGAGGTTTTAACCCCTTCAGCACCAAAGGGAAGGGGGCCCTGAGGGTGGGGAGGGTCCTAAGGATGCTATAGTGTCAGGAAACGAGTTTGTTTTCCTGACACTATAGTGATAGTACATTAATTAATATACATGCATCAGCCACAACATCAGAACCACTGACAGGTGAAGTGAATAACACTGATTATATCGTTACAATGGCACATATCAAAAGGTGGGACATATCAGGCAGCAAGAGAACAATCAGTTCTTTAATTTCATGTGTTGGAAGCAGGAAAAATGGGCAAGCAAAAAGATTTGAGTGACTTTGAGAAGAGCCAAATAATGATGGCCAAAACTGCATGCAGTGGTTAGTACCTACCAAAAGCGGTGCATGGAAAAAAAGGTACTTAGGAAGCAAAGGCTATCCTGCAGTGGCGTACTAAGAGGGCACGGTCCACCCCAGGTGCCACCAGGTAGGGCGGTGCCATGACCCTCACTCTGGTCCAGGGACTTAGGGGTGTGCTAGCTGTGCGACTGACACAGCTCACACATGGCCGGGTGACAAGAGTGCAGGGGAGGGAGCTAGAGTAGGTGGGGGGAGCTAGAGCAGGTGGGGGGAGCTAGAGCAGGTACCCGGGTGGAGAATAAGGAAATCTATGAAAAAAAATAGCGAGGTGGATGGGGACATAGCTTACCGAGTGGCTGGGGCAGAGCTTAGCGCGAGGTGGAGGTGGGTCTAAAATGGCAGTGGAGGCGGGACTAATACCTACCAGAAGCCCCTGGTAACTGCTGCACAGGAAGTGGGAATTACTTAATTACAGGAGCTGACTGCCTCCACTCCTTCCTTCCAGCCATAATGGAAAGAGGTAATTGTATGTGTGCCTGTCTGTGTGCCCGTCTGTCTGCCTGGCTGTCTGTGTGCCTGCTTATCTGTGTGCCTGCTTATCTGTGTGCCTGCCTGTCTGCCTGTCTGTCCATCTGTGTGCCTGCCTGCCTGTCTGTCTGTGTGCCTGCTGGTTTGTGTTCCTGCTTGCCTGTCTGTCTGCCTGTCTGTGTGCCTGTCTGTCCATCTGTCTGCCTGTCTGTCTGTCTGTCTGCCTGCCTGTTCGTCTCTGTGCCAGCCTGTCCATATGTGTGCCTGCCTGTCTGTCTGTGTGTCTGCCTGTCCGTCTGTGTGCCTGCCGTCTGTCTGTGTGCTTGCCTGTCCGTCTGTGTGCCTGCTTGCCTGTCTGTCTTTCTGTGTGCCTGTCTGTCTGTCTGCCTGTCTGTCTTTGTTCCTGCCTGTCTGTCTTCCTGCCTGCCTGTCTGACTGCGTGACTGTCTGCCTGTCTGTTTAACGGTCTGCGTGCCTGTCTGCCTGTGCATGACTGTAACTGTGTGTGTGACTGTCTGGCTGTACCTGTGTGTGATTGTCTGCCTGTTACTGAGTGTGTGTGTGTCTGTCTGCCTGTTTCTGTATGTGAATGTCTGCCTATTACTAATTGCCTGTGTGCCTGTAACTGTGTGTGACTGTCTGCCTGTAACTGAGTGTGTGTGACTGTCTGTAACTGAGTGTGTGTGACTGTCTGCCTGTAACTGTGTGTGTGTGTGTGTGTGTGACTGTGTGCCTGTTTAAGTGTGTGAGGGGTGCAGGGATTTTGTATTGGAACAGGGGTCTTGTATAAGGGGGGCTGAGCAGGGTATTTGTGGAAGGGGAATGCAGGGTTTTGTAGAAGGGGGCACTACAGGGGTTTGTAGAAGGGGGGCAGGGCAGGGGTTTTGTAGGAAAGGGGCAGGGCAGGGGTTTTGTAGAAGAGGGCTAACAGGGGTTTTACAAAGTTTACAAATTTGTGCAATACATAAAAAAAAGAAAGAAACATTTTTAAAAATTTGCAGGTTTTTTTTTTTTGAAGGGGAGGGAGGAGGCAGGGGTGCCAAACACAGGATCTGCCCCAGGTGCCGAATGCTCTAAGTACACCCCTGCTAACCTGTCTTGTTCGATCACACATAAGTGTTACTGTAGCTCAAATTGTAGCTGAAAAACGTAATACTGGCCTTGATAGAAAGCTGTCAGAAGTGCCTTCAATGGGGACTTGAGAGTCAAAACTGGACCATGGAGCAAAGGAAGAAGGTGCCCTGGTCTGATGAATCACATTTTCTTTTAGATGCGATAGATGGCAGGGAGCATGTGTGTCATTTATCTGGGGAAGAGATGGCAGCAGGATGCACTATAGGAAGAAGACAGGCTGGGCAATGTTCTGCTGGGAAACCTTGGGTCCTGGCATTCATGTGGATGTTACTTTGACATGTACCATCTAACTAGACCCCTTTATGGCAATGGTGTTACCTGACAGCAGTGGCGTCTTTCAGCAGGATAATGCTCCATACCACATTGCATGGAATGTTGTGGAACAATAAACCTGATCCATGGAGTCTACACCTCGCAACTGTCAGGACTGAAAGGAACTGCTGCTAATATCTTGGTGCCAGATAGACCCCTTGTGTACAAATCTCTTCCAGCTTCATTGAACTAATCAGATGCCGGTTAATCAATGGACAAACTAATCAATATGTTCCAGGGATGGCCTGACAAATTGATTCATTACGCAGTTGAGTGTTTTGTGAATATTCCTCTGAATAATTCTTTATTTATTTATTTATTTTACTGAAATTCCCGAATCCCGGATATTCTGACAGCTTAGTGAATACCTTTGTATGTGCTTCTGGCTGTATGTCTATGTGTTCCATTTTCTTTTTTGCAGACTGTTTTGGACTGGTTGTATTAAATAATAATTAAGACTAATTTGTTGAAAAATTTAAACATGATCTTGATTTTCTCTTCATTTATAGGAAGCTTGCTCTTGAAAAAAGAAACCCATGATCAGTATGAGCTGCTTGTTATTGCAAGTGATTTATCGTTTAGTGACAATGTTAAGGTGATAATTAAAGTGACTGAGAATATCTGGAAGAATCCAAAACCTGTTACTATTGTGGAAAATTCCACAGAGCCTCATCCTATGAAAATTACCCAGGTAAAGCATTCTTGTTTGCTTACATTATAGAATGACGAGGCTTGTCAGATCACACCTCAGCTGTTCATTTTGAATATACAAGACATGAAAAGTTCTGACCTCTTTTATAAACAATCCATTTTTTGCAAGGTGGAAATTAATTTATGAATCAAGATATTTTGTTTTGGCATCCCTCTATTATTTATTAGATGATTTCCCTCTTGCATCATATTAATTGTACATACTACAGGGCAGCAGTATAATGTAATAAGTTTAATTAAAAAAATAAAATCTCTGTATGAGAAAGTGTGGGAAACATATATTGAAGCGAGAATTTTTCAAGCTGATTTAATATAGCTAAATTTTAATTAGCTGTCTGTGCTAACATTTTATCATTATTATTATTTATAAAGCGCCAACAAGTTCCGTAGCGCTGTACAATGGGTGGACTAACAGACACGTATTTGTTTTATTGAGGGCCCTGCTCAATGAGCTTACATGCTAGAGGGAGTGCGGTATAGTGACACAAAAGGTAAGGCTAGGGTAGAAAAGTAGGTTTCTAGGATAGTATTCATTGAGGGCTTAGTGTTTTGATTACCGTTTCAGGAGAGGAATCAGGGTGCAGGGAAAGAAAGCTGTTCACAGTTTAATTGATATGCTTCCCTGAAGAAGTACGTTTTCAAAGATTTTTTGAAGGAGTGGAGATTGGGTGAAAGTCTAACAGAGAGGGGAAGGGTGTTCCATAGAAACGGAGCAAAGCGGATCTTAAATTGAGCCCTATATCTTATAAGTGACAGTTCCTGTTTAAAGGGACACTTTAGACTAGGGGTAGTCAACCTGGTCCCTACCGCCCACTAGTGGGCGGTTTGGGATTTCAGGTGGACAGTGGTGGGTTCTGCAGAAAACATATGGTGCGCCTCAATGGCCATGGACCAAGGCCAGCAGGGGAGATCATTTCATCATTTGACCTGCCAACCCATGCAGAGCCAGCCTTGCTGTAAGCCCTCTCAGGCTAGTGAAGAGATCACAGATACCATGGCAAAGCTCAGATACAGTGCTGTGCTCACAGGAGGACAGGAGAGTCAGCCTGCAGCCGGAGGAGCTGCAGGCTAAAGTGAACGTGCCATCACTGGAACACCATGGCTTCCAGCATTAATGTCCCTCCTCCCTGGTAAAAGGTAAGAAGAAGGCAGGGGGAGATATTAAGATAGATTTTCACATCTCACCCACCTACACACAGCATAGACTATATGCACCCTTCACACACACTACACCCCTCACACACACACACTGTCCCTACACACACACTACACCCCTCACACACATACACACACACACACACACACACACTGCCCCCTCACACACACACACACACACAAACACACACAGACTGCTCCCCTCACACACACTGCCTTTCCTCACACACACACTACCCCACACTCAGGGCCGACCTGTAGAAAATAGAAAAAAAAAGGAAGAAAGAAATAGATAAATTTAAGTACATATTTAAAAATAAAAAAAAATCACACTTGCGCTATAAAATTAATTACTGTGGAACTGGTGGGAGGTAATTTTGCAAAAAGTACAGATTTCAATAGAAATTGACACTTTTATAAATTAACCTGGTTACACCCCTGTGGCTGTCAATCAGACAACCGGTACTGTTACTTCCTGGTTTGGTTAACCCTTTTGGACTGAAGAGGCAGCAATTACCCAGAGCAAATGCCTTGCAAAGACTGTTTATTGAGCTGCATTGGGAAGTCTGTGATTGGACATCCCCAGAAAGCCTGAGTGGGGTTAGAAGGGGAGGGTTTGCAAAGGCAGCAGTTTTTACAAGCTGTTTTTAGGTATACCCTCAATGAAAAAAAAAAAGCATAATTAAATACATACAAGTTTCCATTTGGGGTATATCTATTAAACAGTGATATTTATTTATATTTTATTTGGGCAGTTGAGTGTCCCTTTAAGCCTGGTAAAGCATTATGGGAGTTGAAGCTTTACAATAGTTGGGGATCTAGCTTGTGAATTGCCATTCAAGATGTGTTTAAAAACGTAACCTTTATGAAAAACTTTAAAATTATAAAAATCTTATATAGTAAACTTTGGTAAAAAAAAATACTGTACTGAATAACAAGCAAATACTGACATTGCATAACATCTAAAATGGTGGGTGTACACAATGTATACAGTGTGAAATTCGATACATCACTTGTAGCTTACACTATAGCACAGGACGCAAGAGTAATGTTTTGGTATTTGAGAGCACAGTTTGTAAAATGATCCACGCAATGGAAATTTTAAGCAGATGTTGCCTTCTAAGAGCCAAGACAGGATGGAAAGCTGAGTCTATTAATGCTTTCTGAGAAAAATAGTTGTTTAACCGTTTTTGTGCGTGGCGTGTCTAACATTTTGCAGCTTGAACATCCATGGTTCTCTGGGCAATTAAAATATTTAAAGCAAAATTAAGTAAAAATGGGTTTTTAGCTAGAAAGCAATATATATTTTCCAGGAAACAGTTTTAGGTTTCCCAGAATGCAATGCAGCAGGAGAAGCCATCTTGCATTTCGTTTTAAAGCAGGCCTTGCAAGAAGCTGATGTGTGATAAAATGGCTGCTAATTATTGTTTTTTACATTTGATAGTTGCAGAATGATGATCAGAACTCAAACAGGCAGAAGTAATAAATATCAGTTCTACTATTACCTTTTACAGTTCTGTTACGTCTCCCTGTTCCATGTGGATGGCAAGCACACAGGCATATGTTACATTCACATTATGCTATTAAAATATAATTTTTCGCATACATTAGGTCCAATGGAATGATGACAGCGCCATTTATGAACTACAACAAAGAGAGAGGTATCCGAAATTCCCATTTTCCATTGATGAAGATGGAAATATTAATGTGACTGAGCCGCTGGACAGAGAGGAGAGAGCTCAGGTAGGAGCTTGTAATATGGTGTTTGTATGGTTGGACTGCAGATATATATGGGATTGTGTGAAGCAGTCAAGGGATTCAATCTGGTTTTTACCAAGCAATGATAAGTCAATCAATGAATGGTCTTTAACAATATAAAGGCATAAGGATATTTGGTGAATTGATAAGAACATGCTCAATTTACACTTAAAGGGACACTATAGTCACCAGAACAACTACAGCTTAATGTAGTTGTTCTAGTGAGTATAAAAGCTCCCTTCTGGCATTTTCATGTAAACACTGCCTTTTTAGAGATGGCCACTGGAGGGGCTTTCTGGCTCAGGGCTGCACAGTAAGCAGCCCTGCTGTTCAGCATCCCCACACTCTGCATGGTGACGCTGAATTTTCCTCATAGAGATGCATTAATTCAATGCATCTCTATGAGGAGGTCCTGATTGGCGAAAATGTCATTTGGCACCACCCCCGTGCTGATTTTAGCAAATCTCATAGGAAAGCATTGGATTGGTTAAAAATTTGCCATTTTGATGTCACAAAGGGGGGTGGAGCCAGCGCCGGCAGACCTGCGCGGCCCTGGAAATAAGGTGAGTTTTAAACTTTTATAGGGGGAATTTTTAATATCCATAGCATTAGCAGCAGAAAAAGGTTGTTAATTTTCTTGGATTGTGATTGAAAACACTCATGACACAGGACATTCATAAAGCAATTCAGTTTTTAACACAATTTAAAGGGCTACTGTAACCCTTTTCACAATAATCTTTTTTTAACTTTATATTGCCCTACCAGGGACTGTTGATCTTGTCAACGCAAGAAACTCACCAATTAAATAAGTTTAAATTTAAATCCAGTACCAGGTGAGGTATACCTCGGGAGGGAATGGAGCGAGTATTTCAATATATATATATTAGTGAAATTTTACTAAATAAAGGGAGTGAAGATTCCCCTTGCAACCATGCTCCCATAGCTGCCTGCAATAGTAGAACCCAACTACATGGATTCGCCCTTATTGAAAACATCAAGTACCATCTCTGTCCAAACCAATGCTGCCCATAGAGAAGCCTTACAGACATATGGCGCATGCATTATAATTGCTCCATATATCTACAACATCTCTATGAGAAGAGAGCCTCTTTTAGCTTCATTATGCTTAATGTACCAAATGTGAATTCCTTTGAAAATCAAAGGGTCCAATATGTTAAATGAACAAAGAGAGACATTGTAATTTTAGGGAAGTAAGTAGTGGTTGTTGGAGGGATGTTCTGAGAAATTGCAAGTTGATCTAGTAATAACAATTTATGTAATTTAGAACAAGAAGAACACTTCTTATCTACGCTTACGTTATGTGTGTATTTTTGCTGTGGAACTCATATACTCAGAAACACCAACAATATTGAGCTCCAAAAAAAAAGAAACATTACATAGTTACATAGCTAAAAAGAGACTTGCGTCCATCAAGTTCAGCCTTCCTCACATATGTTTTTGATGTTGATCCAAAAGAAGGTAAAAAACCTAGTCTGAAGCGCTTCCAATTTTGCAACAAACTAGGAAAAAATTCCTTCTTGAACCCAAAATAGCAGTCAGATGTCTCCTTGGATCAATCAGCTATTACCCCACTAATTAGAAATCATATCCCTGTATGTTATGTTTTTGTAAGTATGTATCCAATTGCAGTTTAAACATCTGTATAGACTCTGACAAAACCACTTCTTCAGGCAGAGAATTCCACATCCTTATTGCTCTTACTGTAAAAAGAAAAACCTTTTATTTGCCTTAGATGAAATCTCCTTTCTTCCAGGTTAAATGTGTGACCTTTTAATGATAAAAAATTTGGACAGAGGGATCTAGTACCAAAATAGGGACTACTCTTCCTAACTAGGGTCACTTGGGGGGTACGACTTCACTTCACCATCATTTTCTCGCAACAATATGACAGTTCCTCACTCTGTTTCGAAACTGAAAGAACTGCATGAAAATACAAGATTCACTTTAAAAAGTAGAGCAAAAAAAAACCCGTTTCACTAAGGCACTTACATCTCATTGAGGGGACACCTCCCCCATAGACTAGAATGCTTGTGCGGGTTGAACTTTGCTTAATATGTTCTGTATTTGACAACTCTAAAAATCTTCCACATCCAGTGTTACAAACTTCAGCCTGTTACAAATCAACATTTATCCCCCCCAAAAATTATAGCCTTTCAATGTAAACATGATTATATATGCAGCCAATTCTTCTTAATGCAACATGTACAAAGGTGTGACTTAAATGAGTCACTGATCCAAAGCTAGCCAATAGACACCTGTAGGTGCATGTTGTAGAGTTAAAGAGAGAAAGACTATTAAAAAAAACAATGACTGTATCCCATTTCACACCTTGTGGATGAAGTCCAGGACCTCTGCTCCCGAGTTTATATTGTGAGAATTTAAAAGCTTACAAATAGATGGAAGACTTGGAATGAAATACCGTATAACATGTATAAACATGTTGGCGTAAAGAAAACTATATTTGTTGCATTTCAAGGTAAAATTTTTATTATGGTATGCTCATTTATATACAAAATAAATATAATATACATCAAACAAAAACATAATAAAAATGAACATTATAAATATCTGGCAAAAAGATCTAGTAAAAAAACAAAAAGTCCATAAAAAATTAAAAAGAGGAAACGTAGAGTGTGCAGAACCTAGAAAGAACTACGCATACTAAAGCAAGCACTCGCTAAGCTGCTATAGCTATCAATGTTATACTGATATATTTGCAAATTATACTAAGAGTGAAATGCAGAATTTCATTTTTGTACTATTTTCTAGAGCGTTATTTTAGATCCTACTGCACTATTCATTGCAATTATGTGAAATCCTGAGTGATATCACTTACCCTTTGGATCCATAAATATCAGAACACTGTATGTGTCTTACAACTCCATCAGAGAAAGATGATCAGTTGCTTCTGTTACAAAAGTACTTCTCAACTTTTTACCGAGAAGTACCCTGCAGTCAAAAAAAAGTATCCCTTCCTTGAGAAAGTAATTTCTATTCATTTAAATTTTAACTAATTTAATTATTAAAGTCAATCCCATAGTGGAAAACAAGCCCGATTAAAGGTAGTAAAGAAAATGAAAAAAGTATTACAAAATGGGAATATTGTGGATGTAATGAGGAGTGTATGAAATATTAATCTGATGTATAAAAGACGCAAAATGAAAATATAATACACACATAATAATCAGTGGTGTATCCTGGTTTTGTGCTACCCTAGGCAGGACAAAATTTAGGCACCCCCCCCCCTCAAATCCCTCCTGCGCCACCCCCACCCAACCCTTCCCCCCTGCTCCGCCTTCTAAATACACACACACACATTCACTGACAGATACGCATTAACTAGTTAAAAGAAACACACACTCACTAACAGACACACTCTCACTCACTCACTAACAGACACACAGACACACACTCAGACACACACTAACAGACACACTCACTCACTAACAGACACACACACTCACAAACACACACACACACACAAACACAAACAGACACACACACACACTAACAGACACACACACTCACACACACTAACAGGCAAACACACTCACACACACTAACAGGCAAACACACACACTCACTAACAGACACACACACACACTAACAGACACACACACTCACTCACACACACTAACAGACACACACACACACACTAACATACAAACACACTAACATACTCACTTGTGTTTTTTTAAAAAAATTTTTATTTAACTCCCCCAGCCTCCTTACCTTTTGGGAATGCTGGGGGGTTCTTCCTCTCCCTGGGGGTCCAGTGGCTGCTGGGCGGGCGGTGCTGGCGGGCGACTGGCGACTGGCGAGGGAGCACTTCCCCTGAGCTGTCTGCTCAGCTCCCTCGAGCGCCGCCCGCAGAGTGAGGCTGGGAGCCTGAATATGACGTCATATTCCGGGTCCCAGCCTCACTCTGCGGGCGGCGCGCGAGGGAGCTGAGCAGAGAGCTCAGAGGAAAGTGCTCCCTCGCCAGTCACCGCCCAGCCCATCAGCCCGCCCAGCATGTCAGTTAGCCACAAGGCTAACAACACATTTACCCTGGGCACTTGGGGGCGGCTTTTTATGCCGCCCCCTGGAAAATGCCACCCAAGGCAAATGCCTTGTTTGCCTCGCGGCTAAAACTTCCATGATAATAATGACACACAAACAACACCAGCAAATACACACAAACACAGCTACACTCAGAGGACACTGACACACACACACACTAACACACAGACGACACTGACACGCACACTCACTGAGAGGACACACTGAGGGATCTAGTGTGGCTGCTGTAATCTTCATAGTTTTCTTTCTCTACTCCCTTGACAACTGTTTAGTGATGCCGGGGTCAGAGTAATATCATAATCTGGCTCCCGGTATAACCGCCAAAGGGAGCACAAGAGAGAAGTGCTGGAAGAGCATGGAGATTACTGCTCCCTCGCCACCCAGCTGCAGTCTGCCCCAGATACTGTATATGGGCAGGTGCCTGCTCCGCCTAACCACACAGCTGGCCGCCTCATGGGAGCCCTAATGTTCCCAGCTCTTAGAGTACCCCTGCTGTTGGTGTACGTACACCCTGGGGTACCCAAGGTTGAGAAAGCAGGTGTTACAGGACAGTATAAGCAAATCAGCACAGGGCAATAGTGGAACTATGGGATACAGTATCTGGTGCGTTAAAAGTATCACTTTTAAGACTGAGTTGGTGTAACTTTTAATACTGATTTCCATTATACTCCTGGATAATAGTGTGGTATAGAGTGCATCCATCATAGGTAATACTAAAACAGATTAGTTCTTCTAACTTTTTCTCTACTCCGGTGCGTAGCTTTATTATCCTGGATATGGAATTCCATCTTTATTTCATCATATATCATACACACCCATTCCTTTGAAACAATTATGAAAAGAGCAACAACAACATACCACCCAACTGTCCCTATTTAGGAGGAGCAGTCCCTATTTGAGCCCAAATCCCTCTGTCCCTCTTTTATATCCTAATGTCCCTCTTTTCTAGAAGATCCATATTGTTGGTGTGTCTGAATGTCTCCACAGCAATAATACTCACACTAATGTGTCTTTAAACAACAATAAATGTGTTTAGAAATCAGTCTGTGTCACTAAGATACATTATTCTTGTTCTAAATAACATTTTTGTTACATTATTAGTAAGTCACCTAAAATTTCACCTAAAAGTATCCCTCTTTGTCCATTTCAAATGTTGGGAGGTATGCAACAGAGTTATCCTCTGAAGTTTGAGTTCACAGTGAATTTCAAGTTTAAGGCCAGAGTAGCCGAGCTAGAGCATTTCTCCAAGTCAGCTCTGCTTCCATTTCAGCTACTTTGGCCTTAAATAAAAAAAAAAAAATACTTTGAATTTACAACAATTCTTACTCTAGTAAATATCCCTTCAAGTGTTTACTGCAAGTCTTAATTGTTGCTGAAAATGACGATTCTTTAGCTAATGATGGCTTTGCAAATCTATAAATATGTGTTTGGGAGTTCTGCTGATTCTATCAAGAGGAAGATGTCTTACTGTGCAAATGCAATAAATTCTAAGGATAATGTATTTTTTTTTTAAATGTATTGATATATAATAATTTCTATGAATTAATTGTAATATATGTTTGATCACTTTTAGTATATATTTTATGCTTTTGCATTAAATGAAAATCGCGTTCGTTTGTCTCGACCTGTTGATATTGAGGTCAATGTTGAGGATATTAATGACAATCCTCCAGTATGCCCAGGTCTTGTGACTCATTTTGAAGTTCAGGAAAATGAAGGCCTTGGTAAGATACATCAATTCATTCTTTATCACCTTAATAAATAATTTTTATCCACAGCAAACCAAAACTCAGAGATATTTCGTGAAGACATATTGAAAGTATCTTGATTAAGCAGTTTATATATCAATCTCTAATCAACCCCTTTCCCTTCAAACTGTGTGTATGGGATCCCACTGTATGTATAAAGTGATACCTTTAATCCTTAAAGTGTTACTTATCTTCTCATTTGCCCTGTATTGTCCTTAATCTGCAGAAAAACTAATTTCTCTACCAGGGCTTCACTCTGCCTTCTAGATCACAGCAAGGAACTGATAATGTTTGTCACTGCCTCCACCCACACTCTACAGCAATGCTTGTAGGCAGCACTATATTTAGCGCAAGGCAAACAAGGCATTTGTCTTTGGCGGCACTTTCCATGGGGCGGCAAAAAACGTCACCTCCCATGTGCCCTGACTTATGGGGGCCCAAAAGTTGGCTGACTGGTCACCCTTGAGCCCCCCAGGGTGCCCGGACAGTTTCTTAACAGTGATGCCAGGCGCCGGAGTGACGTCACATTCCGGCATTACTAAGCGGCGTGCGAGGGAGCTAAACAGGAGGATCAGAGCTCCCTCGCCGTCTATTTTGCGCACCCGCTCTCTCCCCTCCCCCTTGCCTGCCCACCCTCAACCCTGCATGCCTGCCCGCCCAGTGGCCGGCCCAGCAGCCCCACTGGACCCCAGGTAAAAATCCACCTAGCTCTGCAAAAGATAGGGAGGCTGGGTGGATTTAAATTAAAATAAAAGTAAATAATTATTTGTAAATGTTGGGGAAAAATGTGTGTGTCAGTCTGTCAGTGTGTCTGTGTGTATGTTTGTTTGTCAGTAAATGTGTTGTGTCTGAGTGAGTGAATCTGTCAGTGAGTTTGTTTGTCTGTCAATTAATGTTTGTGTATGTCTGTGTGTGTTTGTATGTCAGTGTGTGTTTGTCTGTCAGTGTGTATATGTGTCTGTCTGTCAGTGAATGTGTGTTTATATCTGTGAGTGTGTCTGTCAGTGAGTTTGTTTGTCGGTGTGTGTGTGTTTGTGTGAGGGGGCATGTGTGTTTGTGTGAGTGAGTTTGTGTGTTTTTGTGAGTGAGTTTGTGTTTTCATCTGTCAATGTGTGTGTCTGTCAGTGAATGTGTGTCTTTGTCTATCAGTGTGTGCCTGTGAGTGTGTGTGTATGTCTATCAATGTGTGTTTGTCAGTAAATGTGTGTCAGAGAGAGAGAGAGAGAAGGCTATGAATACTACAAATACACTATAAGGATTTATTGCAGGCTGACATTAATTAAAGGTCCACTCTAGGCACCCAGACCACTTCAGCTTAATGAAGTGGTCTGGGTACTGGTCCAGCTAGGTTTAACCCTTTTTGCTGTAAACATACCTATGGGTTAATCCAGCCTCTAGTGGCTGTCTCATTGACAGCCACTAGAGGCGCTTCCGCACTTCTCACTGTGATATTCACAGTGAGAAGATGCCAGCATCCATAGGAAAGCATTGAGAATGCTTTCCTATGAGACTGGCTGAATGTGCGTGCAGCTCTTGCCGCGCATGCGCATTCAGCCGATGACGGAAGAAGAGGGAGGAGAGTCCCAGTGCTGAGGGAGCCCGGCGCTGGAAAAAGTAAGGGATTAACCCCTTCCTCCCCCTTCAGCACCACAGGAGTGGGACCCTGAGGGTGGTGGCACCTTCAGGGCACTATAGTGCCAGGAAAATGAGCATGTTTTCCTGGCACTATAGTGGTCCTTTAATTAACGCCACATATACTACAGAGGTATATGGAAGCTGTACTTGCTATATATTGCAGAATGTGATTCAACACTGTTAATTACATGGTCTTTGAATCTTAGAGCAGCACCAGACTCTAGAAATATATGGGAGTGACACTCCTAGGCATTCATTAAATCTGTCCCTTTTCTATTATTCACACTGTGTTTCTCTCACCCCAGCACTTCTCCTGGAAAAATGGCAGATAAACAAAATTTACAATTGCAGCTAATATCCTGTAATGAAACTCCCATTAAGCTCAGGGAGTCTGGTACATGTATATCCCAGTGCTATGCAAAAAAATAAGGCAATTATGTGTGTGTGCAATATTATCTTACAGTATGTGTCCTACACCCGGTTACTCACTAAATCATAAATTGTCTGGAATTCATCAGAGAATTGCATTTTCAAGTAAAAAATAGCAGCAGGAAACAGCTGAATGACTTAGATTTTTATTTTCCAATTTGACTGTATAGCTTAAAATATATATATGACTCTAATGTGGTTCACACTAAAGTGTAAACTGTTTGGGAATTCCAACTAAATTTTACATTTTAGCCAAAAATAGCAAAGATAAAAATATCCCCTAAGCCAGTTACGTTTTCAGTTAGGCAATATTGGCTTCAAATGTAAAACTTACCTTTATCCAGAATAGTTTAACTTTAAAAAAACACTCCATGCACCTCAACCACTAGAGAAACATAGAAACAATGTGACGGCAGATAAGAACCGTTTGGCCCATCTAGTCTGCACAATTTTCTAAGTACTTTCATTAGTCCCTAGCCTTATCTTAAAGGGACACTATAGTCACCTGAACAACTTTAGCTTAATGAAGCAGTTTTGGTGTATAGAACATGCCCCTGCAGCCTCACTGCTCAATCCTCTGCCATTTAGGAGTTAAATCCCTTTGTTTGTGAACCCTAGTCACACCTCCCTGCATGTGACTTGCACAGCCTTCCATAAACACTTCCTGTAAAGAGAGCCCTATTTAGGCTTTCTTTATTGCAAGTTCTGTTTAATTAAGATTTTCTTATCCCCTGCCATGTTAATAGCTTGCTAGACCCCGCAAGAGCCTCCTGTATGTGATTTAAAGTTCAATTTAGAGATTGAGATACAATTATTTAAGGTCAATTACATCTGTTTGACAGTGAAACCAGTTTTTTTTCATGCAGGCTCTGTCAATCATAGCCAGGGGAGGTGTGGCTAGGGCTGCATAAACAGAAACAAAGTGATTTAACTCCTAAATGACAGTAAATTGAGCAGTGAAATTGCAGGGGAATGATCTATACACTAAAATGGCTTTATTTAGCTAAAGTAATTTAGGTGACTTTAGTGTTCCTTTAAGTCTAGGATAGCCTTATGCCTATCCTACGCATGCTTAAACTTCCTCACTTTGTTAACCTCTACCACTTCAGCTATAAGGCTATTCCATGCATCCACTACCCTCTCAGTAAAGTACGGCATGTTAGTAACAGTTTAACTTCTTACCTGGGTTCCACTGGGCTGAGCAGGGCTCGAGTCCTGCAGAAACGCGTGGGAATGGTGTTCCTGCACTTCTTCCACAGCAGAAATGTCGTTCCCATTAGTAGTCCTTCAGGCAGGGCCGGCGCATCCAATAGGCGACACAAGCGGCCGCCTTAGGGCGCACCGGCCCAGAGGGCGCTAGATCAGAGTGACCGGCATGAGGTGGGAGGTGGAATATTCCAGCAGTTTGAATAGCTGTCAACAATCACTGACATATATTTTCTTTGTAATAATAAAACAACTGAGGGAACCTTTTTCATTTATCTTTTCTATATATGTATCTAAAATTGTGGTCCACGCACTCAAGGATCAGTTGAACAGCATGTTTACTTGGAAAAGTGCACTTTTCCAAATAAACCTGCTGTTCAACTGATCCTTGAGTGCCTGGACCACAATTTTGTTCAACTATCACGGTAGGGGTTGCCAACCCCAGGTCTGGTTGCACCAGGATTTTGATAAGAGTGCGGAATTCCATCTTTGTTTCTATGTATGTATCCAAACATTTTAATTTTTTTTGTATCTGTTTAGGGAGTTCAATTGGAACGTTGACCGCCACAGATATAGATGAAGAATCTTCTCGGAATTCTCTGTTACGCTACCGCCTCCTGTCCCAATATCCTAAAATACCTGAAGATGGAATGTTTCGCTTAGATCTATACACTGGAGTTTTTCAATTAATTAAAAATGGACTGAATATTAATGAAGTTGATCTATATGTACTGCGTGTGAATGTGTCTGATGAAGGTGTAAATCCTAGTGGTCAGTATTAATTATTACATTTTAGAAGGCACAAATTGTATATTTATAATAATGTACCTTTAGGTTGAATCTTTATAAACTGATATAATGGACCTTTGTTGATTATTCTTATTTATAAATGTGTTTAAATGGACAGAAAGTATGGAGCTGAATCCCTATTTATTAGTGTATTTTTGGAAACGCATTAAATAAAATAAAAATATATATATATATATATAGATTCAAAACTTTACTCTCTTTTTATTTTTGAATATATATAAAGAGAGAGAGTAACATTTTGAATGGACATCATTTGCCGTAAATTCCAAGCATTAACAGCTTTTGCAGTGATATTGTTTGAGATTTGGAACTGGATGCTAACTCTCAGCCAGTCATAATAATCCTTGAGAAAGGAGTCACCAAATGTTTTTTTGGAAAAAGCCCACAGGGTTTTTTGGAACTTAGCAATCCCCCTAACAAAAATATTTTTTGATTGAACACAACTGTAATTTGGACCCAAATTCAAAATGTTTTCTAAAATAAGAACAAGTGCTGGATTGTGATTGAGGCCAGACTCTGGAAAAAAATATGCGCAGATAGACAGGCACAAATGGATACAGAACCCCATATATCTTTATCAAACACAGTACTTTGAAAAATTCTCTGACAGCCACTAAAGGCGATATATAGAGATTAGAGGTGCTTCATAGAGACCATCTGATTGGCATGGCGTTTTGCTATGAGAATACATTGGATTGGCTGAGATCATTGATCTCGATGATCTCAACCAAGAAGTTGGAGCATCCCTGCAGAGAAAAGTGTGATAAGTAACTGAAATGTAACTAAAACTCACCCCTCAAGCCCTTACATGGCAGGGGGAAGTTAATACAGTTAACATGTTTGTATACCTAATGCCATAGGGTTCCTTCAAAGCGTTTTAACATGTTCATGTGCTGTAAATTAGTTAATGGAAGCAGTATTCAGTAAACCATTTAAACATTCTTTTTCTGTAGTATTAAAGTTATTTTTCTTCTTATTACAGCTCTCAGTACACTTTGTGAAGTTCATATAAAAGTAATTGATATCAACGACCAAATTCCCATATTTGAAAAATCAGATGTAAGTACATATATGATTATAGTATATTTTACTTTTTTGTCATGAAAAATTTAATCTAATTCATAAGTGTTGCTATTCTACGGTCAACTGCAATATTCAAAAAGACTTGCATACTTTATTAGGAAACAAATGCATGCTTAAAGGAACTCTCCAAGCTCTAACCACTTCAGCTCACTGTCGTGGTTATGGTGTTATAAATGTCCTGGTGCCTCAATCTCAGTGAAAGTAGTCAAACTGTTTGCTAATCGTTTGGCAACTTACCTGGGATCTCTGAGACCGCTGGTTACCAGTCACTTCCTCCACTGAGAGCCGGAAGCTCCTGCACAAAGCCTCTATCAGATCCCCTGTTGTGTATGGCCAATGATCACCTTCAGTGGGCCTAGCTCAATGGAAAGAGCTTCCAGCTCATATGGGAGAGGTAAGTTTTCAAACCATTAGAAAACAATTCCAGGCATCTGAAATCTCACCATAACCAATACAGCATGCTTTGGAATCTTGGGATGACATAATGAGGACAATTTGCTTCCAAAATGCCTTTACCAGGTTCAGCAGGATCTTCCTGCACCATATTGCCAGATCTCTGCTAACTATTTTTCCAATGCTGAGTTAAAGGAACACTATAGTGTTAGCAATATAAATCTGTATTCCTAACACTACGGTGTCCCTCTGCCTCCACCCAACTTCTCCTCAGCAATGAAAGGGTTAAAAACCTTTTTAACACTTACCTGTCCCTTGGAGCTGGATCGATCTGCATCTCCTCCAATGTCAGCGTTTTTGGAAGGTCCTAATGTTAGGCATGCTTTCCTATGGGGAATTACAAGACGCTGGATGTCCTCATGCTAAGTGTGAGGATGTCCAGCATTATTTCACAGAGAAACAGCAGAAACTGCAGAAAGAGCCTCTAGTGGCAGTCTGGGGGACAGCCATAGAGACAGTCTTTACCCTGTAATGTAAACATTGGAGTCAAAACCAGATTTTCCCTCTCTGCTGCTTCAAAGCCAATTTCCTCAATGCACCCTATCCCCCAACCCATGTGTGTACATAACACAGGCTCTGGGCATCACACACAGGTACAAGCACTCACTGACATGTACACACTGAGACAAGCACTTACTGACATACACACACACAGGCACAAGCAATTACTGACATACACACTGCCACAAACACTCATTGACAGAAGCACTCACTGACAAAAGCACTCACTGACACAAGCACACACTGATACAAGAACTCACTGACATACACACACACACACACACACACACACACAGGCACAAGCACTCACTGACACACAAATTGCCACAAGCACAAAGACACAAACACACATTGATACAAGCACACATTGCATGCCCTCATGTAAACCTGTCCTTACCACAAGAAGTAGACAGGATATGAGGAGGTAGGCTGTTTAAGCTTTCTCCTCAGCCGTGTGGCAGCCATGTGTTCATGAAGTGGTCAAAGAGAGCCAGGAGTAATGAAGAACATGACCGCTGAGTAGAGGGCTGGGGCTCCGGAAGACCATTCAATTGTATCATCACATTTAATTGTATCATCATAAGCTACCTCAAATCAACCCCCAATTGCACAGTAGGCAAGCTATGCCTGCGTTCCTGTAGCCCACAAGGCTTAGCTTGACTGGTGAGCTCCCCCACACACAATTCAGGCAGTAAAACCCATAATTCTGTACTTCCTCTGTGGCACATATATAGGAAGAATCTTGGCGCCGCCCCTGTCCTGACTGTGGCCTCGATGTCATGGCCTCATTGGGCTTATGGCAAATCCAGGCCTGATTGCAGTTTATCTAACACTGCAATATTTTCACTTGCATGGTTAAAGACCACTGCACCAAGACCACTTCAATGAGACAATGAGATAAAGTGGTCTGGGTGCATATAGTGTATGTTTAACATCAGTTCCCTTATTTGTGTGGAGGGCCAATGTGTATGAATGTAATAGTAATACTGTGTTAAAACAAGTGCGTATTTTTGAGGGTGTACATGTAATCCTTTCTTGTTGTCATAACCATCCACCTGTCCTGCATTTATCATCGTCTTGCGTCTCTGTCCTATATTTCAGTCCTTATTTCTATTGTACCTGTGTCACTGTCTGACACCTCTCTCCCATTTAGTCTTTATCCTTCATCTCTCCCTGCTAATGTGTATCCCCTACTCCCTTAATTTAACTGAAATTTGCATGGTACTAAAGCACCTTCTGCGTTTTATGAACAATACTAAAAAGCTCAATAAAAAAATGAGTAATTCTCCATACAAGGCACTCAGGAATTGTTCATGTGAATTCAGTAGGCTATGGTTTATTCAATAAATAGTAAACTGTAGCGATTGGCATGTCTAACTATTTAAACTATTATTATAATATAATATAATAATTACTGAAAGATCAGCAATTTTAAAGATGTGTCAATAACATAAAATAAGCACATTCTTTATTATATTTTGCATTCAGGGCAAGCCAATGACACACGATAAAGGATAAAAGGGTAGACTATGCAGGATAGGGAATGTTGGTACTGAAATTAAGACTCTTTTATCAGGAGTACGAGTGTTTGAAAGCGCCCAGTGATTTGTTTTGTTGTGTGACTAAGAGCGGGCTCTTTTAAAAAAAATAATAATAATTTTTGCATTTCTTTTTATGTTTCCTTCTGATTGTATTCATTGTGACTTTATTTCTACCTTTTTCCTCAGTACGGCAACCTGACTCTTTCTGAAGATACACCGATGCAAGCTAGAGTACTTCAAATACAGGCCTATGATGGTGACCAGCCATTCACCGGGAGTTCTGAAATCATTTACGCTATAGTTGAAGGGGACCCACTGAAAACATTTGCAATTGACACTGATAAAACAACAAATAAAGGATGGCTTAAAATAGTACATGTAAGGAGCATTGTTTTTTTATATTGTAGGTGATTGCAGTGTGTATTATTTAGGTCTCAGACAGACACATTTTGGAGGGTGGTATCTTTACATGTTGGATTTTGAGATAACCATGGTTGCATTTACCTTATTAGAATATTAATGTAGAATATTTTGCATCTCTCTCTCTGCACATACAAGTAATTGCCTGCAAATGGCTGTAGAAACGTCTGTATGTACAATAATAATAATTATTATTTAGTAGATATACATGCATTTTTTTTCTTTGGGTAATTTGAAATAGCTGCAGATCTAATATCTGCAGCTACTGCAAGCCCTCCCCTTCTTCTCTGCACAAAAGAGAACGTCTGTTCTGGGGAAGGAGGCGAGGATTTGCAGTTGCAGTTCCACTGTCCAATGATCCAATAACCAATGACCAATCAGAGGCTTCTCATTAAGAAGACTTGTGTACCAGCCGCAAATCTAACCAGATATGACTTTTTTACTGTTTGTTTAACATATTGCAGAGTTAGTAATATGTTACATAAAAAAATCTATTCAAATAAAATACAGTTTTAGAAGGGGGCACATTGAGGGGGGCAGGCAGTGTACAGTGGCATGGTCTCTCTCACCCACTGCATAGTGACAGCGTAGGACACAGGATGATGGAAGAGGCAAAGGCCCCTGAACAATGTCCTAATATACTGTGTGAATAAGCTCCCGTACTCTGGCTGAATACCTCCTCCAGGTCATCTGCCTTGCTACTACCAGGGGACTCTGAAGCACTTCAGACCCAGTCACCAAAGCTTGATTGGGGTCTCTGAGGACCTCTTCCACTTGACCAGACTTCTGTAAATATAGCTTTGGAGACCTTCTCTCCTGTAGAGCAGAGATGATAGCTTTACTATAGCTTTTCCCTATGGATTAGATGTAGGGGATAGAATGACATTTATTGTGCAGAATACAGCTATTTATACAGTGTTAACTCTCCCTGCACTGGGTACTCCATACAAAATAATGCAGAATTACAATTGCCCCTCCCCAAGATCATTCTTTCTGGGCACTTAATTATGTTATCCTCAGTTCAAACAATTGGCTCCCTGCTTTGCCCTCACAGTCCTAGAGGCATAGCATACAAAATGTCCACCCAAACCCCCTTTCCTGGACTGTACCCCCACATGTAACCGAGTGGGGGTTAAAAGCTCATCACCAAACACCCAAGCTGTCCAAATAGCACCCTGATTTGCAAATCTGTGCCAGAGTTACAGAATGTTAAAGTTTTACTGGGTCACAGCTATTCTCCGATTCGATGAGGAGCCCCAGGTGTGTGGCGGCTTAGTCTCGGTCTCCAAAAGGGGTTCCTAGACCGGTGGGGAGGATAAGCGGTCTCAAGCCCCAGGTATCCTCTGATGCCTCCTTGCCTCCCTGACCTCTAATAGATACCCACTTAAATATTGATCAGACCTCGGCACAGTTCAGAGGAACAGTTCTAGAGTGTTCCAGGGTATCTCCCAGTCAGGCACTTGATATGTAAAACGAGTCAGCTGATCCCCTGAGGTCCTCAAGTCCAGCTGGGAAGAAAAGTAAGTATCTGGGGCACTTATATTCGTCCCCTTTCAGGGGACCATAATATGTGAGCAGGAGGCTTGCCTTCAAGCTTCTCCAAAATTCCATGGCACGGGCGCTTCCATTGCATACTGATGCAAATATATGTGTTTATAATCGTATATTTAATGTGCCTCATATGTGCACAGCATTCTTATCTTTGCTTGCTGTCATTAGAATATTACCAATCAAGGCTTCTGTTTTACAGCCCCTCGATTATGAGTCCAAAGCAGAGTATAATCTTGTGATCCACGCCATCAACCCAGAGCCATTGGTTTCAGGAGTCTCCTACAATGACAGCTCCATTACGCGCCTAAATATCATTGTAACAAATATCGATGAACGTCCTTATTTTGAAGAAACTGTATACCAAACACAGATAAAAGAGGATGTCCCTATTGGAACACTGTTAACTAAGATAGTGGCCATTGATCCTGAAGGTGATGACGTAATGTAAGTCAAGCATAAGTAATAGTTTGCATAGTTTAAAATAGCAGTTTTAACTTCTTGATATACAGTGAGGGAAAAAAGTATGTGATCCCCTGCTGATTTTGAATGTTTGTCCACTGATAAAGAAATGATCAGTCTATAATTTTAATGGTAGGTGTATTTTAACAGTGAGAGACAGAATAACAACCAAAAAAATCCAGAACAACGCATGTCAAAAAAAATTATAAATTAATTTGCTTGTCAATGAGTGAAATAAGTATTTGATCCCCTATCAATCAGCAACATTATTGGCTCCCAGGTGTCTTTTATACAGGAAACAACCTGGGATTAGGAGCTCTCTCTTAGGATGTGCTCCTATTCTCAGCTCGTTAAAAGACACCTGTCCACAGAAGCAATCAATCAGATTCCAAACTCTCCACCATGGCCAGCACCGAAGAACTATCCAAGGATGTCAGGGACAAGATTGTAGACCTACAGAAGCCTGGAGTGGGCTACAAGACCATTGCCAAGCAGATTGGTGAGAAGGTGACAACAGTTTGTGCGATTATTCGCAAATGGAAGAAACACAAAATAACTGTCAGTCTCCCTCAGTCTGGTGCTCCATACAAGATCTCACCTCGTGGAGTTTCAGTGATCATGAGAACGGTGAGGAATCAGCCCAGAACTACATGGGAGAATCTTGTTAATGATCTCAAGGCAGCTGGGACCATAGTCACCAAGAAAACAATTGGTAAAACACTATGCAGTGAAGGACTGAAATCCTCCAGCGCCGCAAGGTCCCCTTGCTCAAAAAAGCACATATACAGGCCCATCTGTAGATTGCCAATGAACATCTGAATGATTCAGAGGAGAAATGGGTGAAAGTGTTGTGGTCAGATGAGACCAAAATCAAGCTCTTTGGCATCAACTCGCCGTGTTTGGAGGAGGAGGAATGCTGCCTATGATTCCAAGAACACCATCCCCACAGTCAAACATGGAGGTGGAAACATTATGTTTTGGGGGTGTTTTTCTGCTAAGGGGACAGGACAACTGCACCACATCAAAGGAACGATGGACGGGGCCTTGTACTGTCAAATCTTGGGTAAGAATCGCCTTCCCTCAGCCAGGGCATTGAAAATGGGTCGTGGATGGGTATTCCAGCATGACAATGACCTAAAACAAACAGCCAAAGCAACAGAGGAGTGGCTCAAGAAGAAGCACATTAACCCCTTAAGGACACGTGACATGTGTGACATGTCATGATTCCCTTTTATTCCAGAAGTTTGGTCCTTAAGGGGTTAAGGTCCTGGAGTGGTTGTTATTCTGTCTCTCACTCTTAAAATACACCTACCATTAAAATTATAGACTGACCATTTCTCTGTCAGTGGGCAAACGTTCAAAATCAGATACTGCAGAGGATCAAATACCTTTTTCCCTCACTGTACAGATAATGCTTGTAGTTATAGAGCATAGAAATTTAAAAAATATATATATCTTTTTTTAAAATTATTATTATTTTTATTTTTTTGGAGGAGCAGCCATTTTCTTTACAACATGAGCTTACTTAGTAGTGGCGATACAGAATATTTAACTGTAATAGTATATATATAGTTTTGCTCCAACGTTTGCATAACCTGGCAAAAATTGTGATATTTTCGCATTGATTATGAAAATATGACTGTTCATGCAAAAAAAAAAGTTTTATTGAATGATAGTGATCATATGAAGTCATTTATTATCACATAGTTGTATGGCTCCTTTTTAAATCATAATGATAGCAGAAATCACCCAAATGACCCTGATCAAAAGTTTACATACCCGTGAATGTTTGGCCTTGTTACAGACACACAAGGTAACACACACAGGTTAAAATGGCAATTAATTTCCCACACCTGTGGCTTTTTAAATTGCAGTTAGTGTCTGTGTATAAATAGTCAATGAGTTTGTTATCTCTTACCTGGATGCAATGAGCAGGCTAGATACTGGGGAGCAGAATGGAACTTTATAAAGATGGAAAATATATAGAAAGATACCCAAAGTCGTGACAATGCCAGTCAGTACTGTTCAATCACTTATTAAGAAGTGGAAAATTTGTGGATCTCTTGCCAAGCCAAGGTCAGGTAGACCAAGAAAGACTTCAGCCACAACTGCCAGAAGCATTGTATAGGATATAAAGAAGAACCAACATGTAACCTCAGGGGAAGTACAGGCTGTTCTGGACAGGCGGTGTGGTTGATTCAAGGCTACTTCAACAAAAATGAGCTAGCTCGTCGAGTTGCCAGAAAGAAGCCTTTACTGTACCAATGCCACAAAAAAGCCCAGTTACAATATGCCCAACAACACCTTGACATGAAGAAAAGGAGGTGTACCAGCGCTAATATTTCAAAATATTCTGACAATGCACAAGGAATATATATAAAATAGCTGCTATAACATCAAGATATCTTTAAAAATAGAACTTGTAAAAATGGAAAATAGATGTAGCGCTATATTTAGTAATAAAAATGGAGATAAAAAGGCAATACCTTACAAAGTCTTTACAAATTAAATAAATCTTCCCAGTTTGAGTTTCTAAAAAACACAAAGAAAAAACGGAACGGACATAGTGTATACCGTATAATACAATATAATAATAAAAAAAGGGGGGTAAAATCCCACTCACACTTTTTAGAGCTATAAAATAATAGCTCAATTTCAGCGTTCTTGGGGTTCAGTAAAGGCGACCCTCACCCTTCTTGAGTTCCAGTGCTTCTGATGTTCTATTAAAATGAAACAGGACAAATATGGTGCAGTACCGTTGGTCTTTAAAGAAAGATAATAAACCAAGATGGGGTACTTACAAACTTAGAGCCATCCAAATCGGCTCTGATCTGTGCATTTATGTGGTTAAGGTCCACACACCTTCTTTAGAAAAAATGTAGCAGGGATAATGCCAATAATGTGTAAAAGTACAATATTTATTATAATAATAACATTATAAAATATATATAAGTATTAAAAATATATATAAAATGAAATTGGCATATAAAAATCCAAAGTCTCACAGTCTTTATTCCAGGACGCGTTTCGCCATCACTATTATCCAGCTGAGGAAGCCGATATAGGCGAAACGCGTCCTGGAATAAAGACTGTGAGACTTTGGATTTTTATATGCCAATTTCATTTTATATATATTTTTAATACTTATATATATTTTATAATGTTATTATTATAATAAATATTGTACTTTTACACATTATTGGCATTATCCCTGCTACATTTTTTCTAAAGAAGGTGTGTGGACCTTAACCACATAAATGCACAGATCAGAGCCGATTTGGATGGCTCTAAGTTTGTAAGTACCCCATCTTGGTTTATTATCTTTCTTTAAAGACCAACGGTACTGCACCATATTTGTCCTGTTTCATTTTAATAGAACATCAGAAGCACTGGAACTCAAGAAGGGTGAGGGTCGCCTTTACTGAACCCCAAGAACGCTGAAATTGAGCTATTATTTTATAGCTCTAAAAAGTGTGAGTGGGATTTTACCCCCCTTTTTTTATTATTATATTGTATTATACGGTATACACTATGTCCGTTCCGTTTTTTCTTTGTGTTTTTTAGAAACTCAAACTGGGAAGATTTATTTAATTTGTAAAGACTTTGTAAGGTATTGCCTTTTTATCTCCATTTTTATTACTAAATATAGCGCTACATCTATTTTCCATTTTTACAACACCTTGACATGCCTATCAATTTCTGGCACACCGTAATTTGGAGTGATGAAACCAAAATAGAACTTTATGGTTGTGACCATAAGCACTATGTTTGAAGATGTACCAACAAGGCCTATTGTGAAAAAATACTATCCCCACGTGAAGCATGGTGGTGGCTCACTGATGTTTTGGGGGGAGGTAAGCTCTAAAGGCAGGGGGTATCTTGATGGCAAAATGAATGCAGCATGTTCACTTTCAGTAGTGGGGAAAGTAATGGAAACCATGTTAAAGGATAGGATTGTTGAACATCTAAAAACACATGGATTTCAAAATCAGAGACAACATGGGTTTACTTCAGGGAGATCATGCTAAACTAAGCTTATTGAATTTTTTGATTGGGTAACCAAAATATTAGATCAGGGTGGTGCAGTAGACATTGCTTACCTAGATTTCAGTAAGGCTTTTGACACTGTTGCACATAGAAGGCTTATCAATAAACTGCAATCTTTAAGTTTGGATTCCAATATTGTTGAATGGGTAAGGCAGTGGCTGAGTGACAGGCAACAGAGGGTTGTAGTCAATGGAATATATTCAAAGCTTGGGCTTGTCACCAGTGGGGTACCTCAGGGATCTGTACTTGGACCCATTCTCTTTAATATTTTTATTAGTGATATTGCAGAAGGTCTTGATGGGTTGATGTTCCAGGAGGGATAAGCCAAATGTCAATTTAGGTAAACTATAAAAATGGTCAGAGTTGTGGCAACTGACATTTAATGTGGATAAGTGCAAGATAATGCATCTTGGACGTAAAAACCCAAGGGCAGAGTACAGAATATTTGATAGAGTCCTAACCTCAACATATGAGGAAAGGGATTTAGGGGTGATTATTTCTGATGACTTAAAGGTAGGCAGACAATAGAGCAGCAGGAAATGCTAGCAGAATGCTTGGTTGTATAGGGAGAGGTATTAGCAGTAGAAAGAGGGAAGTGCTCATGCCATTGTACAGAACATTGGTGAGCCCTCACTTGGAGTATTGTACGCAGTACTGGAGACCATATCTTCAGAAGGATATTGATACTTTAGAGAGAGTTCAGAGAAGGGCTACTAAACTGGTTCATGGATTGCAGGATAAAACTTACCAGAAAAGGTTAAAGGAACTTAACATGTATAGCTTGGAGGAAAGACGAGACAGGGTGGGATATGATAGAAACAGAAACAGGGGGTAGTGGATGCATGGAATAGCCTTCCAGCTGAAGTGGTAGAGGTTAACACAGTAAAGGAGTTTAAGCATATGTGGGATAGGCATAAGGCTATCCTAACTATAAGATAAGGCTAGGGACTAATGAAAATATTTAGAAAATTGGTCAGACTAGATGGGCCGAATGGTTCTTATCTGCCGTCACATTCTATGTTTCTATGTTATCAGTAAATAATGGCAGACATTCTTTTGCACAAAGGCTGCGCATGGGACGCTCTTGGACTTTCCAGCATGATAATGACACTAAGCACAAGGTTGACCCTCCAGTGGTTACAGCAAAATAAGGTGAAGGTTTTGGAGTGGCCATCACAGTCTCCTGACCTTAATATCATCAAGCCACTCTGGTAGATCTCAAATGCGCGGTAAATGCAAGACGACCAAAGACTTTGCATGATGTGGAGGCATTTTGCCAAGATGAATGGGCAGCTATAACACCTGCAAGAATTAGGGTCCTTATAGACAACTATTACAAAAGACTGCATATTGTCATTGATGCTAAAGGGGAAAATACAGGGTATGCAGACTTTTGAACAGGCGTCATTTAATTTTTTTTCTTTGTTGCCATGTTTTGTTTTGTGTGTGCCTTTCTGTTATAACCTATAGCTGAATATGAATCCCATATGAAATAAAAAAAATGTGCTTTGCCTGCTCACTCATGTTTTCTTTAAAAATAGTGCATATATTACCAATTCTCCAAGGGTATGCAAACTTTTGAGCACAACTGTATATATTTTATATATCGGAGAGAGAGAGCGCTAAGCCATGACACAGCTGAGATTGCTATGCAAAATTTGATTCACTAAACTCTGTAAAATGATACAAAATGTGTATGTCTGCTATCAGTTCACAGAGCTCCATGGCGTCATGGAGCTCCACTGGCTAATACATTTTATACCTTTTAAATCAATCTGTGTCATCATGAAAATCTGGCCCTAAAAGGGAAACTGTAACTGCTTCATCTCATTGTTGTGGTTATGTTGTCTGGAGTGCCCTAGTGCTGTCTTCCAACCATTCTTAACCTTCCAATTCTAAACAAGAGTCTCCTGTAACCCATCCCCTCTCTGCTGCTACGGCTAATGAGGAAACATTAGCCTGAGTAACAATGGACAGCTGTGATTGGCTGGGAGTGTCAGCTGACCTCCTCCAGCCTATCACAGCCCCCATTTGTAGGATGAATTGGAATTGCTAGAAGGAAGTGTGTAATTTCTACCTGAGCCAAACCTACAGTAGGGGCCGGGTGTGGGTGGCCAGAGAACCTTATTCAGTGTTAAACTTCTGGAAATTTGTTTAACATTGAGATGACATTGTATTTGCTATCGGTATCTTTACAGATTAGGACATTCCATGTTTCAGTAGGATATAGGTGACTAAATTGTTATGACACCTCTTTACATCACACTAAATACAAAAAGAAGCCTGTAACACAGTTTGGTAGTTTGTTATTTTTGTTAATTTCCCTGGTAATATTTTAACCCCAATAATATTATAGAGTGAAAACATTATTTTCATGTATTACGCAGTATAAAACCTTGTCCATAAAGCCTCACTCACCCTCATTTACGTTCTAGTTATGATTACCAGCCTGTACAGGAACACATGTCTCTGTCAGAAGCCTCTAGTCACTGATATAAATGAATGAATGTAAAGTTGTAGAAAATGTCTCTCAGACCAACTGTCTGTGAGAAAAATAGCAGTTTTGCTTTTATGCTAACATTTAAAGTATGTAAAATGTATTGATATTTATTATAAATAATCTATGGAGCATACCTATTAGGTCCCCCCTCCTCACAATAACCTGAAAAAGGTTTTTTACGTGCCTTTACCCAGCACCAGACGAAGCACCAGAAGCTAATCTTCCACACCCTGTCTTGGCTTCAGCCGGCACTCCTGTGCCAACAAGGGAAAGTGGGGACGAGTTCTTACACTTTTTGAACCACAGGTGGGAGTGCCTGCAGGGAAAGAAAAGCCACCTTCCCCTTGTAGGAGATCTACCTGCAAGGGAAGCATTCTTATATTTATCGGCAGTGTGCAGTGCGCACTGATGGCAGATGTAAAATATGTGCAGACTTGACATTAGGCAGCCCAAAACAGAGTTCCTCTCTTTCTCCTCCCCTGCCCCTTTGTGTATCCGTTTGTCCCCTCCAGCCCTCTGTGTCTCTTTGTACCTCCATGTAACATGGCTGAGCGGACCGCACGTAGAAGATCTTCTGTTTCCTCTACCCAGTCTGACAGGAAGATGTTCGATGCTCTCAGCGAGCAGCTTCCTATCAGGTAGGGTAGAGAATACAGAAGATGCTTTATCACGTATCCATACTACATTCAGTGACGGTCAGGAGGGGAAGCGCTGTGCGGTGTGCTCCCCTCCTGCCAATCACCTGGAGACTGCACCCCCACCCGGCCGGTGCTGGGTGGGACCCTAAGCAATAATTGTAAGAATTTTTTTATTTTGTTTTAAAACATTGTTTTAATTTACAAAAGCCTCCACCAAGCAAAGATAGTAAGCCATACTAGTGATCAGTCCCATTTCTAAACTATGAACATGTATATCAGATAAATGAATACTGAAATAAAATATAGTGCCTGCAAGTGGCAGAAATATTTGCTAGTTATTATTTTATAATCATTAGACCCAGTTTTCTTTAATAAAATATCAATCTATAATGTTTTTCACTTGAAAAGATATTTTAAAAATCCATTGAATTTCACAAATGTTTTTCAGTTACGGAATGACTAAAAATATATAGTTGTAAAACAGTGGTTTAGTTTTTCGAATAGCTATAAGTCACATCCATTAAATTTGACAAATGTTTTTCAGTTACGAATTGAACGGAGACAGAAGGAGTTGGTTATGGATAAACGAAACTTCGGGAGAAATCTATAGCAATGCAATACTGGACCGGGAAACAGAACCTCATTACTATGTGGAAGTAACAGCTAAGGAGAGACGTAAGGGATATATTTTACAAATTATTAAAGGAGACATAAAGACCATACACCTATGTATAAATAGATAGCCTTAATGAGGAGAGAAAACCTATTTACCTCTGCCCTAGATATATTAAAGATATATCATAAATTAAATGGAAAATCAACGTTATGCTTTTTTTTTCCATTACACTTTGCCGGGACAGTATTACACAACAACAAAACTTTCCATGCCAGCTATCTGATATCAGTTGCCATTATTAGAGTTTAATTAACTCATTCCACTTTATGTTGGAAACTACAGTGGAAAAATGACTGCTGCAATTTTTTAAAATGCTGTTACAGTTGATGATTGCTTTTACAAACAAAATAAAGCATCCACTTTGGAAAACTAAACAGTCTACTCGGATTTTCAAAATGCTTGTTGCTTATTGAGTCAATCCCAAACCCAGTTTTATTTTAGAGAACGTAATACACAGAGGTTCTGAAATGTGTTTTGGGCCATGGAATATGTTATATATGTTGATGGAGTCACAGTAAATATAAAAAAAAGTTGTCATGGTACACTTCAAGATTTGTTAAGCACCACACCAAGAAACTCTACTTACCACGCTTACTAATAAAATCATAATTTCTTTCTAAATCTAGTGTGTAATGTGTAGCTACAAGTGAGAAAAAAAGACAAAACTACTTTATGTGCATTTAAAACCAGGTACATTTATAAAAAGAATATTTATCCGTTTAGATTTTTTTCTCTCTATTTCTACCTAACCCTTTACAAAGCAAAGCAGCTACCTCAAGTCATTCCACTCCATTAGGTGTCCTATAGTTGTATATCTGAACCTGTATACCTCGACTAAAACTCCAGGATTTCTACCTATTTTAACACTTATCTAAGACCACCTTCTACCTGGTTGCAATATTGTAATTACAAATACACAAAAATAAGTCCTGTGCTAAAAATCCCACGCTAAACACCAAAACAACTTTAGCTTAATGAAGCAGGTTTGGTGTGTAGATCATGCCCCTACAGTCTCACTGCTCAATTATTTGCCATTTATGAGTTAAATTGCGTTGTTTATGCAGCCCTACACAGCCTCACTCCACACTTCCTGAAAGAGACATTCATTCTTTATACTTCCCTTAGTGTACAATGTGTTTAATTTTTTAAGTTATTGTCTAGTACTTTGTAAATTGCCTGATAGAGACTGCAGCAGCCCCCGATATGTGATTAACATCCTTTTAATAGAGCAGGAGGTGACTTTCAAAGTAAAGACACTGCACTTGTAAGATCTGTTTGAAAATTAAACATTTTTTTAAATGAGACTGAGTGTGTCTTACCCAGGGGAGCCATGACTATGTCTGCATAAACAAAGTGATTTGACTTCTAAATGGCAGAGCATTGAGCAGTAAGACGTTTGGATCTAAAAGTGCCTGGCGTCTTAACGTCAGGGGTTGTGATATCAATGTAAAAGGAAACTAGGATAAGAAACTAAAACGAGAATGCTTTTGGTAATAATCAAAGGTTTATACAGGATTTTTTGTGTATATTTTTATGTCATTTAGAGACAACTAATGTAATGTTTTGGTGCATAGAATATCCTTTTAAATTGTCATGCTCACATATTAGTCTCTCATTCCAAAACTGGGACTGGGACATATCTTCCTGGCAGAATTTTGCAGGCAAGGGACATTCCTTTGTTACATTCTTACATTTAATGCTTCTTTCTAAATGGCATACAAAGGACCAGTTTACAGCTTAGCCCTATAATGTCGTGAGTTACAAATAAACAATAATGTTGTTTTTTCATGAGATCAAGTATGCTTCAACGATGTATAATCCACACGTTAATAGGTAGTTATTTTGGGATAATTTTACAGGCAATCTATCAATGAAGTCGTCTGTATCTTTTCAATTGTTTCTGGATGACGTGAACGACAATGCACCAAAACTTGCGAACGGTTACGCTGGAGCTGTGTTCTGCCATCCACTGAGCAAGAAAGAGTCTGTGTTTGTAGAGGCTGTAGATGCCGATACGAGTCCAAATAGCCGTAGATTTCGATTTACTCTTGGTGTGGGTGAAAACATAACCAGAGACTGGACATTATCATTTATTAATGGTGAGTACAGACCAACTCGTCATTCTCTTTTTAGCAATTGCCTGAAAGCTTTCTAAGAGATAAATACCCTCAGTCAAAAAATAAAACCAATAAAATTGAAATGATGGACAGATTCTGATGACAAATTTTGATTGAGACCAAGTGTATTGTTTTTTTTTTCTTCTTTCACTCTTAAAATATAACAACGTTTCCAGGTAATAGCACTTTTGGATTTTTATAAGTGTACCTATTTTATTGGCAGGTTCCCATACTAAGCTTAACATGAACCACCATGATTTTCCGCCTGGCATTATACGAGTTCCAATAATTGTTAATGACAACGGAAAACCTCCCTTAGAATCAACAGTCTATGCCTCAGGTAGGTCACATTAATACATTCCAAATGTTTCTTGTATGTGATGGTAGAAACAGAACAAATTGTCTTCCTTCAATTATTTTTCACTGAAGATTCTTACACTCAATAAACCATGTATAACACCATGTCTTGCTCTCAATCTACAAAAGTCGAGGTCAAAGAACATGCAAACTGATCTCCTCCTGCACTGTCAAATAATTCCATGTCAATATTTATTAGAACAATTCCGTGAATTCTTACAGTAACATTAACAATAAGTCAGACAAATGGCACCTACGAGCATATTTAGCGAAGGAACATCCACTCCTTCATGTTGTCTCTCATCAATGGTTGTGTAAATGAATTTGTATCCATGATCAATTGATAACACTGATCATTGCAACAAATAATTGATTCCAGCCCACAGCATTTGGAGACTGCAAATACAAGCATGTAGCACAGCTGGTGCCAACCCCAGCACACTGTCACATCCAGCACATTGTCAACCCACTTCCTTTACAATTTTATATTAACACGGCAATAAGTGGGCTACTGCACTAACTATGAATATAGGTATGTAATATAGTAGTATTATGGTACAGCAGCACACAAAACTCTCTATGCTACAGGCCAGGATTGGGAGGGGGGCAGATGTCCCTTGACCCTTTGGTGATGAAGGTCTCAGTTAGGGACATTTCTGTTAAAAAACTATATAGAAATCTTTTGTGACATTTGCAAGTACCTTACCAACACTGTGTAACTCCTGGTTTAGTAAATAAATCAATTTGGGATGCCCCGTGAAACTCCATAATACAATATGGAGTAATATATCGGTATGCATAATACTGGTACTGTATGCAGTTCCTTATTAGTCATATCCTGTGTCAACAAAGATCTAACTATTCTCTAACAAAATACTATTCTCCTCTTACCTGGGCCATGATAAACTCACACTCTTCCAGTAGAATTCTTTACTCACCAGGGAAATGAGCCATAACGATATCTGACACTCTAGTATTGTACTGTTTATGTTTACATTTTTTTTTTTTTTTGCAATCCTGCATATCTTCAATATTTGCTAAATCTTGAATATCTGCCTCTTCTTGATACATTGTATCTTTCATTCTATAATCTGATATAAATTATTTAATACTTACCTAGTGACAATTTGCACCTGCTCCTCTGGTAACCAGTGCTCATCACCTCCACTGGATGACTTCGGTAGGCCATCTGTCGGAATGGCTCTCGGAATTTTATTTGGAGTTCTGGCAGTTATAGGTAAGTTCTATTAACATTTAAATACAGTTAATAACAATACACATGTATACATACATACATACATAATTAGCCTTGCTCAAAGAGCTTACAATCACAAGCAGATAAATAAGCCAGACAAACGATCTATAGAAAAGCTGTGGTTATAGAACAATAGGAAAAAACACTCCCCATTAATTCAAGTATATTTTAAAATATTCTACCTTGGCGTCTGTCTGTCTGTCTGTCTGGTTCACGGTACAAATATCAACTCTGGAGTTGCCAATCTATAACTAATTGTTTTTCTGTATTTATTTGCACAGGTATTATTGTTGCAGCTGTGCTTATCTCAATAAACAAGAAAAAGAAGAAAGAGAACACTCCCAAGAAAGTTGCTAAAGTTGATGCAACCAGTCCTACGGAAACCATCACTCTGGCGTCTTAACGTCAGGGGTTGTGATATCAATGTAAAAGGAAACTAGGATAAGAAACTAAAACGAGAATGCTTTTGGTAATAATCAAAGGTTTATACAGGATTTTTTGTGTATATTTTTATGTCATTTAGAGACAACTAATGTAATTAACGAGGCCCATCTGAAAACAAACATATAGTGCAAGTCTGAGTTTTTGGAGACTTCTCACTAAAAGAAAAAGCCCACGTAGACTTTTAATTGCTCATTTCATTGCTAGTGTCTATATAGTGCCTGTGAAAGGGCATTGTTTGTGCCATAAGACAGTGAGTACATTTATTTTGATAATTTCATACTTGCACCATTTGCCACCTGGAGGTCCATGAGATGAAAGTGTTTCCTGTAGTCTTCTGTATAGTCTCTAAAGACCTTGGAATCAATAATCAGATGTTCTTTCAGTTCACTGTGAGAAATCTTGGCAGCTTATACTATACATCATACAATAAAATCAACTCTTAAAATTCTCACACCTCCATGCATCTAATACAACAATTCTGGCTATTTCTCATTAGACGATCACATAATGGTGCACTTCTATTTTTCATTCTGTCCAAGATAAAGTGCTTCAAGAGAATTAGTACAAATACTTCATTTTTACGTAGTCAAATCAACTATCATTTAATGTTCCAAGAATGAGCCTAGGATAGATACTAAGTTATTCACTTGGCCAGGGTATGGCAATCTAAGGCTCACACGCCATTCAGATGAGTGGACCAAAGGCAGTCTAGTTTCTCCCATTGTAAAGCGCTGCGGAATTTGTTGGCGCTACAGAAAAATAATAATAATTATAATCCTTGGGGAAATTCAGATTTTTATGTGGAACTGTCATGATGTGTCTCTATTAGGTCTGATTTTAGGAACCAATGGGGTGTCCAGCTGTTGGCCGTGCTGTGGGATGTATTAGATGTAAATGATAACTTGAACTAATGGTGTATCCAAATCTACCTCAGCTGTTTTAAATGTAGGACAGTAGGCAAGGAAAATATAGATTTTGGAGAAATAAAGGTATGTTTTCATTTTTATCATTATTATACTTTGACTAACTGGTGTTCCAAAACATGACATGATATTTAATTAAACTTGGCAGACCACATGTTTGCAAAATGTTTATTATTATATTATGTATATACTAACTCATTGAAATTTTTTTAAAAGAGTGCAAAAGGAAATCTTTTTATTTTTTAAGGGGACACTATCACGAAATGCTGTTTTGTTGCACCAGTTAAAGGTACACTCCACTCTTTAATAGAAAATAAATAAAAGTCACTGTTTAGTAGATATACCCCAAATGGAAACTTGTGCGCATTTATTTATGTATTTTTTCATTGGGGGTTTATTTAAAAACAGCTTGTAAAACCTGCAGTTCTTTTGTCTGCTGCCTTTGCAAGTCTTCCTCTTCTAACCCAGCCTAGACTTTATGTTGCTGTCCAATCACAGACTCCCCAATACAGCTCAATAAGAAGCAAGGCAGGCTCTCTGAGCAATTGCTACCTCTTGAGTTTAGCTCCACTGAGCTAACCAAACCAGGAAGTAACACTACCGGTAATATTCTTGAAAACCAAGGAGGTGTAACAAGGTTCATTTATAAAAGTGTAAATTTCTATTGAAATCTGCACTTTTTGCAAAATAGAAAAAATAGGACACACTCTTCAAGATAAAAAACATTAAATTTATGGTAACACAGAGTAGCCTAGAATAGGAGAAAACAAACAAACATATTATACAATTAATATTGTCACCATAGTCGTTGAGACTTTGCTAAAATTAAAACTAAGAGCATGCCTGTTTCTCCAAAAGCTAAGGACAGAATAGACTGCCTGGTCAAGTGCATTACTTACTAGTGATATTTGTGAAAAGGAAGATCTACCATCTATTAAATTGGCCAGATCCACTGGAGTTTTGAAGTGTATTAAAAGATGTAGGGGTTAGATCAAAGTAGAGACCATAACACTTTGATTTTTCATAAATATCACAGATGTAAATTGTCAATAGAGTAAATCCTACTGATAAGTCATCAAGAGATGTATGCACATAGTAAGCAAATTTACTCAGCATCCAAAACATACAAATAAAACATATTTTACATATACACAACACATATTTATTGCGTGTGCAATTAAAAAAATACATGGCTCCTTTTTATATGATACGTCATTTTTAAATGGTCTGTCTTCAGGGGGTGTACATCTATACCGGTAAAGAAAGGTATTAGAACTTGCATTTCTAGCCTGTTTGCGAGTTTCGCTGCCTTTGAAATGGAAAACCAAAGTTTATGATACAGCATTAAATACAATTTTATACATATTTGTGTGTGCTCTTTATTTATAAAACTGAATAAAATTGCCTATATTCATACAAATGTTAATAGAATTCCAATAAGGTAACATAATTCCAATCATGTGTGACATACAAGTCTAGACTAGCCATTGGACAAACAGACAAATGTCTAGTGGGCCACGATGGCCATGGGCTAAGGCCAAATGGGGTGATCAAAAGATCTCCTTGGCTGGCCTATGTAAGGTACATGCTATTGGAGTGCTGGCCAACAGAGGTAGCTCTAATGTTCCACAAACTAAGGATGCACACCGCATGCTCCTTCCATCAGAGAACCAAAGGTTAGTATGAGAAAGGAGTAAGTCAATGTTTTTTTTTTTGTTTTGTTTTTTTATATATATCAAATCAAGAAAGGTCTGCACCCAGCATGTAAAAAAGTTATATATTGTGTGGGCAAGAGTGTTATATATATATTTATATATATTTATATATATATATACATATATATATATATAAAATACAAGATCCAGTAAACTCATGTTAAGACACCTCCAGTGTCTTTAGGCAAAACCACCGTTTAGTAGACCTTCCCCCTCTGCAGTAACAATAACTCCGTTCGCTTAATCTGTAGTATACGAACCAAATGCAGGGGAAGCGGCAATCTCCCAACCGAGATCCGTGAACGGCTCCAAACTCCCGAACGGCAATACACGAACTGCTGGTCACCGTCGAACAGCAATATTCCCCAAGCGGCTTCCGTTCCATCCAGCAGTCTCTAAACGTGAAGAAGAAATCCCCCCAATAACGAGACAGAAGCTCCGCATTGAGGGTCAAACAGGATCTGGCTTTACTGTGGGCTACCTGCCCGTATTTATGCAGGTCTCCCACTTGGTGGACACTCCCCTAGGGGACCAAATGGGAGACTTAAATGACAGACAGATATGGGGACATTCCAGACACACAGTCACAGATTTTACCCACAGTGCATTATGATTCCCTCCCCTCTGCCCTGGAGTTAATTACCAAGTAACTCAATTAACTCCAGGACAAAGCCAGTCGCCATCTTAAATATAAAATCATAAAAGACATAAAAATGCATAACTTCAAAATAACCGAACATTTCCCATTCGTATCACATATCCCCAGATAGCCTGGATCTGAGTGCATATTATTAGCGAATAGCGCTCAGATCCCACACACATAGTTCAATCGCCATGGAGTCAAAGTTCTTACAGTCTTTCGGTATACGAATGACTCCATGGGAAGGCTATCTGGGTTAAGTCTTTTCGTATGCTCCAAATCTCCCAAACGGCCGGTATTCGTATGCTTTCGTGGAGGCAGCCAGGCGTTCTGTTGTTTCAGCGGTGTTCGGCAGAAAAAGTGTCCGTTTTTAGTTCCATAGAAATAGAGCCAAACACCGCTGGGCTTTCGCTTGGTTTAAAATGGCCGCTGCCTCGTGGTCGACATACGAACGACGACCACCCTGCATTCGGTTTAATTGAGAAGTGTCTGCGGTTAACCACAACGTTCTAATTGGGATCAATTTGTTAACCAGCAGCACACTTCTCTCCTGGGTGGCCGTCCATTCGGCAGGTTTGTTCGGGAAAAAGAGTCATTCGAATGGCTGGGCTATAGAAACCAGCCATTCATACGAACGGGAGACAAACAGACGAATGCAATTAAAATACAAGCAGACAGATGGTTCTGTCACAACTCATTTATTCAATAAACAGCAATTTTAAAGCTCATAGAATGTAATATCATTTTTTAAGAACACCTAGCCTAGGCAAAAAAATTATTTGGGTTTATTTACAGTATATGATAAGCCTGCCACAACGTCAATGCACCCCATTCATGACAGGTCCTACTCAAGCAACCTAATGCTTGCTCCTATGAGATGAATCCACTTACTTGATAAAATACTTCCTCCTCGGACTATCTGCAGTGCAAGGTTAAATAGGATGCTTAAGTGAGGAACCTGTGTGAGTGAGGGACACACACACACACACACCCCATGACAAGAAGCACCTATTCACACACAAATACATGCATACACTACAAGTTGCTTCTGTCTGAACATACTGCATCATATTAAGATCCTACACACACACACGAAAACACAGCAAGCAATCACCCCACACATCCAATATATAATATATATTCTGCCCATACAGAATCCAAGCACTATGACCATTTCAAAGCACTGAAGTGGTCATGGTACTTTGAGTAACCCTTTAATAAAACAATTATCTGCTGCTGTCTGAATTACTGTATTAGGAACAGATTACCTCCTTAAACCTCCTATTCAACAAAAGCACAATTACAATGTATAAGTGAGCAAACCAGATCTAAACTTAACCTCCATTCTCTGATCTGTAACCTATCATTTTCTTATTCCTTGAGCTATCTATTTGTTTGCTAGCAGACACTGCCCAGTAATTTAGTGCTGGTGTACTTTGTAGTCCATATATTTGAAGTGTGCGATGACTACATGTTGTGGAAAATGTTCTCATCACTGATACAGTCCATTTGTTACGTTGAAACTGGATCTTTTCAAACTTCTCTGATAGATTTCCTTTGCTGGAGAAATTATTGCTACGAATACATCGCCAACAGTCGTTCAGCCAAACTGGTACACTGATGGATCTAGAATAGAACACTTGGCATACTTTGTTGCAGATTTTAAAATTGTCAATCTTAGTATATGTATGATTGTTTGTATATAGAAACAAATATTAAATAACGAATCACTTTATATCTCTATGGACATTACAAAATAAGAAATATGTTTAGAATTATATTTTAAGAATTCTGAGTTCCTGTCTTGCTGAGTTGTGACACATGTAAAATAAAACACATCATAAATAGTACAGCATGTTTGTTGTGTAAGTGTGATACTATTGAGCATATAAATGGACACTCACAATGTTTGGAACCTTTATGCTTGGCTATGGATGAAAGTATTGGTGCCTTAAACTATATTTTCTTTCTGGGAAATGAACTAAGAAAGATAAAATAGATAAATAATTCTGCGCATTTACAGCAGGCTCTAGATAGAATTGCATTAGATATTCTAGAGTGTATGTATGTGTGTATGTTTATAACACGATTTATCAAAAGTCCGAATTAGAGACATGTGTAAGCAGATAATTCTCCAAATTGCTTAGTTATTCACTAACTGTAAGTCAGTTTCATATTCACATGTTTGCAAACTACCCACTGTCTAGTCAGTTTAAATCAGTTTAAAAGTTTTTAAAAAAAATAACTGATGCAAATTATAGAAGTATAGCAAACCAGTATCCACAAAGCATCTATTAGAACCAACTTTAAAAATATAGCTATCTCTCTGTTTTTTAAATTTGAAATTTCAAGGTGGCCAGGGTCTCTGCTGGTAGCTTTAAGATGATAGTGGGCACGTAGTTGAATATTATAAATTAATAGATTGAGCATAGGTTCAGAAGATAAACTTGGAGGCAGCAATTGGCTATTGTGTTGGTGGCCAAAAGGTGATGGGGTATCTCTTGTCCATACTGACCAGGTGGAATTCTGTTCAAGGCCTTGACATTACCATATTCTATATATAATGCCAATGTTACATATTTTGCAGGGATCTCATTTTAAACAGAAAAGACCTGCATGACCCCTCTAGTATTGGACATGCTGTTCTAAACTTCTTGCCCAATAAGTTGACCCTTTATTAATAGTATCAGGGGACCCAGTACCTTTGGCACCACAAATTATCCACCTCTCGTAATACAGTAACAGAGGACTAGGACACTCTTAGTTATTAGTATGTTAGTTTTTGTGCCCCAGACCCAGGGCAGGCACGTCCTATAGGCGACTTAGGCCTCCTACCTGTCACTCAGTGTAGTGTGACCGGGCAGTGCGGACCACGGTACAAGAGCATCTGTAACCTGTATCCGGCCGGATTGACTGAGTGAGCACTTTCTTTCAGTCCTGTCGGGTACAGGAAGCAGAAGCTCTTGTAACATGGTCTGCGCCGCCCGGCCGCCCGGCCATGCTGCAAAGATAGGTAGGAGGCAGGCACAACAGGGAGGGAGGATATCACTAAGGGGAGAAGGAGGGAGGACCACTAAGAGGGGGGGAGGGAGGACCACTAAGGAGCTGGGGGAGAGGTAGGACCACTAAGGGGTTTGGGCAGGAGAACCACTAAGGGGTTGGGGGGGAGGAGGACCACTAAGAGGGGGTGGGGGAGAGAGAGGATCACACACACACTGACGTACATACATACTCACATACTGACACACACATATATACAGACATACATACATACTGACAAACTGACATACAGACATACATACATACACATAATACATACTGACATACATACATACATAATGGCATACATACACATACAAACATACAGACACACACACACAGATAGATATATACATACACAGATACATACAGACATACTAACATACACACACAGACATACATGCATACTGACATACATACTGATAGATATATACATACATACATACTGACATACATACATACATACATACTGACATATATACATACTGACACACACACACACACATACAGATAGACACATACACACATACATACAGACATACTGACATACACACACACAGACATACATGCATACTAACATACATACACACAGACATACATGCATACTGACATACATACACACATACATACTGATAGATATATACATACATACATACACACTTACATACTGATAGATATATACATACATACACACACAGACATACATACATACTGACATACATACACAGACATACATACATACTGACATACACACAAAGACATACATACATACACACAGACATACATGCATACTGACATACATACACACATACATACTGATAGATATATACAGACATACAGACATATACACACACACCTCATTTATCAGCCACTCTCCTCTTCCTTACCTTTAAGTTGCAGGAGGGTTGCTGGGGATGATGGGAGCGGATGCCTCTCCTCTCCTCTCCTCTCCGCGGCTGTCTCTCCCCCCGCACGGAGTAAGCTGGGAGGAAGTGATGTCACTTCCTCCCAGCAGCCGCAATTTTTTTTTAAAGGGCCCCAGTCGCGCTATTAAGCGGCCGCAGCACTGACCGGGACCCTGAAGATATAGGGCTCATCGGGTTGCCCTAAATGCTTGGTGCCACCTGATGGGCCCCGGTGCAGATGCACCTGCGGCAGTTTCGCCTCCCCACATGGGGCCTGGGCAGCCAGGGCCGTCGGGCCTGTGATAACCGTCAAGCATGTCACCCCCCGATGGCGGCCCTGGAGACCACTAAGGGACAGGGAGGGGAGAGGAACACGGAAGGACAGGAAAGAGAGGGGAGAGACCACTAAGGGGCAGGAGAGCTCTAAGGACGGAGGGGACAGCTCTAAGGGAGGGGAGGAGAAAGCACTAAGGGACAGAGGGGTAGGGGAGATCACTAATGGACAGGTGAGATCACTAAGGGACAGGAGGTGAGGGGAGAGCACAAAGGAACAGGAGGGAAGGGGAGAACACTGATGGACAGGAGGGGAAGGAAGATCACTATAAAAAAAAATTAAGAGCTGCTTCCCTCTCAACCCCAATCCTACCCCACAAACCCTCTCTTTCAAACTACACACATACACAATGCATCCTTACACATACACATAAACACACAATGCAATGCATCCCTACACACACACACATCACATGGTGGGCAGAACATATGGTGGGGGGGCAAATCTTTGTTTGCCTAGGGCGGCAAAAATCCTTGCACCGGCCCTGCTCAGACCCCCCTAATAAATGAAAAACCTTATCTCCAATATAAGTGGGCATGGCTTCCATAACCTTAAATCGGCACTGTCATGCCAAACTTACCTTTCCTCAATCTCTTCCTCTTCTCCTCCTCTCTTAGGATCTGTTCTTCTTTTCTTCCTGTCTTCTTTAGTTTTCTTTAAAATCATAAGACAAAGTAGGGACTCTTTGCCTTATGGAGGTTTCCTCCGCTTGACCAGCTTTGACCAGCGGAGGAGCAAAGTGGTCAATTTTCCCATGATCCTTAGCTTTCCTCCCTGTTCCCACGATGCTTCCTGTCAGTATTGCCGAACGTCCTGTCACTTAGACAGAACACCGACAAAACTGCCGAATTGCATCCTAACAGAATGAGAACAGTTTCTCTATTCGTGTTAGGATGCAATTCGGGACTTTGTTCGGATCGCAATTTCATTGAATGAATGAAATTCCGATCCTATTCGTGCTGTGGCTGCATCTTGCAGCCGCTTAGTAGATAACTCCCTAATTCCCATGGTATCAGGGAGTTATCTACTAAAATGCTGAAACACCTAAATTGGTCTTTCAACCAAATTTACTAATACTAAGTAAAGATTACTTAGTATTAGTAAATTCTGCCCCTACTTGCTATACCGCGAGTAGGGGCATGTCTATTAAACAGTGAGCAGCCTGTGGCTGTTCACTGTTATAAAAAAAAAAAAACGTACTAACCACTCCCTAAATAACAATTAGGAGATAGACCTATTTTCCTCCTCCCCGGCCCCCACCCATGGGCAACGGGTGGGGGCCCTAAATGACAATGAGGGGGGACCTACTGTCCTCCCCACACCCCCCCACCCCTGAGCGGTGGGTGGGTGCCCTATATAAGAATGGTGGGGGGGGCCTACTGTCCTCCCTCCCTGGCCCCCACCACTGAGCGGTGGGTGGGGGCCCTAAAAAACAATAAGGGGGACCTACTTTCCCCCCCACCTGGCCCCCACCCCTGAGCAGTCGGAGGGGGCCCTAAAAAACAATAAGGGGGGGACCTACTGTCCATCCCCCTGGCCCCCACCCCTGAGCTGTGGGTGGGGGCACTATATAAGAATGGTGGGGGGGACACCTACTGTCCTTCCCCCCTGGCCCTCACCCCTGAGCAGTGGGTGGGGGCCCTAAAAAATAATAAGGGGGGACCTACTGTCCACCTTCCCCTGGCCCCCGCCCCTGAGCGGTGGGTGAAGGGACACCCCTGAGCGGCAGGTACAGTGGCGGATCCAGGGGGGGCAAAGGGGCAATTGCCCCCCCCCCGAGATTCTCCCCTGCCGGCTAGTGCAGGGCTGGCATTGTCCAAGTGCCAGCCCTGCAATGTGCCTGCAGACCGGGGAGGGAGATCAGAGACCAGAGATCAGAGATCAGCCGGCAGGGAGGGAGGGAGGGAGAGAGGACCCGGGAGCTCAGCCCGCAGCTTCTCCGGGTCCTACTCTTTGGTTACCACGGCAACACTCCAAATCTCGCGAGAGCGAACTCTAGTTCACCTCACCACTGGAAGCACCAAGGATTCCCCACCGGACCACATGGGATGGAGAAATGTCCCCCCTCCTCCTCAATAAAGG